ACTCTAAGTAAATCGAGATTCTGGTTAAATTTGTTGTTTTAAAGCCTCTCTCATTCAGATGGCTAATAGTTACAAAGTTGCCATGAGACAGTAAGTGTGAACATCTACATTTTAAGAGAATTCATAACACATTCCCTCGTCATGAATATTGGTTTAAAATCAGTATTGAAGATTGTACAAATTGTGGTAAAAGTAATACAGTAGACACATTGAACCATTACATGTTCTTCTGCCCTAGTCTAGTGGTTAAAGCGTTCGCTCGTCACGCCTTGACTCGGGTTCGATTCCCCACATGGGTACAATGTGTGAAGCCAATTTCTGGTGTCCCCCGCCGGATATTGCTGGAATATTGCTAAAAGCGGCGTAAAACCATACTCACTCTCATGGATACTGCATTATAAATCCACGGGGTGGGGAAACGAGAGGAGGTATCTGTGCAAGGTTTTAATGCGGTAAAACATGTCGAGGCCTCAGAAACTGAATAATCGAAAAGTAGGACACGCTGTGCGTAAGTACCATGATTAATGTAGCTTTTAACAAGTTGCTGACACAAATAGTTCAACACATATTCTATTGTTAACGGAATGCAGCAATCATGTATAAAAGATTATGTGATCATCTTGTTTTAGTACTAAAGAGTAATATGCTCATGTAAAAACTATCCAAATACATACACATGACATCCAGCATGATGCTTTAGTTTCTAAGGCATGAAACCATATGCAAATTTACAAACGTTACGAAGTTGCCACGAGACAGTAAGTGTGAACAACTACATTATAAGAGAATTCATAACACATTCCCTCGTCATGAATATTGGTTTAAAATCAGTATTGAAGATTGTACAAATTGTGGTAAAAGTAATACAGTAGACACATTGAACCATTACATGTTCTACTGCCTTAGTCTAGTGGTTAAAGCGTTCGCTCGTCACGCCGAAGGCCCGGGTTCGAATCCCCGCATGGGTACACCGTGTGAAGCCAATTTCTGGTGTCCCCCGCCGTGACATTGCTGGAATATTGCTAAAAGCGGCGTAAAACTAAACTCACCCACTCGACTGCCGTAAAGTACTAGCTTTCCGTTTAATATCAATAAAATGCATATAAAGTTCATTAACGCCAAAGAGTTAGAGTGAGTGAGTGAGTGAGTGAGTGAGTGAGTTTAGTTTTACGCCGCTTTTAGCAATATTCCAACAATATCGGCGGGGGACACCAGAAATGAGCTTCACACATTGTACCCATGGGGAATCGAAGCCGGGGCTAAACCACCTCAAACCACACCCCCACCCCACCCCCACCCCCACACACACAGAGAGAAATGCTTAGATGTAACTAATGGTGCTGAGGCCATAAGTCTTAGTTTTGTCTTCACTGTAGCTGGATTTTATGTTTACAAATGTAATGTAAATTAGAACCTATACTTATTGTTTTTAAAAGTGAATTTGATTAAGTAATGAAAACTAAAGACAAAGACGTGATAAGAACTATAGAACTAAAAAACTATATAAGTTGACTAATGCTGAACACGGGGCTACTCCCAACCCGGATCAGTCTGCCTTGTATTGCTATTAGCACCACTAACAGCTGCACCTCGGCCCACTAGACCATCCTTGTTCAGAACTGGTTGACTGATTATTGCTATCAGCACCACTAATAGCTGCACCTTGGCCCACTAGACCATCCTTGTTCAGAACTGGTTGACTGATTATTGCTTAGTGCCATGGTCAGCAACATTCCCACTTTACTGCAGGTTTAAAAATAATCAAGTCTGTGGCAGCATTATTATATTTTGTGTTTCTCATCGCCGGACCGACCCTTATTCATTTTATTGCCGACCCTTCAAAAAACTTTATTTTTTTCATTCCAACATCGCCGACTCGAACCTAAAACGCACCGCCTCGTCATATAAAATGTTTATCTTTTAATCAGTCGCTGCCACAAGTCCAAAGAACGAAAGAAATTGTAATAAGAATTACAATAAATGATTATTCAGATAATTTTGTCTTAATTGAGATTTTTTTCCACCGACCGACCGACCCATGTTCAGAATTTGGTGGCTACGTGAATCACATAAAAAAATTATGTCTCATGATCAAACCATTGGTTGATATTGATTAAGAGTAACGGATATGATCGATTGAGTACCGTCTCACACTCTCTAGATGCGAGTGAGTGAGCTTAGTTTTACGCCGCTTTTTAGCAATATTCCCGCAATATCACGGCGAGGGACACCAGAAATGGGCCCTACACATTGTACCCATGTGGGGAATCGAAGCCGGGTCTTCGGCGTGACTAGCGAACGCTTTAACCACTAGGCTACCCCACCGCCCCTATAGACGCGAGGACAGTCATCTTTCCTCTGATTGGTCTCACCATCACCACTTCTCCCATCCACCCAAGACAGACTGAGAACAACAACAACAACAACAGAGAACAACAATATGGATCAACAAACTTTATTACAAGTGTCCTATAGTAGCACTGTAGCAGCAATCACAGGTCAAGGTCACGCAACAATCCTCTATACACAATTTAACAAGTCACATGGCCTGAAAGATTACCTACATCTTATCAAGTTGGATATATTCCAATAGTTCAAGTTAGGCAGGCTGGAAATTTGCTTTCCCAGGCTGAAAAAACCCCCAGGAGAGTTAATAATATTGTAGACTGCTTTAGTCAATCTTATTCTAGGCTGCATTCAATCAATAATATTTCAGACTGCGTTTAGTCAATTATATTTCAAACTGCTTTTCCTCAATCATATTTCAGACTGCTTTAGTCAATCATATTCTCGACAGCTTTTTCCAGAGAGAGTCAATCCTATTCTGGACTGCTGTAGGCGACACTGTTACTTATGCTTGTCCCAACTTCTGCTACCTGAACACGATCACTGTAAGCAGGGTACGCTGGACTACACATCCATAATTAGGTATCAACACGCCCATATGTCGCCACTCAATCCCACTCAGTGTCAGTCTCAAACCTCTATTAACATTGACACTCAGAGGCATTTTCAGCAAAAGAAACCCCAAAACCAACAGAGACGACTTCATATTTGATACCGAACTGGTAACTGGTTCATTGGTTTTGATGGTATAATGTATATTCCTGGTAGCCTATGTAAAATACACTAAGGAACCAATAACAAAATGAAATAAAAAAGAAAACATTCGGCTCATAACAGAACAGAGACATACATCCTTCTCCGGTCAGGTAACAGCCTCCGTGGTGTAGTGGTTAGAGCGTCCGCCCAGAGAGCGGAAGGTCGCGGGTTCTATCCCCGACCACGTCATACCAAAAGACGTTAAAATATGGTACTTGTTGGTCCCTGCCTGGCGCTTGGCATTAATGGGTACAAGAAGGACTGGTCGGCTCGGAGTCAGTATAATGTGTCTGAGTGGGGTATTCATGCTTCACTGCGGCATGGTATCTCAGTGGGCTAGCACTATAAAACCAGCTTAAGTCTGGGCTAGTACAAGCAGCCGCACATACACATACACACGCATGCACGTCGTCATATCAGCGAAATATTCTCAAGCACAACGTAAAACCCAATTTCACCTCACCTCACCTCACCTTTGGTCAGGTTTGGAAATAGCCACCGGCCCGCTAGCCAGTGGCTAGTAACACTCCAGTCAGGCCAGTAAATCTCCAGTCACTGGACCGAATGGCTAATTAATTTTCATGGGGTCATTTTGTAAATACATGTATATCACTCTCTCCGACTGTTAAGTTATAATACACTTTTAAACCATGCAATATTTTGGCCTAATAAAAATGTTAATCATAGTAGCAGTGTAATGACGGAACCCGTGTCTACATTCAAATTTCGGGCCAGTGAATAATTTTGTGGGCTAGTAACTTTCAGGCATTGCTAGCCTGTTTGGCTAGCAAAATTTGAAAACTATTTCGCACACTGTCCATACATGGTGATGACTGTAACATCAGGAGCAGGTCAAGCGGTCAAGTTGCTGGTCTGCTAGGGACATACGCCCTGCCTAGGTCCAGAAGTTGAAGTAATGACTGAAATATTGTATAGTAAGAATAACAGTCTCTGACTCGAGTCAAACTACTGATTGTTATGAGAATAGAATTTTTCATAAGGAACCTATACCTCCTGTTCTCCTTTTAATATATAGGTAGGAAGCTGTTTAATGTTCGGGCCGTATGCTATCTTTTTAAGGTCGGCGACCCGAGCTGTCCATTAAGGTGGAGCCTCTAATAATGCTCTTCCTTTGAGATGATGTTGTCACTGGGTTTAAACATTTCTTGTGTCAGCAGTTTTACCTGACAGAGGCATCTACTCCTTCACAGAAATTTCAATGAACGGTCAGTTTATTCAGGTCTTGACTGGACAGATGCATACTGATAATGAACCATTACATTTTGGTCAAATTAACTTGTTACATAGCAATAAAAATGAAGTGGATCGTATCTTTTACTCATCTTGAGACAGGACCAGTTGATTAATTAAAGCATGGAGGAAATTTGATCATTAGGGCTTACTTGCGGGTCTCTTAGAGTTATCTCCCTTCTAAAACACCATTTCTTCTACCTGGTACAGTCAACAGTTATACCTGTTGGAAGAGCCACAGCCCTGAGTCCATGGGAATAACTCTTAGAATCAGCAGCTTTCACAATAAATGTAGTTGACATGCAGACCTTCAAATTAGTTCTGTGCGACTGGTTGGGGCACCTCTTGAATCTATCATTGTGATGTATGCCGCCAACTAGCTGGAATATTGCTGAGTGCGGTGTGAAACTAAACCACTCACTCACTATGATGAATAAAAGTAGTTGGAAATCTAAGCAATTAAACTTTTTTCTAACTGACAATATCCAAAACTAGTCAGTACCCTCTCTGATCCTGCAAACAAGAATGGAAGTTTGTAGTTATTACAGTTGTATTCATTCATTGTTTAACTAAAAGTGTTGTTTCTTAAAGCCAAACATTTCAAGCATGTCCAAGTTTCCACCTTGCAATTAGTCAAAAACATGAGCAAAATGTGTATATATTATTCATGTCTTGCAGGTTAGAGCTCCATCAATTTATGATACAATCTTGGATACATGTGCTTGTTTCCTGACAACAATTCTTATCTTGTATTAACATTCATTACAAGATTTACATACATGTGCTTGTTTCCTGACAACAATTCTTATCTTGTATTAACATTCACTACAAGATTTACATACATGTGCTTGTTTCCTGACAACAATTCTTATCTTGTATTAACATTCATTACAAGATTTACATACATGTGCTTGTTTCCTGACAACAATTCTTATCTTGTATTAACATTCACTACAAGATTTACATACATGTGCTTGTTTCCTGACAACAATTCTTATCTTGTATTAATATTCATTACAAGATTTACATACATGTGCTTGTTTCCTGACAACAATTCTTATCTTGTATTAACATTCATTACAAGAGTTACATACATGTGCTTGTTGCCTGACAACAATTCTTATCCTGTAGTGACATTCATGCCAAACTTTACATACATGTGCTTGTTTCCGGACAACAATTCTTATCTTGTATTAATATTCATAACGAAACTTACATACATGTGCTTGTTTCCTGACAACAATTCTTATCTTATAGCGATATTCATAACAAGACTTACATACATGTGCTTGTTTCCTGACAACAATTCTTATCTTGTATTAACATTCATTACAAGAGTTACATACATGTGCTTGTTGCCTGACAACAATTCTTATCCTGTAGTGACATTCATGCCAAACTTTACATACATGTGCTTGTTTCCGGACAACAATTCTTATCTTGTATTAATATTCATAACGAAACTTACATACATGTGCTTGTTTCCTGACAACAATTCTTATCTTATAGCGATATTCATAACAAGACTTACATACATGTGCTTGTTTCCTGACAATTCTTATCCTGTAGTGACATTCATACCAAACTCTACATACATGTGCTTGTTTCCTGACGACAATTCTTATCTTGTAGCGATATTCACAACAAGACTTACATATATGTGCTTGTTTCCTGACAACAATTCTTATCTTGTATTAATATTCATAACAAGACTTTTACATACATGTGCTTGTTTCCTGACAACAATTCTGTATCTTATATTCATATTCATAACAAGACTTGCATACATGTGCTTGTTTCCTGACAACAATTCTTATCTTGTAGCGATATTCATACTTGAGACTTACATACATGTGCTTGAGCCTGACAACAATTCTTATCTTGTATTAACTTTACATAATTGTGCTTGTTTCCTGACAACAATTCTTATCTTGTATTGTTTCCTGAGACAACATGTGCTTGTTTCCTGATCAATTCTTATCTTGCTTAGATATTCATAAAGAAACTTACATACGTGCTTGTTTCCTGACAACAATTTTATCCTGTAGCGATATTCATAACAAGACTTACATACATGTGCTCTCGTTTCTGACCCATCATCACACGGCTGTCTACTAACTATGAATTCCACATCATATAATTTAATGGTTATTCCCAAGCAGTACACACTTTATTCTATGGTTATGTATACAGGCAAACTACTTGGGGGCAAACAATGTCCTCTTCATGAAAAGTGAGCTGAAGTCATTGAGGCTTGGTTTGGGGGCTAGTCCCAGCATACTGGACAGTCTGGCCGCCAGGCTGGCTGGCTTGGCTACCTGCAGCTCCTCGTCTGTCATAACCTGGGGGAAAAAACAACACCTGGATATGGAGTCCACAGTTTTTGAGTGAGCTTGGTTTTATGCCACTTTCAGCAACATTCCAGCCATATCACGGCGGGGGACACCACAAATGGGCTGCGTATGGAGACAACAGTTGGAACTGTAGCTCACCTGGATATGGAGACAACAGTTTAATCTGTAGCTCACAGGGACAAACAAAGGCAAAAAACTTCAATATCACAAAAATTGATGTGTTGAAAACTACGCACCTTCCAAATTTGAAAAATATATGACCGAGTAAAGAAAAAAATAAGAATCAATTTCAAATATGGTTGAAATGTTTAATTTATCTGTAATGATGGGGGCTAGCCACTGGGTTCACTCCCAAAAGACAGACCTCCCATAAGACAGACTCAATGAGTACACTAATTAGCTGAGCCATGCTGCCCACCCCTATTTAATTAATGAGCTGACCCAGAGTCACTACAGGGTAAGTATAGTAACAACACCTCTATCTCCTGTGCCCTTCACAAAACATATTACAAATCCTTTTACTGAACAGAACAGAATAGAACAGAAATTTTATTCTAAAAAAATCACATATAGTGACACAGAGAACATACAGCATATTGACACATATTACAACATTGAACAAAGTCCAGTTTTGATTAACCACTTTTCATTAGATAAGCAATTTTTTCAATAGTAGGATGTTTACACAACTAATAAAAAATGAAGTTCATCACAGACATCTAACTTCACGCTATGCATAAGCTCACCTCAATAAGCTTATGTTCGAGGCCAGTTACATCATGTTCATAAAGACTGACTGAGTTTGGTTTTACGCCGCTTTAGCAATATTCCAGCAACATCACGGCGGGGGACACCAGAAATGGGCTTCACACGTTGTGCCCATGTGGGGATTCGAACCTGGGTCTTCGGCGTGATGTTCATAAAGAAAACACTCAAGATCATACAAGTATAAATATCTGGGGATAGGACGTTTTTAGTACTTAAGATTATTTGAAGATGAAAGTGAAATAGTATTTATAAAATTCAGTGTAAAACAAAGTATATAACTGGAGAACAGGATGTTTTCTAATAGTTATTTTTCACATGACTTTTTTTCCGATCACCCTTCTAGATGGCTTCCTGTATGCCAAGAACAAGGTGAAAGGAAAAAATGATGATGTTAAAGTGACTTTCTAATAAGTCTTATCTGTGCACTGACAAACATGTGTTGTTAAATAATATGGTGCTTGGTATCATATGTTTGATAGGTACATAGAGAATCTCACCCAAGTGTCTTCTGATATCAATTATATCAACACGAGTTGTTAAAGTTACAAATATCCGAGGCTTGCCGAGGATATTTTTACTTTATCAACGAGTGTTGATATATTTGATATCAGAAGACACGAGGGTGAGATTCTATTTATCATCCAAAATCACTCTTCATTAATTTTCAATGAAAAATGTACATCTCTGAGCATGGTACTGCCATTAGACTTGCAGTGCAGCGATGTCATAGCATTGTGGCGCCATCAAGTACATGACGCCATAGCATTGTCAGGGCATTGTACAAAATATACTGTCAAAGCGATATCTCCTAGAGATATCGTTTGATCTCACACAAGCGATATCTCCTGTGGAACACAGTTTTGGATGATAAATGTATATAAATGATTATGTTTTGATAATATTCACAAATAAATGTGATCTGGCAAATATATGTGTACATATATGTTGATGCAATATGTCTTAATTTAAAAATCATAATTGATTACATGAATTGATAAAACTATAGTTAATGCCTAATGTTGTGTTTTTTATCTGGGCACATACCATTATTATCAAGGGTACAGCTTATTTAAGCCTTATGCAACCAACCATAAAATGTTTTGTTTTAAGCGGTCTGTCTTTTGGGAGGTCTGTCTTTTGGGAGGTCTGTCTTTTGGGAGGTCTGTCTTTTGGGAAGATACCCTAGCCACATTGAATTCCTGTTTTGACTGACTGAAAAAGCTTGAACCACATTAAAATAGTAAATATCCTAGTAAAGTTATATCATTCCATGTTTTACTTCTGTTGTCAGTTGTTTCAATACAATCCTGCAATGGACTGCCCTCATTTGTGACATCAATATTTGGCTACAATTAAGGGTATCTCCCTTGATATACGCTTCACTGACAACGTTAACGTAATTCTTTTCAGTGACATGGTGCAGCTACTATTCCCTCTTCATAACATGGCCGAGAACAATACAGTTAAAACATTGTAGTTCTTTTTTTTATTTAAAAAAGCATATTTTACATGTTTAACTTCTTGCCAAATATTCAGATAGAAACAATTGATGTTGAGTGAGTGAATGAGTTGTGTTTTACGCCGCTTTTAACAATATTCAAGCAATATCACGGCGGGGGACACCAGAAATGGGCTTCACACATTGTACCCATGTGGGGAATCGAACCTGGGCCTTCGCATGACGTAATTAAAGCTTTAACCACGCAGGCTACCCCACTGCCCCAAAATATATATTTATCAATCTGAAGGAGTATTTAAATATAAAGAGTATTTAAAAGTTAACAATGGTATACTATAGCAAAAACCAATAAGAAAACACATGTAGTGTGAGCGGAAAAAAGGCTGTCTCTAATTTGTTGTCCCAGAGGACTATGATTTAAGTTTCTTAACTGAAAATGTTTCTTCAATCATAAACCAAAATACAAGTTTATGTCATGAACAAAACGACTGACTTGAACTTGACCAAATCTTTAATACTACCATGGTTATTCTGCAGGGGTTCAAAAATCCCATCGCCCGACACCCGGGACAAGTCAGTTTTCATTTCGGGCAATCAAATAATGATATCTTACTTGTCCGTGGGCTACTAGATAATTTCCACTTATGGTTTCAAACTGCAAAAAAACTTGGATTTAATTTCATATCTGCTCAAAATGTAGCTTTTAAATTTCACAATGATGATAAAGTAGAGTTATCTTACTTTGCTATTTATCACTTTTCAATAAATAGTCCAGTAAACATTAACATCAAATACCATGTTGATTTATTCTTTCATAATTACATCATCATGATTATGTCATAAAATCAGGGCAAGTGGAAAATTAGTCAGGACAAGTTACTTTCTTAAAGTCACTTGCCCTGTGGCAAATGGCTTTTTAAAATAATTTTGAACCCCTGTATTCTGTCATGTTGTTTGAGTAGAACATATGACACACATTTAGCCATTCTTCTCTATATATCACAGCCAACATTGCTATGGGTACTTGGATCAACAACAGCTTTTCAATCAACTCACCCTGTCAACTCGTGTTTATGTAACTGCCGTCAGAACCAACAGTAAATATGGAAAATCCATCAAATTGCCACCTGTAACCATGGAAACAACACTTTTGTGAATATCATCAACGAAACAAAATACTGTTAAAAACAAGTGAAATCATGAAGCTACTACATACGGGTGTTCCACTAGTGTTGGAAATTGGTTCAAATCTCACTATTGATGACTGTTTCATTACAACTGATCAATCATCGAAAATAATTGGTTAGCGTCATTTGTCAAATTCTCCTGGTCAGGTTTGTTAATGCACAAAAAATATAGAAAAAACATGTTGTTCTTTTGGGCTTTTGCAAATTTCACATCTTAAAGGATGACTAGTATGTTAGGAACATACATTTCCTGGAATCTTAAAGATAAATTCAATCATGACAAGGAACGAGCTTGTAGTGCTTATGAAATGTAACAGACAAAACCAACCTTGTGAAAAATATTGTTAAAGCAAACAAGTGGTCCAAAATTGTTTGTGTTCGATCATGAGAAAACATGATCGATCACTTGGTCGTCTGGTCATTCCGACCAATCTGCGATTATTTCAATTAATCGGACCACCACTATTAATTACAATGATCTCATTGATTTAACATGTCTTACTCCCAAACAATGCTTCTGAATGAAGATCTGACAACAGCTACATAGCATGTTGAAGCAGGTCAACCATGTGCATATTTTCACAGCTAGTTCTAAAATGAGCGACCGCGTAGGCTCTTGAGTCAAATTTGCCTGATGCAACAGTCTATGGACATGACAGAGTTGTACTTACATCTTCCAACAAACAGCTATTAAATACTATAATTCTAGGATAAAGATTAATTCACTCCTAATCTTAACAGTCCCATTTTAAAAAATCCTATATTCAATTGATGTAAAGATCTGACGACTCATACATGGAATGTAGCCTAAGGCGAACCCCAGTTCTGAATGAAGGCTGAGTAGGTTATGGCAGTGTATGAAATAAGGCCCATCTGACCTCCCAACACGGGCTAGATTTCTGACGGATCGTCTAAATTTACAGCTAGCCAGCCCGATGGTCTGGTAAAAATTGTAGATGTTCCATACACAGGGATGGCAACAGGAAAATCTATTTTCAGCGGAAAACTTTATATTGTGTCATCAAATGGGGGTTTCTCAATGGATTTCGATGATTCACAATTGAACAATTTGAAATAAAATCCGTGGATCATCCCTGCGTAAATTCACGATATCTTGGTGTCTGGTCAGGTTAAATTCAATTTGAGTTGGTAAGATTTTGCAGTTACCAGCCCTGATGTTGACCTGGGTTTGGGGCTTATTTCATACAGTGGTTATGGTCCCAAACCAACCTGATGCAGTAGCAGAGCTGGCTCGAAAGATTGATAATCAGAAATGTCGTTGATAAGAAAATATTTAATGCTTAGCAATGAAAATAGTGTCAACAATAGCATCAAACATAAACAAAGAAAGAATAAACAGGGCTCCAGATAACATTTGGGAGTGTGAGTGTACTTACACATCATATTGCAAGTGGAGGTGTACTGAGAATTTTGAAGGAGTACTGACATGTTTTTGTGAGTGAGTTGGTGATGTGGTCTGTCTGGACGATTCATCGATCACTTTTTCCAACCATGTATTTGTATTTGAACATGCGTGAGAAATAACTGAGCGACAGTGTGATGCGCGAAATGTCAGATCCGACTGGATATAAATAGCAAAATTGTAGTTTTTAGCCAATCGAAAAATGGTGGCGCATATCGTTGCATGGCAACGCAAATGATTCCTACTGTCGGGGTTTCCTCATGTGTCAAATTGTGTTTCGCAAAAGAAACTTGACAAGTATTTATCCAAAATATATTTCCATTTGCACGATACGCACGGAAATTAAATGTTTGACGTACAAAGGTATTTATGTGCGTACACGATACGCTTGAAATCTTATATTATGTCGTACTTAATTGATTTTGAGGCGTACATTACGCCCGTCACCCCTTATCTGTAGCCCTGGAATAAAGTATTAATTTATTAACACACAGTACACAAAGAAAATATATTATTTTCTTTCTCAAGTTCTTTTGCATTTTGCTCTAAATTGCAATATTCATAGATAAACAATCGATGTTCAATTAACGATTATCAGTCTCTATTATCTCTATCGGTGGCCAGACACTTAAAATATTCTGCCAGTTCCTTAAAACATTAACTGGACACAGAAAACATTTAATCAGACGAGTTCCCACGGGGTCATTTATAAACAACAATTCTACCACGACTTCAGTAAATACTGGATTGTGATTGGTTAAGTAAAGTTATTCAGAGGTATATAATCATAATCACATTATATACCTCTGATTTTACAATACAGAGTATGTATTTTTTTTAAAATCTTAATAACGTGGTTATGGTAGAATGAGATAAACATATTGAGTTTTGAAAATGACAGGTATATAACAAAATGTTTTAATAGCTCTAAATTTGATCAGTGAAAGCATTTGCTGTCACTGCTCCACCTACTCGGAGTTAGCATCTCGGTTTTTCCGATAGTTCCACGGCATGAACTTCCAGATGAGGAGAGTCTTGAGCTGTGGAAGACCGCTGATCCGCCATCGGATGCGGACTGTCCCGTCCTCTGGGTGACGAGTAATCTTCAGCACATTGAACTGAGCATGTGCGTACATGAAGTGGGTCATGATCCGGATCTTCGTCACCTGGGTTACGTACGCCGTTATTCCCCTAAAGAAATGTACACAAGAAAACGCTCATTCCACACAATGACATGTCATTCTTGAATAAACACTTCAGGTAAAAAGTGTGAACATGGTTTTATCCCAATTTGTGTACTATGCCAGAATTATCATGATGGAATCAAACTCGGACCTTCAACCTGATTAACACAGAACAGAGTAAGACACTTGTTTTTTTCACTGAGTCCTTTAATTAAGGTGTAAACATATTTAAGGGCACACACAAATTCAGCTGCCCTACTTCTTCATCAGCCGTTGCAAAAGACAAAAGATAAAGGCATCTGGATTTATGTTAGTTTTGAAAAGATTTCCTAGAAACTGCATTTGACCATTGTTGGCTGCGTGATTAGCTCAAGATACCATGGTTACCGATGTTACAAAACAATATCATAAATAAAATATTTTTTTCAGTTACTATGGCTACTAGAAAGAAACAGTTTTTCCTCGTTGATTGTTACACCAAATATCATCAAAATGAGTAACTGACAGTGACACCACTTACCGAGTTGAAACATTTTTCCCAAAGTAATTGTTCTCGAATATTATGTCTTTGTGATAAATCCTGTAGTCCTGCTTTGATTTCAAGAAATCTGGCAACTGAAAAACAGAGGAAGATCATTATCCTATACATTCAAAACAGCAGTAAGCATGGTTCTCAGTTGGCTGTTTAAAGCTATGTGACAACAGTAATTGGTTGGTTGTTGTTTAATGCCGCACTCAGCAATATTTTAGCTATATGGCAGCAGTTTGTAAATAATTGAGTCTGGACTAGACAATCCAGTGATCAACAGCATGAGCATCGATCTGCGTAATTGGGAGTGAGTGAGTGAGTTTAGTTATACGCCGCACTCAGCAGTATTTTAGCTATATGGCAGCAGTTTATAAATAATTGAGTCTGGACTAGACAATCCAGTGATCAACAGCATGAGCATCGATCTGCGCAATTGGGAGTGAGTGAGTGAGTTTAGTTATACGCCGCACTCAGCAATATTCCAGCTATATAGCGGCGGTCTGTAAATAATTGAGTCTGGACCAGACAATCCAGTGATCAACAGCATGATCATCGTTCTACACAACTGGGAGTGAGTGAGTGAGTTTAGTTATACGCCGCACTCAGCAATATTCCAGCTATATAGCGGCGGTCTGTAAATAATTGAGTCTGGACCAGACAATCCAGTGATCAACAGCATGAGCATCGTTCTACACAGCTGGGAGTGATTGAGTGAGTGAGTTTAGCTATACGCCGCACTCAGCAACATTCCAGCTATATGGCGGCGGTCTGTAAATAATCGAGTCTGGACCAGACAATCCAGTGATCAACAACATGAGCATCGGGCTGCGCAATTGGGAGTGAGTGAGTTTAGTTATACGCCGCACTCAGCAATATTCCAGCTATGTGGCAGCAGTTTGTAAATAATTGAGTCTGGACCAGACAATCCAGTGATCAACAGCATGAGCATCAATCTACGCAACTGGGAGTGAGGGAGTGAGTGAGTTTAGTTATACGCCGCACTCAGCAATATTCCAGCTATATGGCAGCGGTCTGTAAATAATCGAGTCTGGACCAGACAATCCAGTGATCAACAGCATGAGCATCGGGCTGCGCAACTTAAACTGATGACATGTGTCAACCAAGCCAGCGAGCCTGACCACCTGACCCCTTCAGTTGCCTCTTACGACAATCATGGTAGCAATATCAACATGGATCATACGAAGCCACACTACCAACCATGCTAACAAGCCTTGTCTCCCTTCGCAGGTTATTACAATGTTTGAAATATGCTAACCTACAAAAATATTCAGCAACTCATAAACATGAAAAACATTTGGTAAATTCACCTTGAGTGCATTAATGATAATGTTGAGTGTGTGAACTTGATATGACAAACGAGTGAAGCCCATTTCTGGTGTCCCCTGCCGTGGTATTGCTGGAAAATTGCTAAAAGCGGCGTAAGACCGTACTCAGAGCTCCAGATAAGCCTTTGGCCATGTGGGTATGATCAGGGGTGGAAATAACTTTAAAATTGCTAGTGTACTCCGGTACAGTGGCACATGTAAAATCACTTGCCCTGATAATTTGTCCACTATACCGGACGATTTTCTTGTTGATTCTTAAAATAAACAACATAATTAACATTGGAACGTCAACTGGACAACGGTACAGCGTGATATACAAATTTTCTTGCCTGACAGAAAAAAACACTGGACTGGGACGTCGGGCAATGGGTTATTTCCACCCCTGATGATACCAATACTTTAAAAAATAAGTCTGTATTTCCAATTTCAAGTGGGTATCCAGTGTTCGAGGTAGGAAAAAAGCTTTGCGATCCTAAAACACATTGCCCCACGAATCTTACGTGTGCATGCACCGCAGGTGTATGCCCGAGCCAGACAGCGGCGATGTCTCTAGGGGGGTGCAGGATCCCCCTCTAAAATATTTGAAATTAAGGCATGTTGTCATCATTCGCAAGTCAGATTAGCTGAGAGAAACTCTATTTTATGTTGTTGTTTCCTTGGGCAAAAGATGTTTTTCGGTTACTTGTTCCCAGAACACAAAATGCTTTGCCTGCAGAACACGCAGGTAGAAAATATCGTTTGTGAAATGTAGATTTATTTGTGTGAAACACGCAGGTTTTTGCATCAACGCGAACACTGGTATCTGTACTTTTTGATACCCACCATATTTTTAAGATCTGAGTATTCAATCAAATAACAAATGTAAGAGGTGTGACTGACACAAACCAGAACATGACCTCATAAGACAAAATTCAAAGCCTCATATTCAAAATTAACCATGGATATGTTTCCACGTAGCAAATGGGTTTTTTCAAAACCTTGTTCCCATCATGTTGTTTCACTTCCACGCCGCGAATAGCTAATGTTACAAGTTTATTTAAGATATCACCGGCAATTGATCCTGATTGTGAAACACAGCATAATATTAATTCATCTAGCAGGCCTCTAATGAAATTGTTTTCTGTTTGTAGCGCAAAGAAAACCTAAAGTACTGTCGGAAATGCTAGAAAAATGCTTTTTGACCTATATTTAAAATTCAGAGGTATTACAGTTACTTAAATAACAAATATCACTTCAAGAAACATCTACCTAATGTAGACCGAGGGAATAAATTTTGAGACATGCTCTAAAATGTGTTTTTACTGATTAAAATACCAAAAACTTAGAAAAATAAGGGGTAGTGGGACGTTATTTGATACAAACATTAACTGCCTGTGTTACGTCATCAGCATCCACGGTATCGACAGGTGAAATCGACACCTGAGCACACGCTTGGGCCAGGGGTCATATCAATAGGTGTTTTCTGCAAATTGTTGAATATGTGTAATGCATTATAGCATACATGATCGGTTATGTAAGGGATAATTTGTGTATGTGTGTTTGTTTTGAAATAAGCATACTTAATTACTGTACATTGGAAAGAATCCTATCACTTGTGTTATCTTATCGATTGATTGTAGAAATGTGCAGCGTTTTAATGAATGTTTTGCATGTCAACAGTATATTTCATTGAAAAATATGGATGTAATTAGGTCAGTTTAATCTAGTTGTGAACATTGGCCAAAGATTTAACGAAGTCACTGGTGTAGCTTCTTTAGAATATATATATTTTTCTTCTCATAAAGTTTGTAGACTGCCCGTCTAAGTACTCCCTTGTCAAAGTTGTCAAGGATGGTTTTACGTCGCGGTTTTGCATTTGAGACGGTCCCTGTCTTGTCTGATTTGTTTACAATATTGTAAACTTGTTGGTAAGACATGCCAACAGCTCTACAAGTTCTGTAATAAACCCTTTCTAAACTAATGAAAGGTTTACCTCTGTCTTTTTTAAGCAGAAAAAACTATAAACCTTTGCAACAATCGACTACAAATCGTTGGCCATAGTGGACGGCTGTGATAAAGATGTGCATGCATGACGGAAACTTATTTATCAAGACTTAACATTTATATTATATTTCTTCAATAAAGAAACGATAATTAAGTAAAGTAACACAAACATTCAACATTTATTTGTTTAAAAACACTTTAATTCATATTTTTACACCACCTGTATTAGCATAAATGTAAAGACTATTTCAGATTTCTGTTGTTGAACTCTGAAAAAATCTTAAGTTGCTGTTTTGGTACCAAATTCTCTCCTGTAAACTGCCCTTTAAATGCATGGGAATGATAAATCAGTTGCAATAAATATTAGGTAGACAATAGGCGAGTTGATATATTGACAACATAGTACATTTATCACCTTTATAAAGATATTAAGGCTAAAAAGCATTTTTCTAGCATTTCCGACAGTACTTTAGATCTTTTACTTTGAGCATGTGGAAGCTTTCGACCATGCTTGGTTTGTTCACAGGACATGTACATTGGTCACTATTGATAGACTGCCCAATCAGTGAAGGGTTAACAAACCATGACTGGTACTTCTATCTGCCTTGCGCATCTTAATTGCGTTTAGAATCATTCAAGAATATTTTAATCGCGAATATTTGGAGATGGAAAAGTTTGTTTTAATTGACTTGAACTGATACGATACCAACATAATTTTGATGTATTGGGTAAATAGGCATTCTTATTTTGACTCAGCGTAAATGTAAATATTTAGTGTGTTTTCATACGCTGGAAAAAAAAAAAAAATTCTTGCATATTTCAATTTTTCTATAGCGTATTATACGCAAATACGCAGCTCATCTGGAGCTCTGCATACTCACTCTCTCACTCACTAACAACACAAACCAGTGACTGACATCATGAGCAACAGCCAAGCTGCATGCATTTCATTACAAGCAATGATCAAAGCTACCCAGCCTGATCACCCAATCAGGGGTTCAAAAATCCCATCGCCCGACGCCTGGGACAAGTCAGTTTTCATTTTGGGCAATCAAATAATTTTATCTTACTTGTCTGTGGGCTACTAGATAATTTCCACTTATGGTTTCAAACTGCAAATAAACTTTGATTTAATTTCATGTCTGCTCAAAAGGTAGCTATTAAATTTCGCAATGATGATAAAGTAGAGTTACCTTTCTTCGCTATTTATCACTTTTCAATAAATAGTCCAGTGAACATTGACATCAAATACCATGTTGATTTCTTCTTTCATAATTACATCATCATAATTATGTCATAAAATCAGGGCAAGTGGAAAATTAGTCAGGACAAGTTACTTTCTTATAGTCACCTGACCTGTGGCAAGTAGCTTTTTAAAAAAAATTTGAACCCCTGCCCAATCCACAGGTTACCGGGCATGCTTCCCTCTCCTTAATCCAGGGAGTGGTGGGGTAGCCTAGTGGTTAAAGCGTTTGCTCATCACGCCGAAGACTCTGGTTCGATTCTCCACATGGATACAATGTGTGAAGCCCATTTCTGGTATCCTCTGCTTTGATATTGCTGGAATATTGCTAAAAGCGGATTAAAACAATATTCACTCACTCTTTAATCGAGACACCCAGTCAGGATTTACTTATCAAGATTTACTGACTAAATAAATATGATCAACTCTGTTATTGGTTTGGTTTGAGTTGTTGTTTAAGGCTGCACTAAGCAATAAATAACTGTAAATAACGAAGTCTGGACAACTCTGTTTTTTATCACCTGTATGTCCGTCTACAAGTGGTGGTCCGATTAATTGAAATTATCGAAGATTGGTCGCAATGACTAAACGACCAAGCAATCAATCATGTTTTCTCATAATTGAACACAAACAATTTTGGACCACTTGTTTGCTTTAACAATATTTTTCACAACGTTGGTTTTGTCTGTTACATTTCATAAGCACTAGCAGCTCGTTCCAATTCAGGATTGAGTTTATCTTAAAGACTCCAGGAAATGTATGTTCCTAACATACTAGTCATCCTTTAAAGATGTCAAATTTGCAAATGCATTTTGTTGAATTTGCAAAAAACTCACCAGAACTACTTGTTTCTTCTTTATTTTTTTGTGCATTAACAAACATAACCAGGAAAATTTGATAAATGATGCTAACCCATTATTTTCTATAATTGATCGGTTGTAATGAACCAATCATCAATTATGAGATTTTAACTTATTCCCAACACTACCATGTACACAAATCAGAGATTAGAAACCCAAATTGAAGAACATGATTAAATATTAACAAAATACTCACAGTTCGTTCAAAGAAGTTATGAACAACAAGAAGCTGTTCCTCTGATGGCCCTTGACCTTGACCTTTGTTTGCCTCCTGACCAGCTCCATCACAAAACACTGTGTGGACATCAGACATTGACCTACAACTAACTTTGTCCTGAAGAACTGTTACATCATGATTTTCATGACTAATAATGTCCCTGGTCATTCCTTGTGACCTGTTCCGGTGGTTTTCGAAAGCAAGAATGTCATCCGCGGAGTATGAAACAGCTTTGACAAAATCGGTGATGCACTGATTTTCCGCTTTTTCAACATCACTGCTCTTGCTATGACCCTGAAACAGGTTTTGAAGGTCAGTCAAGGTCATAGGCAAAAGAAACTCTTTTCTAGACTTACTTCAGGCAAACAAGCCTTTCGTCCTTCAAGTGACCTTGCTCCTTGATCTGAAGGACAAGGAAATGACCTTGACCCACATTGACAACTTTGGCTGAACTTTTCACCATCTTGAAAACCAATGTGATAAACTGATAGCAACAAGCTTGACAATGTGTCACTATGAAGTGACCTTGCTTTGTCTTCTGATGACTTCGAGCTCATTGTATCATGTTGAGGTCTTGTCATATACAGGTGTTTGTGACGCAGTGAGGCACCTTTACGTACAGATGCTGGACATGTTTTCTGAAAGGAACAAGAAGCAGTTATCAGTTTGAAACCTAACTCAAATTTGATATCATGTCCATTCATACTTCCAATCTGCCCACTTGAACAATAAATCAAATGTCGCCCATGCGTATTTAAACGCTTATTTTTTTAAACATTTAACCTTTGATGAAGAAGTGAAACAACATTAAATTATAAATCACTTGACATTATTTAACTTGTATTAATATTTTGTCTAACTGCTTTAATACATTGGAGTCTTTGGCTGGGACTCAAACTACACCTGATCTGATGTCAGACATCTTGTCTACAGAAAGGACGTCTTCAGTGGTGTGACTTTGTGCCAAGAAAAATGATACAGTTAGACAATTTAGCCCTTCTTTTAAAAGCATTTAAGTTATACCATGGTATTGTATGGTCACATGTTTTTGCTTGACATGTTTCTGCTCTGGCATTTTGAATCGTGTTTTTTCTGATATTTTACACGATGTAACTTCACTGGCAGGTTGTTTGTCAACAAGCACTTCACTTCTATCGCTCCAGTGATACATTACTGACAAGCAAGCTACAAAACATACATTTTTATTAAATCTGAGAAACACATCAGTTGAAACACAGATGACTAAGACATATATAACAGCTCACGAAAACATGGTATTATGAAATGTTTTAAGAAATATTAAAACCGAGTGATGGATGGTCAACTTGGTGTTGATATCTGCTATCAGAAAATTACATTGAAGCAAGAAAAACATATGAGTGAGTGAGTGTAGTTTTACGCCGCACTCAGCAATGTTCCAACTATATGGTGGCAGTCTGTAAATAATAGAGTCTGGACCAGACAATCCAGTGATCAACAGCATGAGCATCGATCTGCGCAATTGGGAACCGATGACATGTGTCAACCAAGTCAGCAAGCCTGACCACCCGATCCCGCTAGTCGCCTTTTACGACAAGCATAGTCGCCTTTTACGACAAGCATAGTCGCCTCTTTTGACAAGAATGGATCTTCACGGGTCAGAAAAACATATGTCAATCAAAAGTTTTATGGCCAATCTCTGAAATTCAGAAGAGATCGATACAGACTTTCATATTAAACATCCAATAACTATATCAACATGTAGATAGTACCATAATATAACTATATAAATATTTGTTCGCATTTCATGAGCATGTGTGTCTTATAGGAGCAAAATGATGCCAGAATATGTCAAGTGAATGTGCATGGAATCCTTAAGTGTTGCAGGAATTAAACATTGAGTATTATTAGAGCGAATCAGCAAGCTGGATGATTATAAACAAACACTGGAAACTTCGAAATTCAAACCCCGATCACGTGTGCGAAATAAGTAAAGAATAAACAAGTGAATATGACAACATATTGTCTTTAAAAGCACGAATTACTTCAGTGTCCTAATTGCTTTGACGATGTTAACAGACAACGATGTTGTCAAAAACACCACGAAATAACAAATGTGTAAATAACAAATTAGAAGTGCTGGGCTTGACGTGGGCTTGATCTGACAAGGTAACCTGTCGACACCTTTATTAACACGCCCCGAAATTAACACCTCGTGCAAATAGTACTTGTAGTGTGCAAAATGTAATGTCACCGTTGATCTGTATTTAAAATATAAGCCAAAGATCGATGTTGAAAGGAAACACGAGAGGTCAGCGCGCTGCAAAGTCAACGGCTAAGATTCCGATAAATTTTGATCGACTCTTACATAAACATGCTCTGTAGAAGGATCGGCTTGTCTTCGTTCGAACACTTTGTCATCTGCCTGTGTTGAAAAGGGTAAGGCCCTGATTTTGGACAGTTTCAACAGATTATGATTTGAAAGTCGAACGTGAAATGCCATTTTTCGAACACACTTGCATGCTCTTCCCGAAAGCAGACAAACCGGATATCAAAGTCACCCAGGTTTACATGCGCACAACTGATGTAGACTGGTCCTTTGCTTTATCAAGCTTTGTGCGTAAAAAGGCAGGGACCAGTCTAAGTACTGATTCCATTTCCTTAACAACATATCCTAATAAAGTGAAATTCTAAGGTACTGAACTGAATCTTTAAAATAATCTTCCGCAAAATATTACGAATATGTCAAATTTCTCTTACGGGTTAAATTTACGCGGCACCAGGTGATATTACATCCCAAATAAAACGGACCGGACTAAAACGACTCCGCGATAAAACGGGTACTTATACCGTATTTCCTCTAATAAGCGCCGGGGTAAAGCAGCGGTTTAAGAAATAAGCGCCAGGTCTCTAATGAGCGCCGGGTACGTATTCCCTATTTCATTCATGTATTTTCCCTTGATCCCAAAATAGATCTATTGAATACAGAGTTATTGCTGTTTCTTTGATTATGTTGTAGTTTTCACATAAAACATATAAATTTCAGAAATTGTTTCGGGAATTGTTTTTCGATTGAGTAACTTTAACTTTAGCGCTTATAAAAAAACATGCATTGACACTTGTCTGCTGCTCCCCTAACGCTAACTTCGACGTAACGCTCACTATAGTACTGTCGGAAATAGAAAAAAACTGTATTTTCTCATTTATCCCTACAATTTATGTAGTTGATATGTGAAAGTGTCAAATATCTGTTAAACTAAGTTCAGCCTAACTACAGTCCAAAAAGACGTATTTGGAACAGACCATGGCTTTATGCAAATTAGTGTGCGACGATATTGTATTACAAAGGACACTTTTTAAATGCCCAACTTGAAATTAGACGTAGATTCATTATAAACGATAGCTGACGTAAAAAATAATAACTGTTATGCCGAAACTATTAAGGATGTAGCTACCATGCAGTCTCACTGTCACTATAAAAAGAAACATATAGGAGGGGTCGCCTCAAAAGCAAAACCTGGGGTCGGGCTTGGGGATAGAGATATCAGCTAAGATAAGATAATCCTTTAGGGCAATTATACTGGGGAGGTACACGGCACGTCATAACAATTTACAAATAATATCCAGTCCTGTCGATCTTCGGGTGGTCATGCCACCTATATACTACGATGCGTTTCTATGGTTTTCGGGTATCATACTCTCTTACATATCTCAACATAAACTTTATGAAAGAAAGACACGTAAGATGTTAATCAGTAGATGAGACATAGTCAACACACATGAAAAAGCACAAAATATCTTTGAGATGACCCCTTGCACATGCATTTCATACCAGGTGAGTCGGCGGTCACTAACAATTAATTACTCCCAGTAAGCGCAATAAGTGCCAGGTGTCCAATAAGCGCCGGGTCTGGAAGTCTGTTGAAATAATAAGCGCCCAGGCGCTTATCAGAGAAATACGATACTCCTGTGTGTAAATCGAAAACAACACCCGACCATGAGATTACAGAAATACAAAGCGGTATCGCGTGATGACGATGTATGGATACCAGAAAAAGGAAGGACTATCAATATAACAGGACAACAGAGACCGTACAATTAAATTTAATGAAATTTAAGTGAGTTTGTCGACTTCCCTTGGCACAGTCCCAGTTCGGTTGACACAGCGGGTACCACTTGCTGGGGTGTACACCTCTCTACCATGTAAACTATTCCAAGAGATCACCTTTCACACATACTTTTAGAAAATTCATGAGGTTTAACATTTAATTTGGAGTGAGTGAGTGAGTTTAGTTTTACTCCGTTTTTAAGCAATATTCCAGCAATATCACGGCGGGGGACACCAGGAATGTTTAATTTGGATGAGATAAATGTATTTGTACACATAGTTTACAGGAGAGACTTATCAAGGAATAGTTAAAGTTTTTTACCCCATACACAGTCTCTCTCTCTCTCTCTCTCTCTCTCTCTCTCTCTCTCTCTCTCTCTCTCTCTCTCTCTCTCTCTCTCTCTCTCTCTCTCTCTCTCTCTCTCTCTCTCTCTCTCTCTCTCTCTCTCTCTCTCTCTCTCTCATCTGGACTTAGCTGAGAAACAAACAAACATATTATGACACATCTGACCACTTTATTTTATGTACTGAAAAAGTTTAATATCTAGAATAGGCGGTGTTTCGGCTTTAAATGATCTGTTAGATCTGTTTCGGTTAGAATTGATCTTCAGTAACCCATGCTTGTCATAAGAGGCGACTGACGGCTCGCTGACTTTGTTGACACATGCCAACGGTTCCCCATTGAGCAGATCGATGCTCATGCTTTTGATCACTGGATTGTCTGGTCCAGACTCGAGATTATTTACAGACCGCCGCCATATAGCTGGAAGATCGCTGCGTGCGGCGTAAAACTAAACTCACTCATTCAAATTATCCATGCTTCCTGTAATATTTATGGAATCTTCGGCATTATTGCGTAAATTTAGTTACATTTTGAACATTAATATGTCATATCTTATAATTGTCCATGAAAAGATCAACATTTTTATTCTCAGAGATTAAAAGTTCTAATTTCCCATCTTTGTGCATGAAAAATAATCATTTATAACATTCATAGCATCAAAACATGATACAATTGCAAAATGTAAACGATACATAAACATATTTACACCGATACTTTCAAAACTAAATATCGATACAGCTTTGAATGTATCGATAATTGTATCGTCTTAGAAAAATGTATCCATGTATCCATGTATCGTGGCATCCATACTAAAAGTACTTTAATAAGTCGTCTTAAGCATGAACAACTATCAGGAAACATGTCCCCGAATCTGACCATCCGATTTCCATTTATCTGCTGTTTACATTGGCTCTTACAACAATCGCATCAGGCACTATTGCCAAAATAACTTTCATTTCACACAGCGAATATCCTTGGGATACTTGCCCTGTCCTTAAATCGTTCGTTTAAGATCTGGTATAAATTGTAATGATTGCGAGTAGGCGTAAGAATATAGTACGGGAGAACATGCCACGTACTTTCTCGCGAGACCTGTTTCACTTCTGACATGGCAGGCCAGAATGAAAACATTGAAATGACAGCCTCAAAGTAATTGAGCATACAGTCTTCCATTAATAAGGACCGGTATTCCCACGACCCGGTCGGTTAGGAGAAACATGGATCGACAACATACAGTCATGTTTCTGATGTTTATGGCTGTTGTAATTATTTTACTGGATGATTCTGCTTTGGCTTTATCATCGACAGAAAAGAACAGTGTGAAGTAAGTCCCAATAGTTATGAATATTGTTCGCAATGATTTTGTATTCATTATTATTATTTAATGTAGCATAACGTGATTGGTTTGGAAAGCGTCACTTGAAGCCACTTAGTATCGTAAAGTGGATCTCTTGTGGTCTCCTTAAATAGGTTTTGTGACAAATTCAAAACATGTATTTGATTAGCATGATAACTCAGATAAGATACCTTGCAGCTACCGTTTTGTCATAAACTGGTTATCTAACCTAACATGGTTCTCGTCATCAACGACAAACTGTGGAGATCCAGTAGTGCCACACAGAGTTTATTTCGGTTTAAAGGCCAACGGCCCATGTTAAAAAATAACATACATTAACTTAATAACAATGACAAGATAACAAGAAATTCATTTTAACCAGTAATTACCCATTCAAGAACATTTTCCTTTTACATAGTGATTCGCGAATCAGTTTTGCACAATTGTTGAGTAAGGTTCAAGTAAGAACACTCGTTTTTAAAATATTGGTGAATATTCAGTTCCAGTGATCACGAATAATGTGAAGTGAGCATGTTGAGGGGTTCTGGCTTCTTGTTAATGTCAAGTTGAGGAGTAGTGGTGTGTTGTCATCATGATCATTAAAACGTAATTTTGTGAACATGGTGAATATTCTTGTTTACTTGATTTAGGAAATGAAGTCTATCTGCACCTGGTGCAACCTTTAGGCAATAACCTTGTTGCAATTGACAAACACATTTTGCACCTGCTGCTTAATATAGCATTACACAGTGTAGGAACACATTTATCCCACGTCTACAGTGAGATTTTGTAAAAATATCTAGTCCGTCCTCATGTCAGTCAACCAATTATATATATAATTAATATCTTTTGAATATTTACTGCGAATGTGTTTTATTTATATTTGGAAGACAGGCTAGTTTGGCAGAACACAAAATTTGACCTGCCAGTCCTGTGGTAGACACTCTCCTACACTGATTACATGAGCATCATTTTATTCATACATTAGCCATTTTGATACAATGCCAATTTTTTGTTAATTATTCATTTGTCATTTATGTTATGTGAAGCTGTCTGGGTTAGAATGACACCTCTCAATAGTCAAACTCTCATGAGAAGGGGCTTGTCCGTTTTCATGTTAAGGACAGGGTAGGTTGGGTTTGTTTTGTTTTTCTTTTTTTTTTTTTTGGGGGTGGGGTGGTGAAGGAGGGATTTGTCCTTGAACATAATGGTATCAGGTGGTCAGGCTTGCTGGCTTGGTTGACACATGTCATCGGTTCCCAATTGTGCAGATTGATGCTCATGCTGTTGATCACTGGATTGTCTGGTCAGACTTCGATTATTTACAGACCACCGCCATATAGCTGGAATATTGCTGAGCTGGCGGGTTAACAGTTAAAACTAAACTCACTCACTCACTCAGTTCCTCATCATTCTGTTTCCCATCTGTAGTCTGTGTTCTTTGAACAGCAACATATTAACATGCACTAGGTGCAAGTTGGTAAAAGTATGACGTTGCATTTTGCAGTTTCTGGTTGCACCAGTGTAAGTTCTAAATATTTTAAATTGAGCCCTGACTTATGATGATATTTTCTTCTCTTACAGATTAAAAGTATTAGAGATGTTCGACCATGCTTATGGATCATATATGGTAAGTGGCATTCTTTCAGTATCCATTAACATTTATGGTCATTGATTAACCAAATAATCTTAAGCAGATCTTTGACAATATATACATTTTAGGATTTCCATACATCTACAGGAGACAAGTATGTGTTACTGGGGTCTTATTCTAACCAGGAAGCGTGTGTCAGTCCAAGCAGATTCTGCCTAAAATAACTATGAATTATTACTATATGCACAGCCCAATTGATTATAAATTATAATCTCATGTAAAATTCTTGTTTTTACATGCTTACAAATTAAATAGGAATGAAACAATACAGCCAGGTCATGATAAGATGCATATTACAATACACAGGTCATGATCCATGGCTTGTTGTGATACATATATGTACATCAAATGGTTCATTTCCCTAGCCTCGTCATACCAAATCCTCTGATTAGATGGCACATCTTACCTGTCTAGCATTCTGCATCAAGGAAATGAAAGAAGGATTGGTCAGTTCAGAGCCTGTATACTCTCTCAGTTGGGTACCCGCGAAGAACCGAGTTAGAATTTCAATAACTCATTCTTATCGTAAGAGGTGACTAACGGGATTGGGTGGTCACTGGCCAGGCTCGCTGACTTGGTTCACACATGTCATCGTATCCCAATTGTGTAGATTAGTGCTCATGCTGTTGAACCCTTGATTGACTGGTCCAGATTCGATTATATACGGACCGCCATATAGCTGAAATATTGCTGAGGAGGTGTAAAACTAAACTCACTCACTCAATGGGTTTCCATGTTAATTCTTTCATGGGTTTGCACCATGAAACAAGTGGTCATCATGGCACATGTCATCATCACATCTTTTCAAAACATTTATATGAAGACAAAATTATGTTTTACATTATGATGTATGTTATAGGAAGACATTGATCCAAATTTTAAGAGAAGCTAATCTGTGCAAAGATTTAGAATTAACATATTAAGCATGTTAAACATGTTTAACATAATGTTTAAGGTGCAGAATAATTCTTGAAATAATTTCAAAAATTGATTAGCATTCGAAATACCTGGTGTTATCAGCGGGTTATTTTGAAATACCTGCCTGATTCATCTGGTTAAAATTTAGACATGTACATTAGTATTTATTTGTGGGCAGGTAAGTTTTGGTCAGGGCTGGCAAGTTTTTACATCTAACCAGCCCTGTGGTCTGGCTGAAATTTTGGGACTTTCATACCCTGGTGTTAATCAGTCTATGTAAAAGTGTTAGATTACCATGATTATACCACTAATACATTAATAATCATGATTATCATATACACATGACCTTCAATTGGATTTGGAATGGGGGAGTGGGGTAGCCTAGTGGTGGTTAAAGCGTTTGCTCTCATGCGCCAAAGGCCCGGGTTCGATTCCCCACATTGGTACAATGAGTGAAGCCCATTTCTGGTGTCCCCAGCCATGATATTGCTGGAATATTGCTAAATACGAGGAGTAAAACCATACTCAGTCAGTCAGTTCAATTGGAATGAACAGAGATCAGATTTCTTCTTGGTGAATGCTAAAGTTAAATTCCCACTCTTAAAAATAAACACATTTCTATATCTGTGAGATACTTTTGTTGATGATGTTATTCTTAATTCTTGACTTGAGTCTTTGTTTTCTAAAACAGTTAAATATTTTAGAAAATTCCTGAAGTTTAACATTAAATTTGGGTGAGATAAATGTAGTTGTACACATGGTTTTACAGGAAGCGCTTGCTTATAGAGGAGTTAACATGTACAAAGGTTGACCCAATATACACAGTCCATACTCCTGTCCATACTCCTGTCCATGTCCGGGCTCTAAGTCATCACAGATTAACTCAATCATGTGGATAGAAAAACTACACTTTCCACTCAGGTTTGCGCTCTGAACCTCCCTAGCATTTAAACTATTTCCCATGACACATGCATGAACACACTCTCTCTGATTTGAAGAGAGCTCTGAATTTATGTGAAAACACCTACCATGCTATATTAAAACATTTAAAAGTTTCATGCCATATGCCTGTGCACACAAACACAAGTACATACATAGTTATGTTCAGATATACTCAGTGCCAATACAGTACAACACTGCAATACAGTCAGGTGATAATTATGTAGTCAACATTCTCACTCAGTGTTAGTAGTTATAGATAGCAGAGCTGTGAAAAATCTAATGTAAATGTCGCGGTATTAGTTGTTGGAGTGGCAACAGCTGTTGAGGGTGAGGCAAACTTGGTCAAATTAGTTCCGAAGATCAATATCTGTACACAGTGTAGTATAGCTGAGTTATTGCATCAGCAATGAACCTGAACAACATTTTGATTCTCTGTGGTACAAATTTACCAGAAATGTCTTCTGAATATTGCTAGGGCCACCCCTAAAATGACCCTGCACATAATCATGCTATCATATTTAGTCAACACTGCTATGTCAAACTGTGATGTCTCAAACTTAGGCAAGCCGTAAAGATCCGTACTTGAATTGATCTTCAGTAACCAATGCTTGCCGTAAGAGGCGACTATCGGGATCGGGTGGTCAGGCTCGCTGACTTGGTTGACACATGTCATCGGTTCCCAATTGTGCAGATCGATGCTCATGCTGTTGATCACTGGATTGTCTGATCCAAACTCGATTATTTACAGACCGCTGCCATATAGCTTGAATATTGCTGAGTGCAACTAAACTAAACTCACGAGTCACGAGTCACTCACACATTGGATAACTTGAAGTACTTGTGTAGGTTCCTTCAGCTTTGGTACAACTGTGTTTGACTGTATGTATTCAGCTTACCATGTCATAATGACACTCACTATTTGTAACATGCTAGATCCACCCACTCACATGTTGAACAGCATTTCATTATTAATGCATGTTCAGGAGATCAGCGTGCACTCAAATTTCATTTTCTGCTCCATAGAGCAAATTTTCAACAAAGAATTTTCCATATATAGAAATTATTATGTATTTCAGATTTAGTTCAGATAAAAACTTTGAATTGCTTGTTTTTTAATTTGATTAAATTTGTATAAAAACTGATCCATCAAACAAATAGGATGTTCAATATTTAGGCCAATCTCACTAACTTATTTAGATAATGAAAGATGATAAATAAAGAGAACAACAGTTAAAACAAAAGGACAACTAGTTTTACTTCAGAATTGCCGTGTTAGTTATTTCTTCTGTCAGGCATTAAATTATGGGGGCGGTGGGGTAGCCTAATGGTTAAAGCGTTGGCTCGTCACGCTGAAGATCCAGGTTCGAATCCCCACATGGGCACAATGTGTGAAGCCTATTTCTGGTGTCCCCCGCCGTGATGTTGCTGGAATATTGCTAAAAGCGGCGTAAAACCAAACTCAGTCAGTCAGTCATTAAATTATGAGACCATGGTGTGCAACAAAATAACAAAATTGTTCACTGCATCACATATATTATCTTGAACATAACGAAGTAAATACAGCCATACACATTTACACACAGTTGCTTGCCACTAATGAAGAAAACTGTTATTTTCCTTCAAACAGTGGTTGAAATAATGCTGTTAGGATTTCTCCTGTATTTGGTGAATCAAAAGTAATACCTTCTTTTCTTCAGTTTGCAATTCATTGTCACTAGAATCAAATATCTATGAATCTTTTTAGAAAGAATGTTTTATTACATGGAACTTGTCTATTATTTATCAAAATAAGATATGCGAATTGAATGTTTACAAGCCATGCAGTAGTGTATCTTCTTTTTGAGCCGACCTACCACAGTAGGCTAAAAGTAACTTTGTCACAATGTATAGCTTGTTTGCTTAACAAAACACATCCCTGAAATGTTTCAACGTAAGCAGTTACATGGCATGTTATTTTAATGCCTTCATAGCAAACAAAGTATTCATGAATAAATGTTATTCATTACCTTTTATTCGTGATGCCTCATAGCATGTTTGATTCAGCCCCAGGTTGAAAGATAGATCAGATTTAGAGTTGTCACAATTTTATAATGTCAATTAATCTAGTTTGCTGAAATGCCAACTCATACAATTTTATCATATTCATTACGAATAAACAACACGAAGTATGCGACTACGATGGCAGTAAAAATATACACATTTTCAAAAATAATACATTAAATTAAATTATCAATAGCATACGTACCATACACAATAAATTGCAACCCCATTTTATTCAGTATCAAGCTATATGTGGTAACTTACTACTGATTTAGATGAGTACAATGTTAATAACAAGTTCTTAGATAAGTTAGAATATCTATATATTTTTTTATTAAATATGAAAATTCTTGAGGAAAGGTTAATACTAAGTTTTTGCATCAGTTTTTTCCCAAATTCTAATTGGGCGAAATTAGGGTTGGCATCTCTGAGTTTATCACTTGACTTTATTTCTTTATTTGTACGTTGAGAACAGCCATACAGTGCTGCAGAAGGTTTCATTGGCTCATTACTTACACATGAGCAGCTCTGGGATTAGTCTGTCTCAAGTTCCGACGACCGCAATAATTTCCCTTTCTCCCAACCCATTCTGTAACAGAAACATCCTAAATTAAGCATGCCTAGATTTCTTCAGGTTCAGTTTCCGCACCCATTAGGACTCTTTTTTCATTATTCCAGACGAGTGCTGCATTAAACATCAACCAAAAGAATACTCAATGTCTTTTCGAGAGTGGTCAATGTAACAAATTTTATGTTTGAGATTCTAAGATGCTTCACTAAAAGATCAAGGATTTATCAGGCGATAAAGTACACTTTTTGCTTTACATCACACTGTATTGACGTCACTACTCTATTATATCGTCTGCCCCCTCGTAATGAAACGTACACTTGGTAACCGACGTCACGATGAATGTCATCACCTTGTACAGTCTCATACAATAAACTACTCCGTAGCGCCCATTTCTTGGTTTACAGTTGCTTCACTCGGCTACCATCACAGGTGGAACATTACGTTTAATGTTTTCGATGGAACAAATGTCTTTTGGGTTGAGACAAATTTCATGTTTGGGATTGCATTTTGTGAGTGAAGTACAAATTCTAGTACTTTTCTATTTACTGAATGATGAAATTCATATTTTTTTAAGAAAGTGTAATTGCAGTTATACCACTTGTTTCAAAATTTGAACATATCATTTTGCCTCGTAGACTTTGGCACAGATTGCATGCGGTAATCAAAATGAACATTCATACCTAATGGTCCCTGTACATTAGACATACACCACCACACAAGACTGCACCATAAATAAAATATGAGTTTCTTTGATGCACCCAACACTCTGCTGCATCTCAAGTTGCAGATGACTTACGAGTGATTAAAAGTTTCATAAGAGCAAGCTGTAAGTGCCAGCTGATCTAGAAGTGGCACAGCTCATGATGAAGCAAAGCTGAATGTGCTTGAGTCGTTGAAATTGCTGACATTATTACCCCCATCATTGGATCAGTGAGCACAACAACCCAAGCTGCCTGTGAGGCACTAAAGAAGGTTAACCGTCACATGACCATCTCATCCCACCGGGTACCCTTTCAATGCTGGGTGATCAGAAGTATTAAATGATTTATGATTGAACTCACTTGCCTACGGTGAGACTACATGTGTTACATGTGTTTCGTTGTGGGGCAGGACTGAAGTCCTAGAAACACACAGGAGTCAAGCTGCCAAACACGGTCACCCATCCAAGGACTCTCCGTGACCAACGTTGCTTAACTTCACAGGACCAATCACAACCAGAACTCTTAAAGCATGTTATTACCAATTCATCAATGAATCTGATGCATGAAATACCAGAAACTGCTTCAAGATTTTTCAAACTGATGTACCTAAAATCAAGTATTTTAGGGCCACATGCCATAATGTAACTGAAATACCATTAAAAATGGCAGACTTTTGATGTTAAACAATGGAGACATCAATGTACAAATCTGGATTCTACAAATTTCCCTAGACTGAATGACATGGCTTTGATCATAGTTAACCACTTCTGTTGTCTGAAGTGCCTGCCCAATGGCTGGAAGGTCAATAGTTCAATGGCTGGAAGGTTCAAGGTGTGTCGTACCAAAGGACATAAAAGTAAGCTGTTTTTGTTTTCCTGGGACTTGGCATTAATGAACAGGCCAGCTTAGTGAGTGAGTGAGTTTAGTTTTACACCACACTCAGCACTATTCCAGCTATATGGCAGCAATCTGTAAATAATCGAGTCTGGACCAGACATCCAGTGATCAACAGCATGAGCATCAATCTGCGAAATTGGGAACCGATGACATGTGTCAACCAAGTCAGCAAGCCTGACCACCCGATCCTGTTAGTCGCCCTACGACAAGCATAGTTGCCTTTTTTGGCAAGCATGGGTTGCTGAAGACCTCTTCTACCCCGGATCTTCACGGGTCAGTCAAGGTGAGAGTCAGTAAACTGTAACTGAGTGGTGAATTCAACATGCTCCAGCAGGGTTTTACCTTGACTCACAAACATGGGTGTACAGGAACCCCCAATTGTTAGTCTTAAGGGTAATAGCGGGCCAAGTGAGGGGCCTGTGAAGGAACAGTGTCGAGAACTGTATGCTCTGGTATTATCTTTAGAGCCTGGAATAAATAATTGAAAATGAGGACTGATGGATGAAATGTACGTAACTGCTCTGAAAGACTCAACCTGAGTGATGTATTCAACATGTTCCAGTAAACTTGGAGGATTGCTTTATCAAACCAGTATTAGACTGATAGAGTTCCAGAAGGAACACATTCATGCATGCACAAGGTATACATACAAGTGCAATTACCTTTCACCAGCATCTTACCACTTTTCATTGGCACATCAATGCGCAGATTGTCATTTTGCTATCATACATTATTGAAAACAAAAAAATCACATATCTTATTCATTCTGTGTTAGAAATATAGAATCAATGACATAGGGTTTGTTACCATGATTACCATTAAAACTTAATGGAATCGTACTTAGTTACAGGAAAAATTCTAATCCCAGATCACTCAGCTTATGTTCCAGGTTTGTCAGCTCCTTACCCTGTTGTTGTCTGGAGTGGTAAACATCTGAGACACATCAACATTAGGCTTTGTTCCCATGTTCAGCTGACTGGCCATCATGTAACCAGTGTGTGAAATAGTTTCCAAATTTTGCTAGCCTGTCCGGCTAGCTGTGCCTGAAAGTTACTAGCCCACAAAATAATAATTATTCACAAGCCCGAAATTTGAATGTAGAAGCTAAGCAAAATATTACAAAAATAGATGAGAATAAGATATTGTCGGCATGAGACGGGTTACATCATTAAGCTGCTAATATGATGAACATTTTAATCAGGCCATAATTTTGCAGGTTTTAAAAGTGTATTGTAACTTAACAAGTCGGAAAGTGATATATTTACAAAATGACACCATGAAAATTCACTAGCCAGTCGGGTCAGTGATTGGAGATTTACTGGCCGACTGAATTTTTGCTAGTCATGGGCTAGCGGGCCAGTGACTTTCACACACTTCATATTATAACTTGAATACTGTTGAAAGAAGCATTAGGTGAGGTGAGGTGAAATTGGGTTTTACGTCGTGCTTGAGAATATTTCGCTCATATGACGACGTGCATGCGCGTGTATGTGTATGTGCGTCTGCTTGACCTAGCCCAGACTTAAGCTGGTTTTATAGTGCTAGCCCACTGAGATACCATGCCGCAGTGAAGCATGAATACCCCACTCAGACACATTATACTGACTCCGAGCCGACCAGTCCTTCTTGTACCCATTAATGCCGAGCGCCAGGCAGGGACCAACAAGTACCATATTTTAACGTCTTTTGGTATGACGCGGTCGGGGATCGAACCCCCGACCTTCCGCTCTCCGGGCGGACACTCTAACCACTACACCACGGAGGCGGTCGAAAGAAGCATTAAAACCAACTAACTCACTGGTATTGGTTGCTGTTAGTTAGATTGAACAGTAATAATGTTTCTTTTTCATCGTTTTCATCTTTTTGTATTCGTTAAGAAAGAATAAACTGCTTTTAATGCAAAAGAACTGATATTTGTACAGTAGAGTGCAACAAACTTACACATGTGTACTACAGGCAATACTGTGATGGTGATTCACTGTGTGGTGCAACCGAAGGTGGATCGTTTAGGGTTTGAATCTCAAGGTTTTGGAGAGGATTGAAACCTGAAATATGCATTTTATTTGACCGGATGGAAGTTTGTGGAAGAGCATGATTGCGATGATGTTTCCTGTTGCAGAACCATGCCTACCCCGGGGATGAGTTGATGCCTCTGAGTTGTAAAGGCCGATATCGGGGAACCCAGCCCAGCAGGGGTGACATCGACGACTCCCTTGGCAAGTAAGTAGAAATCTATGGTGCCTGACATGTAGTTGGTGTGGTCGTATCTTTATACGTATATCCTCAAGCATTTTCATATTTGCCCTGTGACAAAAGAACATGCGTGCATAGCATAGTAAGTAGGATTTTAGAGTTCAGAATGTTTGTTGGGATTTAGGAAAAATCCAGCTTTGTATATGATTTAACTTTCAAGTCTCTAGCTAGTAAAATGTTTTTCTGTCCAGTAAGTCAGTTCCAAGAAACCCATATATTAACTTTGTAATGTTGCCAGTAGACACCAAATGGATATGTATGAGCTAGTTAAAACAAAGATGGGTACAGACTCTGAATTAATTCAAGAAACAGGGGACATAGATATCCCCCATCATCTCAGGCTCATTTCGATGAGACCCAAACACATGATGTCATCTTAACATCAACAATGTTGTACTTGTCATGTTTGAATAAATGTGTGTCTTTATTATGTGATCAGTAGGAGGGGAAAATGATATTTGAGATCTTTGTACATCTATCAAAATATGCTGTTTGTTTTTTTCAGTTTCACCCTGACCCTCATTGACAGTCTGGACACTTTGGCGGTGAGTACAACAGGCAACATGTTCATTGTGTGTACATGTACAAGCGACCACCTCCGTGGTGTAGTGGTTAGAGCGCCCGCCCGGAGAGCGGAAGGTCGGGGGTTTGATCCCCGACCGCGTCATACCAAAAGACGTTAAAATATGGTACTTGTTGGTCCCTGCCTGGCGCTCGGCATTAATGGGTACAAGAAGGACTGGTCGGCTCGGAGTCAGTATAATGTGTCTGAGTGGGGTATCCATGCTTCACTGCGGCATGGTATCTCAGTGGGCTAGCACTATAAAACCAGCTTAAGTCTGGGCTAGTACAAGCAGCCGCACATACACATACATATGCATGCACGTCGTCATATGAGTGAAATATTCTCAAGCACGACGTAAAACCCAATTTCACCCCACCTCACCTCACATGTACAACCACCTTCAACACATGGTGTCCACATGTACCCTTTGGTTGTTGCAGTATCACAAGGTTGGTTGGCTGGTTCATGTTTAACACCACACTCAGCAATATTCCAGCAATATGGTGGCGGGTCGTAAATAATCGCGTGTGGACCAGACAATTCAGTGATCAACATCATGACCATAGATCTATGCAATTGGGATACGATGAGATGTATCAACCAAGTCAGTAAGCCTGACTACCCGATCTTCTTAATAACCTATACGACAAGCATGGATTGTATCACAAGGGTATAGGTGTTCTCAGGTTTATATAAACCTGCAACTGGAATGCCCTTCATAACCATGATAACACCATCATCATCATCATCATCATCATCATCATCATCATCACCATCATCATCATTGTGCAGGTCCTCTATTGTTGCCCTATGTACAGGTCCTTTATTGTTTCTATTCTACAGGTACTGGGCAAGATAGAGGAGTTTGAGCAGGCTGTCAGACTAGTTATTCAAGATTCTCGCTTTGATGCTGATGTTGTTGTCTCGGTCTTGAAACCAACATCCGGGTTCTCGGGTAAGCCTTGGTTATTCATGCCCCATCACACGATGCCCCTGGTACTAGTGCAGTAAGCAAGTACATCGTCTGAAAATAGAACAGCTTTGTAACAGTTATTCAAACATAAGAAAGGCATTTCATGAATAAATACTTTCGTCTTTTACATGTAACTTTGGCTATGGTTTATTGTGTTGAAAATATATGTGTGTTTGGTCATGAAATCATGTCTGATAATAATTTTGAATACCATTTCAACACATGCTAAATTGTATCACTATCAGCAGGGATTGGTTGATTGTTGTTTTACGCCGCACTCAGCAGTATTCCAGCTATATGGTGGCTGTCTGTAAAAAATCCAGCCTGGACCACACAATCCAGTGATCAACATAAGCATTGATCTACACAACTGGGATACAATGACATGTGTCAACCAAATCAGCGCGTCTGACCAACCAATCCCGTTAGTTGCCCCTCACGACCAGTATGGGTTGCTGAAGATCAATTCTAACCCAGATCTACATGGATCTTATCAGCAGGGGAAGCCAGAGATGTCAGAATAGGTCACAGAAGCACAGAACTGCAAAATCTCAATGTTCAATGGATTATTTTATTCAACACATATTTTCTGCATTTAATCTGACCATGCTGTCTCACAAAAAAATGATAATTCTACACTTGTACATGTAATCTGATCATTATGATTTGTAGAAAATCACCTAAAATTCACTTGAAGAATTATCCGGGTCTAAAATGAATTATGTCTAATTGTATTGAAGCAGAACATGCTAGCTGGCGAAGGTGTTGAGCCATTGAACTGATTATACTAAGCCACTGTTAAATATTGATATATCATCCATCTCCACTGGGAGCGGCTATTGATAACTACCTGATGCTGTAGCGTTTAATGCTAAATAAAACAGTCCACTGAAAAGAATAACAATCTTGTTTCCTACACTGATTCCAAACCTTGTGTTGCCAACAACAAGAGTGTGAAAGCTTATACTGGAAGACTGGCAAGCCTTCAGGGACACACAACATATTCAAAAGAGAATTTTAAAAATAAAAAGACAATAGTTTGAAATGTCATTTAAAAAAAAAAAAGACAATGCTGAACAACCAAGACTTGATCCATTATATATTTAAGCCAAGAAATATAAGAGAGTGGCCTGACCTGATTACGACAGACGGTAGTTAATAGTTAATGACGAGGCAGGTGTGATGAGGCTGGCACTCCTTCAGATCAGGATGCTGAAACAGGATGTTGTGTTAGGATGAGGAAATGGTGTACTGTCAGGCAATGTGGAGTCATGGGTAGAACGGTGAAAGGCCCTGTTCATGGTCATACTTTGAGATGTGTAGGTGTGGGGCTTGTTTATAATCTGATCATGATGAGGTTTGCTGGGATTGTTTTGAAAACAATATTTTGTTCCAGGAAGTGTGGGAAATTATCATTTGGCCTCCACTTTTAGACACATTCACAAATAATTTATCACTGAACAAATTTTTGGAAAATATATGGAATACCAGGTGGAATTGTTTTTATGATATTGCACACTCTTAAGGAAAATAGTTATGTGACTGCTAGCAGAAAAAGGGGGGTCTCTCAGCAGAACCCACACATCTAGCAGATTATTCAATGGTTTCTGCATCAGACGTGAATTTTAGGAATTGCATTAAAATTTAAGTGTATTCTAGTAATATGATTCAGATGAAAAATATATAATTGAATAAATCATTGATACTTGTTTCCGTGATATGTGTTGGCATGAAGAGAGTGGTGAGAGTACTTTGCTAAACATTCATCTTGTTAGTATGACTGGTTACTATAACAGTGATAATCTAAGAATATATGAAAATATATGAATAGTGTTGAAAAATAATATGGATCAGCTGGAACACACTCTAATAGAAGCAAGTTACCTATCCACTAGCTTTGTGTCAGCACGACTAGTTGCCCAACGTAGTGCCTCTCTGGCCATCAGACCAAGATCTCTGAAGATAGCAACACAATGTCACAGTCAGTTCTTCAGAAAAAATATATATTTTGACGTGCATGTGTATGTGTGTGTTGCAGAGGGCTGCTTGGTGGCCATGTTGTGGCCTCCTACCTCTTGAAGAAGGGGAAGGCCTTGTTGTGGTACAACAATGAACTCCTAGAGATGGCCAAGGAAGTCGGCGATCGTCTGCTACCTGCCTTCAATACCACCACTGGCATTCCATACCCCAGGGTAGGTACACACGAAATGAATACCTCCAGTGTAGGTACACAGGTACACAGGCATTTTGAATATCCCCAGGGTAGGTACACAGGCATTGAATACACCCAGGGTAAGTACACAGGCATTTTAAATACCCCCAGGGTAGGTACACAGGCATTGAATACACCCAGGGTAGTACACACACACCACACACACACACAACACAGGCATTTTGAATACCCCAGGGTAGGTACACAGGCATTGAATACCCCCAGGGTAGGTACACAGGCATTGAATACCCCTAGGGTAGGTACACAGGCATTGAATACACCCAGGGTAGGTACACAGGCATTGAATACCCCAGGGTAGGTACACAGGCATTGTATACCCCTAGGGTAGGTACACAGGCATTGAATACCCCTAGGGTAGGTACACAGGCATTGTATACCCCTAGGGTAGGTACACAGGCATTGAATACCCCTAGGGTAGGTACACAGGCATTGAATGCCCCTAGGTATGCAACCCCTAGGTAGGTACACAGGCATTGTATACCCCTAGGGTAGGTACACAGGCATTGAATACCCCTAGGGTAGGTACACAGGCATTGTATACCCCCAGTTACACAATCATCAGTGTAATGTACTGTGACATGTGTTCCAGGTGAACCTGCTGCGTGGAATGGAAGGCAACATCCTGTCACAGCACAAGGACACGTGTACTGCTTGTGCTGGCACTATGCTGTTGGAGTTCGCTACGCTCAGTCGTCTAACAGGAGAACGCATATATGAGGTGGGAAATCATTTTTGCCTATGAACAGGCTACATTGTATACAGAAAGGCTCAGTGGGAAAGGACCAGGGAGATGGGACTGTGATGAAGCCAGGGGCTGGACTAGGATGCAAGGGACAAGGGCCAGAGGGCAGGGACAATGATCAGAGGGCATGGACAAGGGCCAGTGAGCAGGGACTGATTGGTGGTAGGACTTGGATCAGGGGCAGTGACACGGAACAGGGGTGCAGACAAGGATCAGGGGTGGGGACTAATGACAGGGAAAAGGACCCAAGGTGAGAGGCAGGGGCCAGGCCAGGTGGGAGGGGCCAGGCCAGGTGGGAGGGGACAGGACAGGTGGGAGGAGACTGGCCAGATGGGAGGGGACAGGACAGATGGGAGGGGACAGGACAGGTGGGAGGGGACAGGACAGGTGGGAGGAGACTGGACAGGTGGGAGGGGACAGGACAGATGGGAGGAGACAGGACAGATGGGAGGGGACGGGCCAGATGGGAGGGACAGGACAGATGGGAGGGACTGGCCAGATGGAGAGGGACAGGACAGATGGGAGGAGACTGGACAGATGGGAGGGACAGGACAGATGGGAGGGGACTGGCCAGATGGGAGGGGACAGGACAGGTGGGAGGGGAGAGGACAGGTGGGAGGAGACTGGACAGGTGGGTGGAGACTGGACAGGTGGGAGGGGACAGGACATATGGGAGGGGACAGGACAGGTGGGAGGAGACTGGACAGGTGGAAGGAGACTGGACAGGTGGGAGGGGACAGGACAGATGGGAGGGGACAGGACAGATGGGAGGAGACAGGACAGGTGGTAGTTATAATTTTTCCTTATCCTGACTCATGATTATTGCTTATCTCCCTTCTTCTTCGACGGTTGAGTGAAAACCTTGAATCCTATTCAAATTTACTGAAACGCTCGTACAATCACTCGACCAGAGTTACCTCCCTTGTTCCCGCCAAAACCGGTCCCACGTGACCTAAGCCAGTCTCTTTCCACTCGCTCCTTCATCGCCCTAGTCGACGGTCGGGCGGTCCTTACGAGTCCTAATTGCGGCATATATCCTTCATTTTTCGTCCTTACATTACAAATTGTGGCCGCAGATTGTATTTTGATCCATATTGGATGCTTCTAGATGTATAATATCATGTAAATTTCTACTAAAATTCCGTTGTTTTCACTCCGTTGCTGGTGGGGTTTGCTCAATGGTGGCATGTCAACAATGCAGATTGAGACTATCTGCGTTTGATCCACATCCTGTTTGCTCCTCTTGTCGCCTTCATACGTTTTCTTTTGTATCACGATGTAATATTGTAATAATTTATCACCACAATTGTTTACTAAATATTTATCAGCCTGCTTACGCAGGTCAATAGATAAACAGCATCGTGTCAACAAGTCAGCAGTAAGGGGTTGCTCTGATATAACAAATAGTAATATGTCACAACGCGATATGGAGAAAATTCCAAGAATTTCTGCTGTTTCTATCACGCTTTCAGAAACAGCTGCGCAGTCGACCTCCAAGAAAAAGTCACCTCAGATAGAGGAGACTGAACTACAACTTTTAGCAAGGAAGAAACGATCGTCTAGATTGTCTGCAAAATCTACATCTACAAAATCTACATCATCTATGTCTACTAGATCATCTGATACAACTATGACATGCGCTAATGCCATATCTCTCGACTTGATAGATCACCACCGGTTTTAGAACCCAAGAGATCATCTTGACTTCATCTCAGAGAACATCTACTAGTACTCCTAGAGAGTTAGCGAAGCTCAGGTTCGCAACAACATTCATCAAAAATCGCCATCGTCGAGAAAGAAACATTCGCCCCAGCGTGATCATCCACCACCTCATCAGGGTTCGCGAACCCTCGGACAGACAATCAACATAGATCGCCACAAGCCGCCTCTCACACTACGAAAACATCTACTGACCATTCAACCTCTATGAGGTTGGCGGAAGGCTCGTCAAACCAAGCAACTGTTGCACTTGAGACAGACAGAGCTTTTACATCGGACGGAAGGTTCACGAACCCTCAACAACAGAGATACAAATCAACCTTTCGCGAACTCGTCACGCTCAACAAATCCATCAGTCGATCAAGATTTTGTAGCCAGTATTACACGCCAAGTAGTTTTAGCTATGCAACAACGATCATCATCAGATAATCAACAGACAACTACACATGTTACATCAATGGATGATAACATTCAGGAAGAGACACACACACTTCAGAAACGAGTTTTCAAGAAACAGAGGAGTCTACAATCTATCCAGACGCGGAAGTATTATCTTGGATAACAGATGGGTTACCAATCGCATCACCAATGCACAACGAGAATTCAGAAGAGACTTATCGCATTATAGATGGCGATCTTGAAACTTTAACTATACCACCTTTTAAACCTGTATCGCAGGTTTCATCGAACCTCAAGTTAGCATTTGCGAATGCTACAAGACATCAAGGTCAACACAAACCAGCATTTAATGCGAGCTTGTAATCCACATGAAATAAGAGCATTAGCATCAACGCTCGCATTACATGGAAATTGCTTGTTATCATCTATCATGGAAGGCTGTTTTTGGAGATCTGACACGGTGTTTGCGAATCACTATCTACGAGATATTGCTACAGAGGATGTATCAGGCATTGACCAGTTCGGGACCACTGATAGTGGCTCAACAGCTCACAAATCCAACCAGACATTGAGAACCCTAAATATCACGCTGACTTGTAGACGCTAGGCAACTCTTCAATTGCCACCAGCAGAAAGTCCATGTCAATTGTCTTATTTCATAAGTCAAAACATGAGTGATATAAACCTTGTTAAGTAATAGTCCTTACTTAACGTATGGGTTGCGATTCCAGTTTAGATAATAGTCCTTACGTTTACATATGGTTCGTTCCGAAATATCTGGAATACTAGATGATCTAAAACCACAAAATCTATAAGATTACTTCTCTTAATCACTTAAGAGTAGGTGGTCCCCCTATATGATAAATTGACAACTGAATGCGGCAACAGGAGTTATCAGGGGTTAAACAATCAGACTGTATATAGACAGCCACAGTGAATCCCGTAGGTGGCTGACCCACCACCTATTACGTGGGATTTCATAAGCAATAATCATGAGTCAGGATAAGGATAAATAGGTTATTTTTATGATAAAATTAATATATTTTTCCTTATCCTGACTCATGCTCTTTTGCTTGTCTTCTTCTTCTTGCGAACATAGTGGAACACTTGTATCTCCTTATTTGAAGCTCCCTTCAAAATAAAATCACTAATTGGTACTCACCACGAGTTGCTCCCCTTTGTCTCCCCTGGCGGGAAAAGGTGTCGCCACCCTCTGGCCATGTGCTCCACTCTCTCCTTCTTCGCCCAGTGAGCAGGATGTGAGAGCGCCTTGTGTCTCCTTACACACATATCCTTTGATAATCTCTTAGTTTTACCTCTCATAGGTTACTATAGAGGTATAGCTAGTATCCTTTACTATTTGTATTGATTAATTATCGTGATTTCTACCGTTTATTCACACGTGTATTCGTGATTGTTCAGCTAGCTTTACGCTCATGAAAATCTGTACGATTTGTAGATTACGCTTTTTCTGCCTCCCATCCACATGTAATATGCCCTAGTTGTTCTCGCCCGGTGTGCGTTTAATTCACGCGTTGCAGTTACTGCATTAATTTATCTCATTCTGCATTTAATAAATATCATCTTTATGCCTTTAAGACGTGCTGCAGATAGATCACGCAAAACAAGGGCAAAACATGGCAGAGAGTCCAGATATTCCTTCCAGTCAGCTGCTATGATCGACCCTCTCCGCCTGGTGTTCTGCTAGAGACCCCTGCGCAGAGGAACGTGGACGCAGTCCGTTACTCGAAGAAACGACCGCCTCCCCAGACATCCCTGGCCATTGCAGACTAAGTCTAAGAGGGCCTCATCGCCGCCTCAACGCAGATTGAGGATTACCCAGGGCAGCGCCAGACTTCCAAAGGAAATCTACGAAGACAGCAAGAACTTTTCAGCCGAGATCGCTCCAGCAGCAGAGTTGGGCCTCTACGATGATCAGCCGATAATCATCCCCGACTTACGCAGAAGAAGCGACCGTGTCAGCGACTGTGACTTCTGCAGAGATCTCCATGCAGCCTGATGCCTCTACACCGACGCCAGACGCCATTGATGTGAACCCATCGCAGAAAAGACGACGACGACTTCGCCACAGATCATCCCAGAAGACATGATGCGGCAGATTATGAACATCATGGAGGACCACTACAAACTGCGCCAAGCAGGGTCCGAAGCCAAGGCTCCAACGTAGACAGCACCCCAGAGGCACCCCCGTCAACGTAGCAGCCAAGACGATGTCACCTTCGCTCAAGGAAGTCCCGCACCACCTTGACGAAGCGACCTAGATGTACAGCCTTCAAGGGCTAAGGCTGGCACGGGAGAGATCATCACCATCTTCGATTTCATCTCTAGATATGGACTCAGACCATCAGACATCACGGAAGCTTCGAAGGTCATATCATCGATCCCCGGACCGACGCTAAATGAAGCCGAAGGCATTCGCGAAAGACATATGATTCCAGATCTTCATCGTCTAGAAGAACATCGAGGGATCGCCGAAGAGCTTCGGGCTAAGCTATCAACATTCACCTCACAAGTCTCCAGAAGATCATCCCATAGACGATCTCCACACGCTCATCACCAGGTCGATCACCCATCAGATCTCCACATAGAGCGGCGCGACAAGTCAACTAGATCGCCACAAACCTCATCAGATATTCAGATAGCTACACGCAGTCCCTAAGAGCATCTACAATTTATTAATGATGATGGTTTTGAGGATGATGGAGGAATCATATTTTCTGATGCAGAGATACGGTATTGATGGTCAATAACCTAGATCTCACATCACCATCTAAAAGTGGCAATACAGCTCAGACATTATTTGATGAAGGAAGATGATCCAGATGCAATCACTCTACCCCGACGAATCCGACATGCGGCAGTGCCACAGAATCTAGATGCAGCTTTCCAGAAAGCTCACGAAAGTTCAGATACCACATCTACCCAACTTTCAAGCCAAGAAGTTCTCCACGATAACATGGACTCCTTCTACAAGGCCCAGGACATCGATGAGAACTATAAGATCATCAGCGTATGTAAAGAACAAGATTTACAAGATGGATGATCGCAAGTTGGCTCATATAGAAACCATGAATCAGGACATTATGTTCTTTGGGTTAAATAGATCTAGGACGCATCAATGAGACTCTTATTACTAGATTCGGGATTCCACGACGGAAGATGATAGAATGATTTATTCTGCCTTACTTATGCAAAAAGAAAGATCAGCAGTTTTTAACGGATCATCTTACATCTGTTTCAGCAGCATTCGACCTTAGCTTCGTCGCCGCCAAGGCCTCCTCGCCTCCTGTAATTGGGGGAGAACTTTACAGTCCCCACTTTATACAGCCCCGTGGTCGACAACATCCATCTTTGACGGAGAAATCGACAAGGTCGCCAAGGAAGTCTCTAAGGATTCCAGGGAAGTCCTTATGATTAGATCGATGGACACACTAACCAGCGCCATTCGTCCAGACTTCACAAAGATACTCAGGCAGATCTAAGTTCACGGGCCTACAAAGAGCAAGAGACAGGAAGATAGCCAGCTCTAGAGGTAAGATTCTTTTCGTCAGCCCATATGGCAACTATAGAGGAGGATCAGGAAGAGGCAGGACACCCAGAGGTTCCCGCAATTATAGACGCTGAAACACAGGTTCGAACGACTGGAGTCTTCCACCCCAGCCGCTCCAGTACAACCAGCTCAAGTGGGTGGACGCCTTCAACTACACTGGGAAAACTGGGGAATACTGCAAGATCCTTACGTCTCCAACATTATTCAACACGGATTTCAGGGATCCTCTACAGGACAAGCTCCGCTGACAATCAAACCCCCAAGTTAGGTTACAAAGCGCCAACAACTACCAAAGATAAAGAGGCTGTCTCATCACTCCCTATCCAAACAGGCCATAGAAGTAATAGATCAAGCAAACATTCGAACCAGGTTTCTACTCCCCAGTTTTCCTAGTTCCCAAGAAAAACTCCACGAGAAATACAGACTCATCTACAACATGAGCTTTTTCAACAAGAACTATCTCACCAAACCACCGAGAGTTTTAGCATGATACATTTACCTCAGTTACGCCAGATGATTCGGCCCTATGGACTACATGGGCAGCATAGATCTACAGGATGCCTTACTTGCACATCCCCATTCATCCCGATTCCAGGAAATACCTCCACGATTTACTCTAGAAGGGCTACATTACCAGTGGAAAGTACTCCCATTCGAATATCATCAGCCCCTGGCTATTCAACGAGGATAACGAAACCGACATCAAATTTCTACATCGTCCATTAAGGGCTACGAGTGCGTTTTACCTCGACGACGGGATACAAGTAGATCAAGATCCACTCGCGTCTCAAACTACAGTTAAATTACATCATAAAGCTACTAACACAACTAGGTTGGTTAGTAAACTTACGCAAGTCGGACCTAGTACCATCGCAGAAGACCTACAGTTCCCTAGGTATTCGATTCATCACAAATCGCGAACCGTATTATGGTACCAGAAGACCGCTGGCTCAAGATACAACAGACCATTCCACCAGCTCTCTACTCTCCGCTACCACCGCGACAATGGCAGAGCCTACTAGGTCTTCTCACATCAGCCCAAGACATGACTGTCACAGGCAGATTACAGTTACGCCCCCCTACAGGTCCTCATCAAAGCGCACATCTCAACGATGTACAACCATTCAGTCTACCGAAACAGCTCAGACCACATCTACTATGGTGGACCAAGAAATCGAATGTCTGCGAAGGATTTGTTTAGCAGAGCAGGAATACAAAACCCATCTGTATGTAGATCGCCAAGTTACTCCAAGGTTGGGGAGCTCATCTCACCAACCACACGATATCAGGGTTATGGAATCAGCAAGAATGCAAACTCCATATAAACAGTCTAGAAATGAAAGCTGTAATCAACAGCCATTCTACATTGGAGCACATTTCTACAAAATGCGCCTAATGATCCATACAGACAATTCGACAGTGGCGTTTCTAATATAAACAAGCAAGCTGCTCAACGAGATCGATGAACCTTTTGAACCTAAGCTTTTCAACTGTTCGATTTAATACAAGATCTAAATCTACATGTCAAAGCAGTGCACATTCCCGAGCCAGAAATATACCACTTGAAGACGCCTCTCGGCCTCATCTACCATCACCCCATAGAGTGGATGATCAACCGGGAAATTTTTGCACAGATAATCAAGCAATTAGAGCTACCGCTAATAGACCTATTCGCCACGCCGATTCAACAATCAGCTACCTACATTCGCGGTCACCAGTCCCAGACCCCCGCTTGGGCAACGGACGCTTTTAAGTCTATCATGGAAGGCCTCACGCGCATCGCCAAGCTCACCACCAGCAATAATACCTCAAGTATTACAGAAAATCCAGACAAACACAGAGCTCTACTAACTCACTTTGGTCGCTTCTACTGGCCGTACAGAACGTGGTTTCTATACTAATTCAAGAATCGGGTCAACCAACACTGGAGCTACCCAAGCTGCAAGAAACCTGTTAATTCATCCTCACACCAAACAAGTGCACGGAACCCAGCAATGTTCCAACTACACGCATGGACTGTATACAAATGTGTTTAAACAAGAGGATATTTCTGCCAGGGCGCAAAAGCAGCTCACGCTTTGCTTTACGCTACTCAACTCAGAACTTGTAATGACGATAAGTGGCACAGTTTCAAAATTATGCAACAAAGAAAGGGTTTTACAGCAAGAGAGGCTTCACAACCTCAAGTGGTGACTATTTGTGTTACCTACGCCAAAACAAACATTTAAAAGGTTCAACGATATCAACATATCTTGCCGCTGCTTAGCTCTGTAATCACCATGAGAACGGGTGTCAAATTGACAAGATCTCCAGAGTTACTGGCCTTACTACGAAGCTTCCATTGAGGACCAAAAGCGAAGTTCCACTTCCAGCTTGGGATCTGAATGTAGTGTTACAACACCTCACGAAAGTGAGGTCTTATGAACCCTTGAATCGCATACAAACTTTGAATTTCTCTCACAGAAAACATTGTTTCTGCTATCGCTAGCCACAGCAGCAAGAATGTCTGAAATTCACGCTTGGATTACGAGGATACAGTTTGATGACAATCATAACACAGCTAATTCCTCGATTAAGATGGGATTTCATTGTAAAGAATCAACTGCCAGGTCAACCAGACAGATTATTCCACATCCCGGCGCTATCCTCTATTCTCGATCACAAGATACACAAGACCTATCACTGTGTCCGTAAGAGCCCCCAAAGTTTATTTTACGACGCATCCAAAACAAGGAGAAGATTTTCAAACGCTTATTCATCCCATTATCTACTACCTAATCAAACAGAAGTGTCACATGACCACACATCTATTTGATAAGGATCATGGCCTCCTGCGCTCACAAGGCAAGCAGGCTTGGACCCACCAACAGCATCAAACCACATGAGATCAGGGCACTGGCCTCACTCCCGGCCTCCCATAACTGCAACTGTTCCTTGAACACGATTATGGAAGGATGCTATTGGAAATCTAACATGGTATTTGCTATTACCACTACTTAAGAGACATCACTACAGAAGATGTCTCTGGCATTCACCATTTCGACCACTGGTCCTCGCTTCAGCAACTGACAGTCCCTGTGAGGTGTTAAAATATTAGCCTCACAAGATTAATATGTATTTTATACATACTCATCTAGCTTATAAACTCTAAGGAGTTTTAGGGCTATGTATATATGTTCAGCTTTAAGCATTCTACCTTAAGCATATACTTGATATAGTCAATTTCAGTGCCTCTATCAGAGTCAGTATATATATATATATATATATAATTTATATGTATTGTTCAATATATTCATAATGTAATTCCCCTTTAATGGCTTTATATAACCTATATGTTTTCTTTATACAGGATACACATCCTAAATCTAAGACTTCATGAAGTTCCCTGTAGGGGATATTACAGTATATCTATACAAAAATCACTAATGCTATAACCAAAGTATTCTGTTTACCCACCTCCGTCCTCGTAGGATGCTACAAGTAAAAGATATAGTATATATATGAGTCAGGATAAGGAAAAAATATGTAACAATTTTAGAGTAAAATTGATATTTTATACTTATCCTGACTCATGAGGTTATCCTCCCATCCTCCCCACATAACACTTTGGATTTCCCTGTAAGGGTCAAGTGTTGGGCCTGCTAAATCAGGAGAGAGTGGAGCACATGGCCAGAGGGTGGCTTACACCTTTTCCTCGCCAGGAGACAAAGGGAACAACTCGCGGTGAGCACTCACTAGTGATTTTATTTTGAAGGAGCTTCAAATAAGGAGATACAAGTTCCACCATGTTCCAAGAAGAAGAAGACAAGCAAAAGAGCATGAGTCAGGATAAGTATAAAATATCAATTTTACTCTAAAAATTACATTTTTATACTTATCCTGACTCATGAGGTAAGCCCTCCCGACCGTCCCCACTCTCAGCATTACGGTCTTCACTGTAAGTCGCAATGCGGGCATATTCGGAGAGAGTGATAAGAGACAGGCTTAGGTCGATGGGATCAGTTTGCGTAGCGAGGGAACAAGTTTGCAGGGAACTCTGGGTGATTGATTCTACGAGTGTTTCAGTGAATTTAAATAGGATTCAAGGTTTCCGCTCAACCGTCGAATGGAGAAAGGAGATAAGCAATAATCATGAGTCAGGATAAGTATAAAAATAATAATTTTATCATAAAAATTACATGTTTTAGATAACATATTTGTGGAAGATGTTTTGCCATTAACATTATTATGTTATTGTTTTTGCTTTTGTGGATGCAGGATAAGGCTCGAAAAGCAATGGACTATTTGTGGAAACAGCGCCATCGAACAAGCGATCTCATGGGGCTTGTTATTAACATACACAATGGAGACTGGATCCGCCGAGGTCAGTGTAATGGACACATCATCATATCATTTTGTCTCATAGCATACTTACCATTTCAATTTTCCAGATTTTACAAACAAAACAAAAGCAATACTTGGATTTAGTTATGATGTAAAATAATGTTTGCTCTTAGTTTGATTTATATGGATATTTTTGTGCGACTGGAGTGGACAGTAAGTGAAAATATGTTTTTTCCCTCCACACAGAGAGTGGCGTAGGTGCTGGCATCGACTCGTACTATGAGTATGTGTTGAAGTCCTACATTCTGCTTGGGGACGAAACCTACCTGGATCGTTTCAATAAGGTGAGCTGCCTCACTGTCCAAAGCCTTTGTATTTTCCCATGAAGGTCCGGGTTAGAATTGGCCTTCAGCAACACATGCTTGTCGCAAGGAGTGGTCAGGATCAGGTGGTCAGGTTCGCTGACTTGTTTGACACATGTTATCGGTGCAGATCGATGCTCGTGCTGTTGATCAGTGGGTTGTCAGGTCCATACTCAATTATTTACAGACCTCCGTCATATAGCTGGAATATTGCTGAGTCCGGTGTAAAACTAAATTCACTCACTCACTTGTGGCCAAGGCTTGATTATTTACAGGCAGTTGTCATACAGCTAAAAAAGAGCTGAGTTAAACAACAACAAAACATATGTATGTGACGTGGTTTAATACAGTGTAGCTGTCCTCATCATTACAGGGGATTTATATACACTTGTTCAAAAGAACATATTTTGCCCCAAATTAGAATTTATCATTTTTCAGTCTATTTTGGTATATGCAATGAAAATATGATTTATGGCTTTGTATAGATAACGTGTATTCATTGATAACTGGAGTACAACAGAGGAAGAAGTTACTGGATTGAATACCATCTGAAAATGTGTGGTAAAATAGCTCTCAATTAAATAAATTGTAAATTTTAACTGGTTATACTCTGTGTACCTGTGAGGAAAACTTAGGACAGGATCCTGACTTCTTTAAAAACATTTCACTCTCCAGTGGGAGACCATCCTTTGGACATGCATATCAATATACCTTGGGCCTTGAATTCAAGACCATTCAACTCGGAAAGACCTGTTAAGCCCTGTCAACTCACAAGTCATGTTTGACGATAGAATCTGGTCTGCAGGAGACTAGAAAAGACTTTGGGTTGGAGTTTTGGTTGTTGTTGGTGTTGGAGTTGGTTTAGCTTTCATTGATGTAGCTATTGTCATATGTAGACGATGTGCAGAGTTTATAGCTGTTCCATAAACATGTGATGAGGTACTGTCATATATAGACAATGTGTAGAGTTTATAGCTGTTCTGTATACCTGCAGCATTACAGTGCCGCGATGAGGTACTGCCGTATATGGACGATGTGTAGGGTTTATAGCTGTTCTGTATACCTGCAACTCTACAGGGCCTCGATGAGGTACTGTCGTATATAGACGATGTGTAGAGTTTATAGCTGTTCCGTATACCTGCAGCTCTACAGTGCCGTGATGAGGTACTGTCGTATATAGACGATGTGTAGAGTTTATAGCTGTTCTGTATACCTGCAGCATTACAGTGCCGTGATGAGGTACTGTCATATATAGACGATGTGTAGGGTTTATAGCTGTTCCGTATACCTGCAGCACTACAGTGCCGTGATATGAGGTGCTGTCGTGTATATGAGACGATGTGTAGAGTTCATAGCTTGCATACCTGCAGCACACAGTCGTAATGAGGTACTGTCCTATAGAGCGATGTGTAGAGTTTATAGCTGTTCGATATACCTGCAGCATTACAGTGCCGTGATGAGGTACTGTCGTATATAGACGATGTGTAGAGTTTATAGCTTTTCTGTATACCTGCAGCATTACAGTGCCGTGATGAGGTACTGTCGTATATAGACGATGTGTAGGGTTTATAGCTGTTCTGTATACCTGCAGCATTACAGTGCCGTGATGAGGTACCGTATAGCATAGACGATGTGTAGAGTTTATAGCTGTTCTGTATACCTGCAGCACTACAGTGCCGTTATGAGGTACTGTCGTATATAGACGATGTGTAGAGTTTATAGCTGTTCTGTATACCTGCAGCATTACAGTGCCGTGATGAGGTACTATGCATTATATAGGCGATGTGTAGGGTTTATAGCGGTTCTGTATACCTGCAGCATTACAGTGCCGTTATGAGGTACTGTCAGTATATAGGCGATGTGTGTAGAGTTTATAGCTGTTCTGTATACCTGCAGCACTACAGTGCCGTTATGAGGTGCTGTCGTATATGAAGCGATGTGTAGAGTTTATAGCTTTTCTGTATACCTGCAGCACTACAGTGTCGTAATGAGGTACTGTATGCATTATAGAGGCGATGTGTAGAGTTTATAGCTGTTCTGTATACCTGCAGCACTACAGTGCCGTGATGAGGTGCTGTCATGATATGAGGCGATGTGTAGAGTTCATAGCTGTTCTGTATACCTGCAGCACTAATGAGGTACTGTCCCGTAGACGATGTAGAGTTTATAGCTGTTCCGTGATATATTGCGCAGCATTACAGTGCCGTGATGAGGTACTGTCGCGATATAGACGATGTGTAGAGTTTATAGCTTTTCTGTATACCTGCAGCATTACAGTGCCGTGATGAGGTACTGTCGTATATAGACGATGTGTAGGGTTTATAGCTGTTCTGTATACCTGCAGCATTACAGTGCCGTGATGAGGTACTGTCGTATATAGACGATGTGTAGAGTTTATAGCTGTTCTGTATACCTGCAGCACTACAGTGCCGTGATGAGGTACTGTCTTATATAGACGATGTGTAGAGTTTATAGCTGTTCTGTATACCTGCAGCACTACAGTGCCGTGATGAGGTACTGTCGTATATAGACGATGTGTAGGGTTTATAGCGGTTCTGTATACCTGCAGCACTACAGTGCCGTTATGAGGTACTGTCGTATATAGACGATGTGTAGAGTTTATAGCTGTTCTGTATACCTGCAGCACTACAGTGCCGTTATGAGGTGCTGTCGTATATAGACGATGTGTAGAGTTTATAGCTTTTCTGTATACCTGCAGCACTACAGTGTCGTAATGAGGTACTGTCGTATATAGACGATGTGCGGTAAGTTTATAGCCGTTCTGTATACCCGCAGCATTACAGTGCCGCGGATGAGGTACTGTCGTGATATGGATCGATGTGTAGAGTTTATAGCTGTTCCCATACCTGCAGCATTACAGTGCCGGATGAGGTACCGTCGTATTATGACGAGACAGCGTAGGTTTATAGCTGTTCTGTATACCCGCAGCATTACAGTGCCGCGATGAGGTACCGTCGTGATATAGACGATGCGTAGGGTTTATAGCTGTTCAGGTATACCTGCAGCACTACAGTGCCGTTATGAGGTACTGTCGTATATAGACGATGTGTAGAGTTTATAGCTGTTCTGTATACCTGCAGCACTACAGTGCCGTTATGAGGTACTGTCGTATATAGACGATGTGTAGAGTTTATAGCTTTTCTGTATACCTGCAGCACTACAGTGCCGTGATGAGGTACTGTCGTATATAGACGATGTGTAGAGTTTATAGCTGTTCTGTATACCTGCAGCACTACAGTGCCGTGATGAGGTACTGTCGTATATAGACGATGTGTAGAGTTTATAGCTGTTCCGTATACCTACAGCTGTTCTGTATACCTGCAGCACTACAGTGCCGTGATGAGGTACTGTCGTATATAGACGATGTGTAGGGTTTATAGCTGTTCTGTATACCTGCAGCATTACAGTACCGCGATGAGGTACTGTCATATATAGACGATGTGTAGAGTTTTTAGCTGTTCTGTATACCTGCAGCACTACAGTGCCGTGATGAGGTACTGTCGTATATAGACGATGTGTAGAGTTTATAGCTGTTCTGTATACCTGCAGCATTACAGTGCCGTGATGAGGTACTGTCGTATATAGACGATGTGTAGAGTTTATAGCTGTTCCATATACCTGCAGCACTACAGTGCCGTGATGAGGTATGTGAGTCAGGGCCCCCTGCTGGTGGATGTCCACATGCACAAGCCAATGGCAGCCTCCCGGAACTTCATGGATGCTCTGCTGGCCTTCTGGCCGGGACTTCAGGTGGGTACAGTGTATGACAGGCTCTGATCCCTTCCACAAAGTGATCTTATCAGTTGGACAATCGTAAGTCACATATGGTTGTTGTACCACTAAGATTGCCTTGTTAAACCAGCTCTGCATTGCGTCCTTTAGGTCTTCAGTTGTCTGGAATTATGGAAAGAGTCAAATTATACTGTATAATCAGTATTGAGTCAGCATGTTGAAACAGTTGTAATCATGAAAGGGTAACATATGTTATTTTTGGGATTACACTTTCTTAGTAAAGGACAGATTCTAAGACTTTTGTTGGGTTAAGTCCCATCCTGGATTCGAACCCACACCCTCAGAGTCAGGCACCTAATAGTCAGCACACAAAGCCAGACGCCTAACCCACTCAGCCACCGTGAACACAAGTCTGACGTCTGGTAGCTGAGACCACATACTTTGTGTACACTACCAGTTGTCCGACTTCCATTTTTGCGGAAGAAGCCACTGTGACTGACGGGATCGGGTGGTCAGGCTCGCTGACTTAGTTGATACATGTCATCGTATCCCCATTGCGTAGATTGATGCTCATGCTGTTAATCACTTGATTGTCTGATCCAGACTTGATTATTTACAGACCGCCGCCATATTGCGGAAATATTGCTGTGTGCGGCGTAAAACTAAACTCACTCACTATTTCATATACATTCCTGCTTTTGTATGTCTCCTATCATGATAACGAGTAAGTTATATCTTGTAGCTGATTCCTTGAATTAAAAGTTTTCTATTAAATAATGGAATTGCTTTGTGGGATTGTAGTTACCTTTAATTTGACTACCAGTGCCTTGAAAAAGTCTAGACATGTCCTTGGAAGCAGTGTGGGTGTTTTCTAGGTGCTGAAGGGAGACATCCGGCCGGCCATCGAGACACACGAGATGCTGTACCAGGTCATACAGAGACACAACTTCCTGCCTGAGGTATGGAATACTGCTGGTAGCACAACTAACATTAAACTTAGCCAGCAGACAGCCAGTAGAAGTCTAAGTTTGTTTTACAGTTTGCATTTTTAGAATGACAATTACTACATCATCAAGTTTATTTTTAACCTTTTGTATACATATCAAGTATTGTCTTTCCCTAATAAATCAATTCTCAGTCTTGCCTACTTGTATTCAGTTGAAATCATGATACAGATTTGGATAATAAATAGAGGAGGAGAAATTCCAAAAGAAACACCGACCTGTAGATCCATGTTAGAATTGGTCTTCAGCAACCAATGTTTGTCGTAAGAGGCAACTTACGGGATCAGGTGGTCAGGTCAGCCGACTTGCATGATGCATGTCATTGTATCCAAATTGCTTAGATCGATGCTCATGATGTCAATCACTGGATTGTCTGACCCAACTTGATCATTTACAGACTGCTGCCATATAGCTAGACAATTGCTCTATGTGACATTAAACCACAAACAAAAGCATTTTTGGATTTCGAATCATATGATTTCAGTACGTTCACATTAACATTTATATACTTTCTAGGAATATTACCAACATCTTTTCTTGGAAATTTACTTTATGTATGTTGGAACATTGATTCTGTTTATGTATTGCACGTTACTGCTGCTTGCTGTTACTAACTGGAAATGAATGACAATCTAAGCCCTTCCCCTATAAAATATGCCTTCCTCTCTGATGTACCATCTGCTTGCACTTTAAGTCTTTGATAACTGTATATGCACAAAAGGGAAATGTATGAACACCCAGGATGTTATTTCTTTCAGGCTTTCACAACAGATTTTCGAGTTCACTGGAGCCATCATCCTTTGAGGCCTGAATTTGTGGAGTCCACCTACTTCCTGTACAAGGTAGGCTCGGCAGCTTTGCCTGAAAATCTACCCCAGTACCTCTCTGTGTACAGAAATATACCCCAGTACCTCCCTGTGTACAGAAATATACCCCAGTACCTCCTGTGTACAGAAATATACCCCAGTACCCCTGTGTGTACAGAAATATACCCCAGTACCTCTGTGAGGTCAAACACTGTGGTATCTGTGATGAAGACCCACACTTCAATCACATTTAGTGTTTGAAAGTCTCGATATGAAAATTTACAATGCTATGTCTGGTTGAGAATTGCTTTGTGATGCGTTTAAAGAAATATATACCCCAGTACCTCTCTGTGTACATAAATATACCCCAGTACCTCTCTGTGTACAGTAAATATACCCCAGTACCTCTCTGTGTACATAAATATACCCCAGTGTCTCTCTGTGTACAGAAATATACCCCAGTACCTCCTGTGTACAGAAGTATACCCCGGTACCTCTCTGTGAACAGAAATATACCCCAGTACCTCTATGTGTACAGAAATATACCCCAAGTACCTCTATGTGTACAGAAATATACCCCAGTACCTCTCTGTGAGAACAGAAATATACCCCATAGTACCTCTCTGTGTACAGAAATATACCCCAGTACCTCTCTGTGAACAGAAATATACCCCGGTACCTCTCTGTGTACAGAAATATACCCTAGTACCTCTCTGTGAACAGAAATATACCAGAGTACCTCTCTGTGTACAGAAATATACCCCAGTACCTCTCTGTGAACAGAAATATACCACAGTACCTCTCTGTGTACAGAAATATACCCCAGTACCTCTGTGTGTACAGAAATACTCTCTGTGTACAGAAATATACCCCAGTACCTTTCTGTGTACAGAAATATACCCCAGTACCTCTATGTGTACAAAAGATACCCCAGTACCTCTCTGTGTACAGAAATGTACCCCAGTACCTCTCTGTGTAGAGAAAAATACCCCAGTACCTCTGTGTACAGAAATATACCCCAGTACCTCTCTGTGTACAGAAATATAACCCTAATTACCACTCTGTGTACAAAATATTCCCCAAGTACCTCTCTGTGTACAGAAATATAACCCAGTACCTCTCAGTGTACAGGAATATACCCCAGTACCTCTATGTGTATAGAAATATAACCCAGTTCCCTCTATGTGTCTAGAAATATATCCAGTACCCTGTGTGTACAGAAATATACATGTTAATAATCAGTGTGCAAAATAGCAGTGGACTATGGACATACAGCTGGGATATTGCTGGGTACAGTTGAACCATAACAGACAACCATTATTGTTATGATGTGTGTTCTTACGTGTTTGTTTGCAGGCCACAGGTGACCCCCACTACCTTGAGGTCGGCAAACAGGTGGTGGAGAATCTGGACAAGATGGCACGAGTACCCTGTGGATTTGCTGCAATCAAGGATGTCACCACACTTGACATGAGGACCAGTAAGTCTGGATACAGCTACAACTATTACTCATCTAGGCCTCAACTACAACTCAACTACTACTATACTACTGCTGCCACCAACACCGTCCTCCTCCACCTTTTCCTTTTTCTTCTCCTTTTCTCATTTTTTTTCATGTAATTCTTCTTTTCTTCTCCTTTTTTCTTTTCTGCTTTTTCATAATCCTCACTTTTTTTTTTTTCTTCTTCTTTTTCTTTTTCTGTTCCTACTCTTCCTCCTACCACCTCCTAGACATTCAAAGTATCTGTACTGTTGTTGTATGTGATAGAATGGACTTGTATGTGTTTGCGAAGACGTTCAAGTATCTGTACCTGTTGTATGTGATAGAATGGACTTGTATGTGTTTGCGGAGAAGTTCAAGTATCCTTACTGTTGTTGTATGTGATAGAATGGACTCGTATGTGTTTGCGAAGACGTTCAAGTATCTGTACCTGTTGTTGTATGTGATAGAATGGACTCGTACGTGTTGGCGGAGATGTTCAACTACCTGCATAGATCTGCCTTTCTTGTTTGTGGGGTAGCCTAGTGGTTAAAGCATTCGCTTGTCACGCCGAAGACCCGGGTTCAGGTGTCCCCTGCCGTGATACTGCTGCAATATTGCTAAAAGCGTAAAACTAAACTCACTCACTGTTCTTGTTTGTAATAGAATGGACTCGTACGTGTTGGCGGAGACATTCAAGTATCTGTACCTGCTATTTGCCGAGAAGGAGGAGATGACTCTGGACATTGATGACTACATCTTCACCACCGAAGCCCACCTCTTGCCCCTTACATTGTCTGTACAGAACACGTCCAGTGTCCCCAAGGTGAGTGAATAGAGATCTAGCATTATGACATCTGGCAGTCTTTGATCTCAAACTATTGTCCCATTCAGCATTAACAGATGCCAACAGAGACCGTCCATAATCAGAAAAATAATTACCTTGAGCAATTTCTTACTTCTAGGCATCATGTTATGAGGTAGATGTATATTTAGAGAGGCTGGTCTTGAGACAGTCAATTCTTTGACCAACAGCGTACTTTAACTTCTGACATGTGACAGATCAATCCTGAGGCATATCGCAATCTGGAGAAGACATTTCGCACAGAGCAGACCACTGAGCTTGACCCAGCCCAGGTAGTGAGTGAGACAGATGACGAGGATGATGAGTACAACACGTGCCCCAACTTCCAGGTGCAGATCCCGGGTGGCATCACGTATGCCCACTCTCTGCGCAGTCAGATGAAGAACCTGGTTGACAGAGTCAGCCCCAGACCACGCAGGTATGTCTGGACACAGACCCCGCTCCATGTAGTCTTATAGCTGTGTTTACAACACAATCTTTCTACTCCCGACATTGTTCTTGACACCACTCCTGACACTACTCCTAACAGTACTCCCAACACTACTACTGACACTACTCCTGGCACTACTCCCAACACTACTACTGGCACTACTCCTGACACTACTCCAGACACTACTACTGGCACTACTCCTGACACTACTCCTAACACTACTCCACACACTACTCCTGACACTACTCCTAACAGTACTCCCAACACTACTCCAGACACTACTCCCAACACTTCAACACTACTCCAGACACTACTCCCAACACTACTCCTGACACTACTCCCAACACTTCAACACTACTCCAGACACTACTCCTGGCACTACTCCAGACACTACCCTAGACACTACTCCAGACACTACTCCTGGCACTACTCCAGATACAACTCCAGACACTACCCTAGACACTACTCCAGACACTACTCACACTACTCCTGACACTACTCCAGACACTATTCTCCTACACTACTCTCGACACTACTCCTGACACTGCTCCTGACACTGCTCCTGACACTACTCTCGACACTACTCCTGACACTTCTCCAGACACTGCTCCTGACACTACTCCTGACACTACTTTTGGACACTACTTTTGACACTGCTCGACACTGCTCCTGACACTGCTCCTGACACTGCTCCAGACACTGCTCCTGACACTACTCCTGACACTGCTCCTGACACTACTCCTGACACTGCTCCTGACACTACTCCTGACACTACTCCTAGCTACTCTCGACACTACACCAGACACTGCTCCTGACACTCCACCTGACACTGCTCCTGACACTACTCTCGACACTACTCTCGACACTACACCTGACACTGCTCCTGACACTGCTCCAGACACTGCTCCTGACACTGCTCCTGACACTACTCCTGACACTGCTCCTAACACTACTCCTGACACTACTCTCGACACTTCTCCCAACACTTCAACACTACTACTGGCACTACTTCCAACACTATTCCAAACACAACTCCCAACACTACTCCAGACACTGCTCCTGGCACTACTCCAGACACAACTGCCAACACTTCAACACTACTCCAGACACTACTCCAGTCACTACTGCTGGCACTACTCCAGGCACTACTCCGGCACTACTCCAGACACAACTCCCAACACCCCTCCCAACACTTCAACACTACTCCAGACACTACTCCAGTCACTACTGCTGGCACTACTCCAGGCACTACTCCGGCACTACTCCAGACACAACTCCCAACACCCCTCCCAACACTTCAACACTACTCCAGACACTACTACTGGCACTGTGCCAAACACAACTCCCAACACTACTGCAGATACTACTCCTGGCACTACTCCATATTCTGCTCCAGACACTACTCCCAACACTACTACCTTCACTACTCCCAACACTACTTTTGGCACTTCTCCAGACACTACTCATGACACTACTGTTGCCTGGGTTTGTCCCTCATCTCGAACTCTTCCACTTCCACAACTTTCTTCTCTCCTCTAAACCAGTATGTGACTGTTTGTGATTACCCTGATTAATATGTCCCTTGTAGCTGTTTGTAACAGAGAGGATGCTGAGGAATATTTGCTATTTCCTGGGATAGTGTTGAAGACTAGTTGCCAGGATAATGTTGATGACTGTATTTGCAAGGTTAGTGTTGGTGACCGTTTGCCACTATAACGTTGATGAATGTTCATATAATAGCAGGAACCAGCCTAGGCTGCAGGCGTCCGAGTTCATCGCAGGTAACAAAGCTCACCTTGACGTCCTCCACAAGATGGGCATCCGCATCGCCACCATGTCAGATGGACGCATACAGCTGCTGCACACAGCATCTGAGGTAGGAGGCAGCAGGGGCACTAGGCAGGGTCCTGAACCTATCCACAGAGCATTCGCAGCTCCTTTACTGTTGTTAGGTGATGTTAAAGTATCAGGATCTCAAATAACTTTGGTGCTGGGAGTACCAACACCACACTTAAAACAATTTATTGTGTAACTCCATGTTATGTGTGTTTTTCCCGGAGGAAAGATATGGATCTGCTTGATGATTTGGTTCATTGCTTGCCATATATGATCACTAGATTGTGTGGTCAAAATTTGATTGTTTACATGTGCCCTCATATGGCTTGATTATTGTTAAACTACATAAACATAACTGCAACCACATCTTGAGGTTGTAAATTGCTACATATCTGGAACTGTTGCATTCTCTCTTTATCAGGATGGTGATGATATACAGTATAGAGTTTGAGTAGGCAGATGTTCATTTTGTAGAAGTTGAAACCATCTTCATGTTGTGTTTCTCCAGGCCGCCACCCCTGAAGATGCTGAGGATGGGATGAAGTTTATGCAGGAGATGATTGAACTCTCGAAGACACAGTCACCAGAGGGTAAGCGTTGGAAGAGCCGTGTGATAAGTGTGCTGGTATATACAGGGGGTACAGCATTGTTACAGCTGTGGTACATACAGGGTACAGCATTGTTACAGCTGTGGTACATACAGGGGTACAGCATTATTTTACAGCTGTGGTACATACAGGGTACAGCATTGTTACAGCTGTGGTATACCGATATATGACCGTCCTATAAGCCCGAATTTTGAGGACCAAAAAAAGCAGTCTGTAGAAGGGGTGCGTCTTATCCATGGGTTACGCTTTCGTCAAACTTTTTCCAGGGGTAAGAAAACAACATCGTATCACTTCAGCGTGAACAAACAACAGAAGGCGACTTTGTCAGTAGAGGCGTCAAATTTGCAATTAAACATCACTAGACAAGATTATTTACCTTTTAAGTTATAAGTTGTTTTGCTGGGCATTGTATTATTTGCAGGGATTAAGATTACCGTGCGTATTTGTCTAGTACACAAAGCCGGAAATAGCAATCAGCTGTGCACACGTTCCGGTGAACAAGTTCAAACAGGCACAATAATATAGCGTGGATCGAATTCTGGACGCAGTCTTCAGTAAAATATAGTACAGAATACTATTATTTAACCCAAAGAAATATATCCTAGCATTGTGTAATTTTATTTACAGTTTTATGTAAAATATATATAATCAACACTAAGGTTATAATGGACCCTCATGAGCGTGGTAAGCACATGGAATGGGGGTAAAATACGGAAGCCATTTAAATTCACACATTTTACCGATGTTACTGAAAACTCGCAGTCAATGGAAAGCGAGGCGATAATCAGTTCGTGATTGTTGAATGGGGTAAAATAAAGCAAGCCAGTTTGTTGCTACAATAAATATGATATTTAGAGAAGCAAAATATATTATGCATTTTCTGTCAACTACATTCGTTTCGATCCATTGAGTAGACAAAATATATATGACAGTGAATTCTTTGAATAATGTGGACCAAATTTATAATTATTGGTAACTGCCAGTTGTCTGTGGTCTGTGTTTGCCGCGATTAGGACCCCATGGCGGGGATCGACTTATGCACGAAACATACCATTTTGACACTGATTTTAAGGGTCAAGTTTGGGGTCATCTTATCCATGGGGTCGATCTTATAGGCGGTCATATCACGGTATATACATGATACAGCATTGGTAGAGCCGTGGGATATACATGGTATATACATGGTACATCACTAATATATACATGGTACTGCAGTGGTACAGCTGTGGTATATATACAAAGGTACAGCATTGGAAGAGCAAATTGGGATATATGTGGTATATACATAGTACATCACTAATATATACATGGTACTGCAGTGGTACAGCTGTGGGATATACATGGTACTGCAGTGGTACAGCTGTGGAATATACATGGTACTGCAGTGAGTGCGGCTGTGGAATATACATGGGACATCACTAATATATACATGGTACCGCAGTGAATGCGGCTGTGGAATATACATGGTACTGCAGTGGTACAGCTGTGGAATATACATGGTACTGCAGTGGTACGGCTGTGGAATATACATGGTACTGCAGTGGTACGGCTGTGGAATATACATGGTACATCACTAATATATACATGGTACTGCAGTGGTACAGCTGTGGTATATATACATGGTACAGCATTGGAAGAGCCGTGAGATATATGTGGTATATACATAGTACATCACTAATATATACATGGTACTGCAGTGGTACAGCTGTGGTATATATACGCGTGGTAATTACTTGATTGGGACAGCTGTGGAATATACATGGTACTGCAGTGGTACAGCTGTGGAATATACATAGTACTGCAGTGGTACAGCTGTGGAATATACATGGGACATCACTAATATATACATGGTACTGCAGTGGTACAGCTGTGGTATATACATGGTACTACAGTGGTACAGCTGTGGAATATACATGGTACTGCAGTGGTACAGCTGTGGAATATACATGGTACTGCAGTGGTACAGCTGTGGAATATACATGGTACTGCAGTGGTACAGCTGTGGAATATACATGGTACTGCAGTGGTACAGCTGTGGAATATACATGGTACTGCAGTGGTACAGCTGTGGTATATACATGGTACTGCAGTGGTACAGCTGTGGAATATACATAGTACTGCAGTGGTACAGCTGTGGAATATACATGGGACATCACTAATATATACATGGTACTGCAGTGGTACAGCTGTGGTATATACATGGTACTGCAGTGGTACAGCTGTGGAATATACATAGTACTGCAGTGGTACAGCTGTGGTATATACATGGTACTGCAGTGGTACAGCTGTGGAATATACATGGTACTGCAGTGGTACAGCTGTGGAATATACATGGTACTGCAGTGGTACAGCTGTGGAATATACATGGTACTGCAGTGGTACAGCTGTGGAATATACATGGTGGATGTGGCCATGGTTACTCCTCATCCTCATACTGCTAGTGAAGACATCAACATGTGATTATACTGATGGTCACAGTTGTAAAGGCTAAAATGCATTGTAAAACCTCACTGACTTATGGTTGTAATTAACTGTAAGGGCACCATGACAAGTTGTGGAGATGCTGAAGCTGTCAAACTGGTTGACCTACTGTCCTATTATAACTTCATTTCATCAGAGTCCGTGAAGATCCGGGTTAGAATTGATCTTCAGTAACCCATGCTTGTCGAAGAGGCGACTAAGAGGATCGGGCGGTCAGGCTTGCTGACTCGGTTGACACATGTCATCGTATCCCAATTGCGTAGATCGATGCTCACACTGTGGATCACTGCATTGTCTGGTTCAGACTCGATTATTTACAGACCGCCACCATATAGCTGGAATATTGCTGAGCATGACATAACTAAACTCACTCTCTCGCTCCTTCCATCAGAAATTTGAACACTTAATATTTATACCCAACTTGACAGTTGTATCATGTACATGATGTGAACGTATATATCTTGTTGCCATGGTTACAGCTCAACATGACCCGATGTTCGTGCAGCTGGTGTCGGCACCATACTACGGATCTGTGTACTATAGAGCAGGGCCAGCACAGTTTGGATATGATCTCAAAGTCTCGCCACCTGTAAGTTGCCATGTTACTGTGTTATTCAATGGAAACTGTTAGAGTTAGGTTCCTTATCCGGTTACTCACAGTTCATTTTGGGAAGGAAACCATTGTACCTGATTGTATTCTTGGTAATCATCTTTGTTCCATTACCTCACTTTGTGGGTGCTGTGTTGACATCCAATGGATGTTCGTGCTTGAATGTAGATAAACAATGCAGAACTGCTACTGCCCAGTTATTCCAATCACAAGGATGACAATAGAGTAAATATTTCTATTAGTTATTTTAATGACAACATAATAATGCTTGCCTTTTTTCAGATTCAGGGCAAGCTTGCTATAGCATCTCCGTTCAAGGCTTGCAGCCCCATGGTGAACCCACAGGCAGTGCAGGGGAAGATTGTCCTACTGGAGCGGGGAGACTGTATGTTTGTGGACAAGGTACAAGATTCCCATACATTGTAGACCGCCTCCGTGGTGTAGTGGTTAGAGCGTCCGCCCGGAGAGCGGAAGGTTGCGGGTTCAATCCCCGACCGCGTCATACCAAAAGACGTTAAAATATGGTACTTGTTGGTCCCTGCCTGGCGCTTGGCATTAATGGGTACAACAAGGACTGGTCGGCCTGGAGTCAGTATAATGTGTCTGAGTGGGGTATTCATGCTTCACTGCGGCATGGTATCTCAGTGGGCTAGCACTTTAAAACCAGCTTCAGTCTGGGCTAGTACAAGCAGCCGCACATACACATACACACGCATGCACGTCATCATATGAGCGAAATATTCTCAAGCACGACGTTAAACCCAATTTCACCTCACCTCACATTGTAGCATCAAGTCAATGTGTTCACTGACCTGTCATTTGTTATATTTGATATGTCTTAATCAGGATGATTTTCTTTGAAACGGTACCTTCCCATTGCACTTTTTCAAAGGGACAAATGCTTTTCTCATCATTGACTCACAACTAGGGCTGCAACGAATACACTATGTGGCGAATATGATACGTATCATGAATAGTGGGTAACGAATACGAATAATTATTCACGAATACAATATTGTACTTAAGTGATTGATGTACAATATGGTACGCCCATGTTGACAGTTTTGATTTGTCACAGCAATAACCAGTGATCTCATGACACTCAAATTTGGTATGTAATAGTTATAATCGACAGTACCATGTGCAGTCTTGGCAAACTAACATGACTTGCGCTACTCAAGACTAGTACATATTAAATTCTTGCATATCTCACTTTCCAAAAGTACACAAGGGTTCAAGTAAAACATGCTCCCTTAAAAAACCCGTAAATATTCGTTAATATTCAGTTCTGGTAACCACGAATAACGAATTGAATTCATGAAGGGCTACGGTTCGATTCACCGAATATGCGAGTGCATCGTTTCAGCCTTACTCACAACCCCTTTGGAAATTTTGGTTTAGAATTTGTCCCCAGCTGCATTGCTTGTCAACAGAGATAACTTATTGGATGGTCATTCACGGGAAGTTTGTCCATTTCGATATGATATAGATTACAGAGATCGATAATCGTTAACCGAATGGTGAGCAGTTATCAAAATATATTGGAGAAGTAACAGATGATATTACTGATTATTGATCTTTTTAGCCAGCATTACACTGCATGTCATGGTAGCCCGACTGGGTGGAATGGTGCCTGTAATATCAGTCACTGGGTTGTCTGGTGCAGATTGAAATATCTACAGGTTGCGATTGTACAGGTAGAATTTTGCTGAATGTTTCATTTCTGATAAGTTTTTTCATTTCTCTTGCCAGGCTAGAAATTTGCAAAAGGCTGGAGCTGTTGGAGGAATTGTTCTGGGTAAGATCTTGACAAATTTTGCTTTCAGTGGACATGTAGGGTTGTGTGATAAAATCAGCTTTGACAGATCTCAAAGATATTGCTAGAGTATTGCTAAAAGCGGCGTAAAACTAAAACTCACTCACTCAGGGTGCAGTGACATTGCCGGAATGATGCTGACTGAGACATGAAACATCACTTGCTCCTCAACAAGCAATCATTATGAACATGGTAGTGGGTGAAGAATTCTGTTTCATTATTTACAGACCAGAATGAAGGCAGTACCAGTGAGAGCCAGACTCTGTTTGCCATGTCTGGGGACGGACAGACCGACATCACCATCCCCATGGTATTTCTCTTCAGGAAGGAAGGCAATGCAATCATCTCAGTGCTGTCTCAGGACAATGATCTGCAGGTGCTGCTGACCAAAGAAGCTAAGTCTACAGGTAAGCCTGTTCACCCTTTTGGCTTCCATGTCAGAATTGGTCACTACTTATGCTTGTCATATGAGGCGAGTTAGAATAGGTCCCTGGTCCCCAGTTGGAATTGCACCAACTGCAGCATAAAAGTGTTTTTTTTCACATGATGTTGAAGCTCCTGTTCTTGTTCCAGAGACGTTCAATCCACCCCCAAGAAGACCCCTGCTGGACCACAGATGACCCAGGGAGGCGTACACCCTGAGAAAGTTCCAGATCAGACACCCCCACCATACACCGCCCCTCACCACACCCCCTCCCAGGGAGCCCGGGTAGGACTGGACGAGGTGTACACTTACCAGTCGTCCTCCAGGAAAGTACGCATGGAGATAAAGGTTTCGGGAGAGACTGATACTGATGTGTTTCATAATGCTGAAGAAGACAAAACAGAAACAACGGAATCTGTTACTGCAGAGGAAAATGTGTTACAGTTTGACACCTTACCTGATGGTTCCAAACAGTTGTCATTCAAGGTCGACAAGAACCAGCAGGAGGATAAAACACAACCTCAGTTGAATCAGATTTATGTCAACCTGGTTCAGGCTTTACAAGAAAAAACTAATTTTGAAAAATTAAGCAATCAGGGAGATTACCTTATTGCGATAGCTCGGTTTTTAGAATCAGCCTATTTTGGGATGGATCGGGTGGATAACAAAGCTCAAGAATTGATAGAAAGGTTAGCAGTAGAGTTAAAGTTTCTAACTGAGAAATCCACAAAATCTGCAGAGACACAAAGTGTGAAAAACGAGCATATGGATTTTGAAACTGCCAAACAGCTTCACTATGCAACTGTTGATGAATTATATGAAACTAACTCAGGAAAAAGGACAGAAGATAGTCCCAAACACAATCCATACATTCAGACCAAATCTGCCAAAGAATCTTCTAAACACTTTGGTGCCAAAGTGGACGATCAAGGTGTGCTTACATTTACTGTAGAACAAGGGGAGGCAAATGCTGCAGGATTAGCACAGTCACAGAAATCAGATTCAGACAACAGGGACTATTCTCAACATTCTAAAGACAAAGGGACTATAGGTGACGAGGAGGCTAGTACATTAGAAGTTATAACAAAGGATGGTGTAGTGAAAGTTATAGAGAGGAATTCCCAGGGAGAAACAATAAGGACTACAGAAACAATGGCCGACATTCCTTCAGATGCTCAGGAGTCCTTCACCTCACAAGATGCCCATGATTCTGCAGCTGCTTCCAGAGATCACAAAGATGAACTATGAGTGACATGGTGTTTGTCCAACTTGTCTATGGGCCTTGTCAAAAGATCATTTAGCTTAATCATGTTATTTTTTTCAAACTGGTGCCAGTACAGAAGGTTTAGTCAATTTTGACAATCAATGTAACAAACCACAAGTAATTTAGCATCTTATCTTTTGAAGTCAAATCTAAAGATTTACAGTTAAAATGGGGAAACAAGTGAAATCGTCCACTTAGAGGACATACTTAATGCATGTGCCACAGCAAATTCATTTTGGGACTTTCCTTAGTAAACAAATTTCAATCTTTTAAAATTATCATTTAAAGGGCACTTGGGTTTTAACTGACATGTTTATCTGACAATCCAACAGTTTGTTTTTTTTAAGTGATGTAGCCACATGCAAAAGTGGCAACTTCATGAGCGAATGATTTTTGCTCAACTCTGAAGATCCGGGTTAGAATTGATCTTCAGCTTGTCTCAAGAGGCGTTAAACGAGATCAGATGGTCAGATTCGCTGACTTGGTAGATGCATGTCATTGTATCCTAGTTCCATAGATCTGTGCACATGTCAATCGCTGGATTGTCTGGTCCAGACTCGATTATTTACAGACCGCTGTCATATAGGCTAGAATATTGCTGAGTGATGCGTTAAAAAATGCACAAACAAACTTTCAGGAACATAACTTTTGTGGTCATAAGAAGAAAGATTTGGATTTTTAGCCCCCTGACAGATAAGGCTTGTTTGTCCAGCATCCGGCATATCCTCTTCTTTGAAACCACTGAAGCTAGACTTCCCACCAATGATGAGACTCAAATTGTTTAAGACATCCAAGTAGAACTCTCAACATGTGCCATATATTAAAAAACAAGATATGTCGACAACTCTGTCTTCTGTTTGTTAAATGAACATTGAAGTGTTTACTATGTAACCAAGTGAGCTACAGTGTGTGTGGCTGGAAAGGGGGGGCATTGTCATCATCCTGCTTGTTGACTTTTGACATGGCCCATTAGGTTAGCCAAGTTATTTAGTTGTGCATTAAGTCGAAAAGCAAGTGCTTCCTTATTTCATTAGTCAGATGTATAAATTTGAGAATCATTTTAAAGTTATGTTTGTAATGGAGAGAGTGTATCAGTTTCACTCAGACGTGTATGCCGACGGATGTATTTTGTTACAATTGTTGACATTTGTTGGTTTGTGGTGTTTTGTTGTCTGTTCTTTATTTTAATCTTATTCCTTGTGTTCTTCCCTCAACGCCACACAGTGGCTGGCCCAGACTCTGTACAGTAGGTGGTGGCGGCAATGATGATGATAGTGGCGAATGCTGACAGTGACGTAACAGAACACTGTCATTACTTGTACTGTCTAAGCATGAGTTGGTATGGGTATTTAATGCACTTTTAGGTTTTTATCAGGGTCGATTTTCAAATCCAGTTGTTTTCTTTGAGTAACTTGGTAGGGTCCAGAAGTATGAGCATGTAGCCCCAGGCTTCATTGCGGACACCTGTGGTAAATGCAGAATTCCTGAACCCTGTTTTCTGATAGTTTGACTATTTCAAGTCATAGTGGAATTACCCCCCTTACTTTCTTTGTAATTTACCATTTTCAGTAAGGACCCTCAAAACATACCAGATAGAACTTGTATTCTTCTATATTCTAGGGACTGATAAAATTACAGTTGTAAGCACCTGAAGTTTTGCCAAACAGAATGTCTAGCAACAGAAGAGCAATGTTAGTGTGACACTGTTTGACACTCGCTTCCTGTGGACTGCCAACATTTTCTGAAAGGAAAGAGGTTGTCAGTCCTACTAAGTGAGATCTGTAGGTGGATGTTTCAATATTCTTTGTTGTCATTTATCATATCACAATGTCATTAAAATCAGATCTGCTGGGTTTGTCAGAGATCTGATTTCATTGATATTGTACCACTGCCTCAGTCACGGCCAGTAAACAATCCTTGGCTGAATGGTGTTGAGATTCCTGGTGATTGTACAAGTATTTCTTTCCTGAAGGAGAAGTCTTTTGCGGGAGGTGTTAATAGTTGAGTTTGTCTTCGTTTTCAAGTAATGTTGCCTTTGTTTATGATTATGTTGCAGAACATGTGGGCATTATTGAATGTTTGTTGACTGGTCTGGCACAAACAGCCAGGTTTCACATTTCATGGCATCAATGACCTTTTGCAAATCAGGATGATTGGGAAGATGTTAAGAAACAAGGGGAACAGGTTTTGTATGAATGGACCATATTGCAAAGTCAGAAAAGACCCCATTTCTCAGCAATCTCCAAATTCATGATATATTGAGGGTTTTGAGCAGTGTTGTCTGTTTCCTTGCCTCATTTCTGATTGTTTTCCTCCCAATGAGCTTTATGATTGATCTTGTAAATTTCAGGTGCAATATAATCCATAACGCCCCCAACCTTGTTTTTAGCCTACGATCTTTCATTGAAAATCAAATGTTTCATGTGACTGTTTAACTATGTCACGAGTCAATTCATGCTTTTCTTATGACTTTTGATAAATGGTGAAGACCTGTTTTCTCTGCAATACAAAAAGTTGTGTGTAGAATACATTATGGATACAATACAAGTAGTTGGAGTTATCTCCCTTTATGATGAGTAATATGAGTTATCTCACTTTCATAAATTGCCACTAACCCATGTGTTGGATCTAGATTTATAGGGTGAAATCCATATGGTCGATCCATGTCTTGCGTGTCTTTCTGTATGTTGAGATGTATCTACACAGATAATGTTGTGATATTCATTTTGTACAGAAGTACACAGACATCTAAATGCTGTAATTATTGTGTACATAAATTATACTGTCATTGTTGTAAAATATTCACGTGAATCAAATGTCATGACATGCATCCATCTTCGTCGCCTTTGTCAGCCCACAAGTTAAAACGTTGATTTCCCCCATTTTTTTCATTTCTAAGAGTGACATAAAATACTACTCACTCAGCATGAGTGAAGGAAGTTTGTAAACTAGTTTATCCACACTCTAATGAAACAATTTATTTTTTTAATAAAAAAATACTTCAAAGGGCTTTCATTTTCTTACATAATAGTTCAAATATATCCAGATTATAGGTTTTTTAAAAGATTTCTCATTTCATGGCCACAAAAATCTAGCGGAGATGGACACCTTAGTCATGCTCTCTCATTGTATATGTCATTTTAAAACAGAAGAGGAGAGAGGAATAAAAGTCTACATCTAACAAATCAGTGTTGACTTATCTTCTTTGTCATGTGTATTTATTGTTCACAGCACGACAACAAGGACAGTGAGTTTATCATTTCCTTGGTCACGATATCCAAGGAGACATCTTTGAAGAGTGCAACAAATGAATTCACCAAAAGTGGCTTGAGTGAGTATGGTTTTACGCCGCTTTTAGCAATATTCCAGCAATATCATAGCAGGGGACACCAGAAATGGACTTCACACATAGTACCCATGTGGGGAATCAAGCCCAGCGTGACGACCGAACACTTTTACCTCTAGGCTACCCCACCACCCTGAATGTGGCTTGAGACCTCTTGTTCCAAGGGGGCGGTGGAGTAGCCTAGTTCACTCGTCACGCCGAAGGCCTGGGTTCCATTCCCCACATGGGTAAAAAGTGTGAAGCCCATTTCTGGTGTCCCCTGCCATGATATTGCTGGAACTTTTCTAAAAGCAGCGTAAAACCAAACTCATTCATTCATTCTTGTTCCGCTATATCAGAATTCATACCTTCTTATCAACAAATTTCAGACTTAAACCATGGTTGATATCATTTCTGTATTATTTTCCCTAAAGAAAACTCAGAATGGTGTAAAAGCATGATTAGCCAATGTTCTCGAAGTCCTGTACACCATACAGTGATTTCATGTCACACCCTGCGAACATGAAGGAACAGTACAGATTATGGCTGGAACAAGTTCCTGGCATCTTATCCCAGTCCAAGCACTGTGATCCGTGAGAGAGTTGGGAACTGCTGGTCCAGCTGTTTGAATCGATGGGCACACTTGTTCCTCTCTGAGTGGTATCCCAGGTCGTTGTACAGCCTGGCCTGGTAGTACAGGGCATCCTTCATGCGGTGCTGGGCCTCCATGACCTGGTACAGGGCAACCACCTTGTTCATCAGGTCCACGCCAGACAACAATGCTGTAACACAGGCACAGGTCACTTCTATTTGCTTCCAAAAATATCCACATAAATATGTAGGTCCCTATCAAGACATATATATGAAGGTTCTTTACCGTGATGCATAAAGAGGTAGTCCTCTAGTGTGATGCATAAATTGGTAGGCCCCTGCCATGATAGGCTCCTACCATGATGCAGTGATATGTATTTGCTTCTAATGTTTTTATAATAATCACAAATTAACAGAACATGGTATTCATCTTCCAAGACATTCATTTTACAGTATCTGCACACAGTAGATTTCTTATGAAATTTTCCCTTATAACAACTTAAATCATAATAAACGGAACTAAACTGTGATAAGGCTAGTCTTACTTTCTTGTTATTGATACAAGCGTACATATGGTTCACACAAGAAGTCTTCTTTAACAGGGAATATAAGTAAATGTACAGGGACTATTTTGGAGTTTTGCATGCCACTCCTGTATAAAAGCAATCTTTGCTTCTTCTTACAAGTAAATTTAAGAATTGGTGCTTATTTCCAACTCCCTGCCATATCCACGATAACCTAGTCCAAATCTAAATAAAACTCTTTTTACATGTGGAGCCCAATTAAACCTATTATCACTCGGTAGCTGCGTTTAAATCTAGATTACGTAACATTTTGTAAGATTTAGATGGGTAGCGTGAAGAGGGCATGGAGAGGAGACTTACCCAGTAAGCAATAAATCGCTTTTAATGGTGAACACATGGATAGGATACCTACCAGTTTCTCAAAAGGACAATTGTATTTGGTGTAGACATTAAGCGACACCAAGGAATTGTTTACATGCATAAAGCAATACCCTTTCCAGACAATCATGTTTGTGAAAGCCCCATAATTCTGACCCATACAATAATATGGGTAGTATCTTACTGATCAAATATTTTGAAATAGACATCATATGACAAGTCTTTAAAGCTACAAAGGCATTTTTTGTAATAGACACTAAAGCTTTTGCCTTAAGTGAAATGTTTTGGCAGAGAGGGACCAATTTAGAGTTATATTAAATGATACTCACAGGCACACAGGCACAGGTCACTTCTATTTGCTTCCAAAAATATCCACATAAATATGTAGGTCCCTATCAAGACATATATATGAAGGTTCTTTACCGTGATGCATAAAGAGGTAGTCCTCTAGTGTGATGCATAAATTGGTAGGCCCCTGCCATGATAGGCTCCTACCATGATGCAGTGATATGTATTTCTTGTGACACCATGAAGGGACAAACAAACATAAATGTTTCTTTATAATAAATGCATGATAGTTTCTGTATGTCTGTAATGATCATGAGAGTGTGATCAGTGATGAAAACGCGTCTATCACTACAGGTATGTAGTAACCATTAGGACTCACCTGCCTTCCGGGGCCCCTCCCCGTCCTTAGCTGCAGCCGCAACCCGACACTTGGCATAGACGTACAGCGTCTTGGCCTGGTCCAGACAGCTGCCATTGGTCAGCACCGTCAGCATGTTGACCTCCAGTAGGCTCAGGGCTTGCTTCGGAAGTTTCATGTGAAACTATAAGGCCAAAATCAGGAACAGAATGTGAGATTATTTGATATACCAGCGACCACATATATAGTTCACTGTAAAGTTGCTTGTGGTCTACAACTTGTAGACTTTCAAATGGTGACAGAACAAAAAGATATGACCATTTAAGGACGAACTTAATGGATGAACCACTCCTTTATTTATCATTAAATTTTATCCTTATGACTCTCCAACTTCAAATGCCACTCAAAGAAGATGTGGCCAATATTACCTGTATATATGACAGGTGTACTGTTGCTATAGCAACCAGGTACTGTAGATGATGTTGTTTGGCCCGAGTGATGCAGTCAGTAACATGAGTCAAGGCTGTGGTGTGACTTCCAGTCTGAATGTACAGATCAGAGAGAGCCAACAGAACCCTGAAACAATAATACAGAATTCACTATGTGCATGGCACGATTATTTCATAGGCGTGACTATTCAGGGGGGAAACAACTATTGTCATAGCGATAGACTATTCAGCCATAGCGATAGCCTATTGCAACATGCTATTGCCATAGCGATAGCCTATTGCGACCAACTATTGCAATAGTTTCTTTCGACTTGAATTGTCTCATTTGAAGTCATTTCCCAAATGAATGTATAGTTTATATGAAATAAAACAAGATGAAGTCGTTTCTGTCTCTTTTAATAGCTGACAAGAAACTTGAAACCCAGATCAAGTAAACAGTTAAAATATAAACTCAATGAAGTTGCAAGTCTGCACCCAAACATCCTGTATTTTGCGCTGTGCATTTATCAACTAAAGTCAACTACTAAACTATCGATAGTCACACATACTATCGATGTATCAATGGTTTTTCCTGTCTACCAGCAATTAACTGCTATCTGAGACTCAACAATTGCAACCTTCTGTAGTTCGATGCATCGTTACCGCCCTATTATTTCATAATTTCACAACCTTGAGTACCCTATAGATCACAAAAATATTTGGTTGTTTTTCACAAGTTTTTGTATCCAATAGCTGACTAAAGGGATCCAGTATTCTGAATCAAAATGATTAAAAAAAAACATATTTGACATCAAGTGTTGAGCTGCACAAACAGTTTAATTAAGGAATCCCTTATTAAGGAATCCCATTGATGTGTGTTTTACTGAAGTAGTCGCCCTCTACGAAGAATTTTTGTGACATCACTACATTGTTTGAACCACAAAATAGGTGAACCCAGTCGACATGAACTATTCTATTTTCAATCATTCACCATGTGGATAACATTTTGTAGCCACACCTGACTGTATGAGCTGCTGCTTGTCTCTGATGCAGGTGTGGTTGTGTTTGTTTGTGGACACTTCATCAGCACTGATTATGTATTCCAAAGGAATACCTCAAAAGGGTGTATTCATTTTTTCTCATCAATATACTCATTTCTTTCTTCTTCATGACCATACCATTGCAATATCACTGAAATAATTTTCAAGGAAGCTTTATAAAATCAAGCTCACTAACTCCGTAATATAAGTGGAGAATTTGCATTCATTAGAATAAAAATTAGCTACTGAAATTCATATTGATTTCACACCTAGTTAGAAAGCTGCAGAAAGGATTTACTAGGTCGTGTGTTACATGATAGCAATGTCTGTCACTGACCTGCAAGGAAAGTCTGGTGTAGGCTCCTCACACTGATCTGCCTTGGACGCCAGCAGCGTGTGGAGTTGAGTAAATGCTGCAGTTACCTCCCCTTGCTCTTTCAACAAGATTGCATTCCTGAGATAGAAAATATCTTTTAAGAACAGAAATCTTTGAATAATCACCAACATGCCATTTAGTGGAAGTGCTTGTACCAGGCCACCATATCCATTTCTCTGGCCCTAACCCTGCGCTGAACATGGATACCCCCCTCCAGAACATAATACTGGACCCAAGCCGGCCTGTCCTGGTGTCATCCCCTTAGCGTTCAACACAAGGCAGGGTAACAAGTACCACCGCTGAACTTTGTTTGGTATGACACAGCAGGGGACTGAACCAGCAAACTTCCATGTTTCTAACCACTACATCACTTGACAAGCAGATGCTCTATCCACTAGACCCTCGATCCACTAGACTCTCTATACACTAGACCACTAGACTCTCTATACACTAGACCACTAGACTCTCTATACACTAGACCACTAAACACTATCCAGTAGAACCAATAGCAACTCTACCCAACAAATTCTTATACACTAGAGCACTAAACACTATCCAGTAGAACCAATAGCAGCTCTACCCAATAAACTCTCTATACACTAGACACTAAAGCACAATAGCAGCTCTACCCAATAACAAACTCTCTATACACTAGGAGCACTAAACACTATCCAGTAGAACCAATAAAATAGCAGCTCTACCCAATAGCAAAACTCTATACACTAGAGCACTAAACACTATCCAGTAGAACCAATAGCAGCTCTACCCAATAAAAACTCTATACACTAGAGCACTAAACACTATCCAGTAGAACCAATAGCAGCTCTACCCAATAAACTCTATACACTAGAGCACTAAACACTATCCAGTAGAACCAATAGCAGCTCTACCCAATAAACTCTCTATACACTAGAGCACTAAACACTATCCAGTCGGACCAATAGAACTCTATACACTAGAGCACTAAAGTAGTAGAACCAATAGCAGCGCTATACACTAGAGCACTAAACACTATACACTAGAGCACTAAACAATATCCACCCGACCCTATATCCACCAAACCACTAGATAGCTGGAAATTTCAGTCAAATAAAAATTTAAATAAAGGAAATTTGCAAATTTACCATCCTTTCAGTAACCAGTCTAAAATGTACTGAAATATATATCAGTTCCTGATTACCAAAGTGGTAGTGCTTGTAATGCTTGTCGTCTCTGCTACATGCACCACCTACCTTAGATTAGCTTCATTCTGGTTGACTGCTCGTAAGTTCAACACAGCTTGTTCTGCAGCTTTGTGGCGATGGTTGAGGATGGCTCGATCAAACAGTACCATTTGTTCACAGCCCATCCAGATGTGTGCATGCTGTGTGTGGCTCGGGAAACGCTGCTTGGCGTTACCCACTACGTCTAAAGCAGCAGTGTACAGACCCTAGAACAGACACAGACATATAACTGTGTAATTGTTGACACTGGTTACCAGGATGACCAAGAATCCTTCTCAACCTACTCATGGAGATCGAATTGATCTTCAGTAACCCATGCTTGTCGTAAGAGACGACTAACAGGATTGGGTGGTCAGGCTCGCTGACTAGGTTGACACATATCATTGTATCCCAATTGTGTAGATCGATGCTTATGCTTTTGATCACTGGACTGTCTTCCAGACTTAGGTGCAGCATTACACAAGCAACCAACCAGCTAACCAACCTTCTCAACCTACCTTGTCAGCCATCTGTTGAGCTAGGTTACACAGTGCTATACACAGGGACTCTCCGTTGTGGAACACCCCGCTCTCAGATGTGTCCAGATTCAACACCAGCTGGCTGCACATTGATGAGCTCTCCCTGAAACACAAGTATCACACCAACATCACTCACACCGAGGAGCCCACACAAGTATCACACCAACATCACTCACACTGAGAGAAACCCACACAAGTATCACACCAACATCACTCACACTGAGGAAGCCCACACAAGTATCACACCAACATCACTCACACAGAGAGAAGCCCACATGAGTATCACACCAACATCACTCACACAGAGAAGCCCACACAAGTATCACACCAACATCACTCACACAGAGAGAGAAGCCCACACATCACTCACAGAGAAGCCCACGCGGTATCACACCAACATCACTCACACACAGAGAAGCCCACCCACAAGTATCACACCAACATCACTCACACAGAGAGAAGCCCACCACAAGTATCACATCAACATCACTCACACACCAACATCAACATCACACACGAGAAGCCCACACAAATACCACACCAACATCACTCACACAGAGAGAAGCCCACACAAGTATCACACCAACATCACTCACACTGAGAGAGAAGCCCACACGAGTATCACACCAACATCACTCACACAGAGAAGCCCACACAAATATCACACCAACATCACTCTCACACAGAGAAGCCCACACGACTAGTATCACACCAACATCACTCACACAGAGAGAAGCCCACACGAGTATCACACCAACATCACTCACACTGAGAGAAGCCCACACGAGTATCACACCAACATCACTCACACAGAGAGAAGCCCACACGAGTATCACACCAACATCACTCACACAGAGAAGCCCACACAAGTATCACACCAACATCACTCACACAGAGAGAGCCCACACGAGTATCACACCAACATCACTCACACAGAGAGAAGCCCACACAAATATCACACCAACATCACTCACACACAGAGAGAAGCCCACACAAGTATCACACCAACATCACTCACACTGAGAAGCACCACACCAACATCATCACACACAGAGAAGCCCACACGAAAAGTATCAACATCACTCACACAGAGGAAGCCACACACAAAGTATCACACCAACATCACTCACACAGAGAAGCCCACAGCCCACACCAACATCATCACACCAACATCACTCACTCACTGAGAGGAGCCCCACACAAGTATCACACCAACATCACTCACACAGAGAGCCCACACGAAGTATCACACCAACATCACTCACACAGAGAAGCCCACACAAGTATCAACATCACTCACACATCACGAGTATCACACCAACATCACACAGAGAAGCCCACACAAGTATCACACCAACATCACTCACACAGAGAGAAGCCCACACAAGTATCACACCAACATCACTCACACTGAGAGTCCACACAAGTATCACACCAACATCACTCACAGAGAGGAGCCCACACAAGTATCACACCAACATCACTCACACAGAGAGAAGCCCACACGAGTATCACACCAACATCACTCACACAGAGAAGCCCACACAAGTATCACACCAACATCACTCACACAGAGAGAAGCCCACACAAGTATCACACCAACATCACTCACACTGAGAGAAGCCCACAAGTATCACACCAACATCACTCACACAGAGAGAAGCCCACACGAGTATCACACCAACATCACTCACACAGAGAGAAGCCCACACGAGTATCAAGGTATCACACCAACATCACTCCACACTGAGAAACCCACACGAAGTAGCACACAACAACATCACTCACACAGAGAGAAGCCCACACCAACATCACTATCACACCACACATCAACATCACTCACACAGAGAAGCCCCACAGAGAAGCCCACACGGTATCACACACACACAGAACACACATCACACCAACATCACTCACACGAGCATCACACCAACATCACTCACACAGAGAGAAGCCCACTGCATGTACATCTTATTATACCGGCTTAGCTTGCATAGAATAACCTCCAGGCAGGCATTCTTCAGAATATTCTGATATTACATGGAAATTCTTTCAACACCTTTTGGCATAATGCAGTCAGGGATAAGCAGATGCTGTGTCATAGAAAACGTTGTGATTAGGACAGAATGAATGACATGTCTTACCGCTTGCCGTACATGTGCCAGAGAGCAGCCTTCTGGGAGTAGCTGACACACATGAGCCCAGCCACAGAGTGTTGGCAGTTTAAGATGTCACTCTTCAACAGGTACTCAAAAATACTGCAAACAGATACATCATGATAGAGAACTCAGATCCATTCAGAAAAACTGACTTAGACGAGCTTATGGTGGTTTCCAGTCTCCTCTCTAATCTGAATATGTTTTAACTTCAGTAAACTTATGGCACCATGGTGCAAACTGGTTCTGTCGGGTGCAACTGGGATTCAGACGAACACACTAATGGTGCAAGTTGAAGCAAGTTGTTTTAATCTACAATATCTGCAAAAGGATCCATATGGAATCATAGCTGGTGCAGGATGTTATACAGAGGAGACCGTCTTCATGTCAGGCAGGGCGGTGGAGTAGCCTGATGGTTAAAGCATCCGCCCGTGATGCTGAAGACCCAGGTTCGATTCCCTACATAGGTTAAATGTGTGAAGCCCATTTCTGATGTACCCTGCTGTGATATTGCTGGAATATTGCTAAAAGCGGAGTAAAACCAAACTCACCCACTCGCTCCTGTCAGGCCATCCCTGTACCTGACTAACCAGTAACCCAACACAAAACCGTCAGTAGAACCACGTGCTCAAGATGACCTTACCTAGAAGATTCTGCACTGCTGAATGCATGATCTTGGATTGTCCAACCTGGTAGGTTTTCCATTTGCAGATGCATTATCTGGGATTCACTTACCTCCCACCACCCTGGGTTTTCCATTTGCATTTGCAGATGCATGATCTTACCTCCCAGGGATTGTCCAACCTGGACTTACCCCAGGTTTTCCATTTGCAGATACATTATCTGGGATTGACTTACCTCCCAGGTTTTGCATTTGAATACATTATCTGGGATTGACCTACCTGCCAGGTTTTGCATTTGCAGAAGCATTATCTGGGTTTGACTTACCTGGCAGGTTTTGCATTTGCAGATACATTATCTGGGATTGACTTACCTGCTAGGTTTTCCATTTGCAGATGCATTATCTGGGATTCACTTACCTGCCAGGTTTTGCATTGGAATGCATTATCTGGGATAGTCCTACCTGCTAAGTTTTGCATTTGCATTGCATTATCTGGGTTTGACTTACCTGGCAGGTTTTGCATTTGCGAATGCATTGTGTTTGGCCAGAGCCTGGACTCCGAGAGACATCAGGTACTGAAAATATCAACAGTGATATATATGTATGTCCTAAGTTATACAAATGTCTGCATGACCAATGGCTTGTGTTTGTAAAGCTTGATCTATATCCACAGTATTTCAACTATATCACAACATGTGTTGACAAACCTAGATATATCCTGCCTCATCTCAGATTCGAACCACAGATGACTTTTACAGGATCAAGGTTCATATAGATGATGTGCCATTACATTTAAGGTCATTTAAGCGCTTTTCAAGGCTCAATTAACAATCTTTTCAACGATCTACAGAAACACTTTTAACACATATGTAGTTGAATACACACAAGGTTTGTGAAATGTGGGACCGACCATCAGAGGGAAACTACTAGCTACATGTTGCACTGGGAAAGTTTTGCTTTTTGTTTCAAATTAATGAACATCCATGCAAGGTATTTTTATTATGCATTAGTTTCCTGTAAAATCATAACCTGACAAGTTTTGCTAAATATAGGGCCTTTGTAGGGCAAATCACTGGCAAGTAGGACCTTATGGAGGCAAAATCAAATTTAAGGTCTTTGATGGGTAAAATTTCCAAATTTCAGTTTTTTTCAAGCCCATGCAAACCCTTAGAAGGGGCATGGTAATTTACATGACTGGGGCCAGCTGTGAGAGAATAGAGACAGTTAAACAAAGAAAGCTTGACTTACAGGCAGAGAGAGTTCCCCACTCTTGGACACGGACCTCTCCATGAGGTTGGCGGCCTGGCTCACGCCCTTCTCCCCCAAGCGATGAAGCCATGACTGGTGAAACAACAGATCATCAACAGGTGAACAACAGATCAACAACAGGTGAACAACAGATCATCAACAGGTGAACAACAGATCATCAACAGGTGAACAACAGATCAACAACAGGTGAACAACAGATCAACAACAGGTGAACAACAGATCATCAACAGGTGAACAACAGATCAACAACAGGTGAACAACAGATCAACAACAGGTGAACAACAGATCAACAACAGGTGAACAACAGATCAACAACAGGTGAACAACAGATCAACAACAGGTGAACAACAGGGAAAAGAGAACAACAGATTCAACAGGTGAACAACAGATCAACAACAGGTGAACAACAGATCAAACCCAACAGAAGACTTAAACCTGACCCTAAACCTGACCCTAAACCTAACTTAAATTTTGGACTTTTAGTCATTTTTGTGAGTTCTCTAGTAATTGTTATGTTAAGTTTTGTTAATAATTTGAGTATATATAAATTTATAAATAATATTTGGGATGGGGAAACGGGAGGAACTCTTACCTCAACATGAAGCTGTTAAAATTAGTTGCTCAAGATTTGTTCACAAAGTCCTTTCTTAGGTACTTGTAATCATGTCATGGCAAACTGTCCCATTGATACAGCAGAACAAGTAACTATCATGCAAATGTGTTATAAAATAGACAACAAAGTTTAAATTATTCCATGTTACAAGTGGATCCACTATATGGGCTCACACAACAGTTTAAGAACAGATCAATTCCACCAGACAAGCTATATATTTCCTGTCACAATAATAACAAGCAAGTATCAGTAAAAAAGAGTTAAAAAGTCTCACTTCTTGATAAAATCATCTTCTATGCCCCACAAGATCCACTGAACATCAACACATAAATCCATCCTATGAAATGTGAAGCACAAAGTACTTCTTTCACATAATGCTGATGTGGCATATTCAGTTAAAGCTTCATGCCCTACCAACATGGCACATCTCCCAACCTGGGAACTGAACACATTGTGTTCAACTAGCTTGACAAAAGACAAATAGCCAAGCTACCATTAGGTAACTCCTTTTGTTGTCAGCCAACACACAGACAATGGAAAGTTGTGTGGCCGGTACACAGAGCATCACTCAGTGTTAATCACTAACAACCTCCACACATGTAACTCTATACATATATATATATATAGAGAGAGAGAGAGAGAAAGGATGAATATAGCTTTTTTATATTCACTTCCTGGTAGGTAGGTATTTAGTTAGGTAGGAATGAATGACTGAATGAATGTCTGAATGTCTGAATGAATGAATGAATTAATTTAGGTAGGTAGGTAGGTATTTAGGTAGAAAGTTAGGTGGGTAGGTAGGTAGGTAGAGGTGAGGTGAAAGTGGGTTTAACGTCGCGCTTGAGAATATTTCGCTCATATGACGATGTGCATGCATGTGTATGTGTATGTGCGGCTGCTTGTACTAGCCCAGACTGAAGCTGGTTTTATAGTGCTAGCTCACTGAGATACCAAGCCGCAGTGAAACATGAATACCCCACTCAGACACATTATACTGACTCCGAGCAGACCAGTCCTTGTTGTACCCATTAATGCCGAGCGCCAGGTAGGGACCAACAAGTACCATATTTTAATGTCTTTTGGTATGATGCGGTCGGGGATCGAACCCGCGACCTTCCGCTCTCCGGGTAGGTAGGTAGGAATGAATGAATGAATTTAGGTAGGTAGGTAGGTAGATAGAAAGTTAGGTAGTTAGGTGGGTAGGTGGGTAGATAGAAAGTTAGGTAGTTAGGTGGGTAGGTGGGTAGGTAGAAAGTTAGGTAGTTAGGTGGGTAGGTGGGTAGATAGAAAGTTAGGTAGTTAGGTGGGTAGGTGGGTAGGTAGGTAGGTAGGTCATCTCAACATATTGTATATAAATAAGAAGCAATGATTTGACCCGTTGTTGGTGTAATTCAAGTCATGTTTATTTTCAAGGATTTTTCATGGCATATCCCAGTTAAGGACTGTTGAGACAAACTCTGAAATTCCAAGCCATTTCAAGACATGTGCATACACAAGAGCATAAGTGACTAACTTCTAGGTATGAACACGGCAGGATGAACACAGCAGGATGAACATGGCTGGATGAACACGACGGATGAAAAGAGGCCAGGGTGCCTATTCTCGAAAGTGTCCCAGCTAAGACAGATCCTAACTAGTTAGGACAGAAGTTAGGACATCCTACCGTTAGGATAAGACCCATTCTCGAAACGATCCTATGTCTGTCCTAACTTGAGGTACCAGTCCTAGCTAGGATAGCGAGCTCTTCAGTACCGGTAGGTGAGATAGAAAACATTCATTAAGTTGGGGATTCCCCTAAATATGATTCATTCCCTAAATAACACATATACAAATAACATATTTACTTCAGAGTTTGAAAGTCTGCCAAAAATTCAATAAGATATGTGCAAAAATATTTTCATTTTATTTGTTTTTTTATGAAAATCATGGCTTGAACTCTCATTATGCGTCATCTCACAAACTCAAAATTCACCTAGGAAATAAACAGGAGTTACTTCCCCTATTGACATTGACATTTCATGGCAATGTGACAGAAAAGAACAATGTTGTGAATAAAATGGGATAGAATAGGTAAGAATTGAACAAATCACCTCTGTAGTTCTAAAGAATATGTGCATTGCAACAAGTGTGACTATTCATTACCGATTGATAATATAAATACAAAAAATTCTTCTTAACTCATCAAAACTTTTGGCTGTTGTAAATTCAATTGTAATTTAGGCGAGTTATTTTGTTTGACAACGTCAAAATTGGTGAACAAACAAGAACCACACCATGTTGACTTCCACTAAGATAGACATAGGACAAGTCAGAACCTATCCTAGTATTTGTCCTAAGTTAGGATATCCTAGCGCTAGGATACTTTTCGAGAATAAGGTAGGACACCTGTCCTAGACCCTAGGATCAAAGTTAGGACATCCTAGGGCTAGGATCCTTTCGAGAATAGGGGCCCAGTGTTATCACATGGCTGAAAGTGGCTCACAGCACTTTACCAAGTTCAAGAAACCCATGGCTTGCAGGGTAGAGCAGACAGATTAAGATCTTAATCAGAGCATATATGGCATTCAACATAAGACCAGAAGATCCAGCTGTCTAAGAGGCATAACCATAACTCTTAATATCACGTCATATCACACTAAGCATGCCACACCATGTCAGATCACATCATACCGCATCAACACCCATCACACCACATAACATGAGTGAGTGAGTGAGTGAGTTTAGTCTTACGCCACACTTAGCAATATTCCAGCTATATGGTGGCGGTCTGTAAATAATCGAGTCTGGACCAGACAATCCAGTGATCAACAGCATGAGCATCGATCTGCGCAATTGGGAACCCATGTGTCAACCAAGCCAGCGAGCCTCTTACCTCTAGTCGCCTCTTACGACAAGCATGGGTTACTGAAGGCTCATTCTAACCCGGACCTTCATGGGTCCCAAATGTATGGCACCACTGAACAATGCACTGCAAGGCATCACCGTGAAACACCACGCCACGCCACGCCACGACACGCTACACCACCACGAACAATGCACTGCATGCATCGCCCGCGCCCACGCCATCGCCATCGCCCGCCCGCCCATGCATACCACGCATGCGCCCACGCTCCACATTACACGAAAGCACGGTGCCACTGACCAGAGCATGCTGCAGACAGATGTGATCATTTGTCTCCTGGGCCATCCGTATCGCTTCATTCAGGGCTGCCATTGACTCATCTCTGGAAACAGATTTGTATGAGTTATCTCCCATACTTAATCAATCATTTCAAGCGACATTTTCAGGGACATGCTTCATGGTCTGGCACCCACTCAAACAAGGTCCCAGTGTAAAACTGAGACACAGTCAAATAATTATTAACCAATTCTGAACAGACAAGAAAAATTGTTTTCAGTTACTCAATAATTGAACGGCCTGTATGGCAAAGCCTGGTGCTGGTCAATGTGGTTTCAAACTGAATTGTCTCCCCTTGATCTTATCCTCCAATTGATAGCAATATTTGGCGGGGACACCAGAAATGAGCTTCACACATTACCCTAAAGGTGGTGAAGCTTTAACCAATACCCCACTGTCTCCACTCAGAGATGGATGAGGACTGACTGAGTTTGGTTTTACGCCGCTTTTAGCAATAATCCAGCAACATCATGGCAGGGGACACCAGAAATGGGCTTCACACATTTTACCCATGTGGGGATTCGAACCCGGGTCGGCGTGACGAGCCAACGCTTTAACCACTAGGCTACCCCACCGCCCCCGATGGATGAGAAGCCCTCCTCACTGAGAGAACAAAGTGAACAAAAACCCAAGACAGGGACTGAAAGAGGATTACATCTGGTATCTGAAGAAAATACTGCTGTGAGACAAGGACGGAGATATGTTGCTACCGCGTGTCGGCAGAAACACTCCTGAAATACTTGTTGGTAAGGATGCTATTCCTTTCTCCTCCCCACCACTCCCATGTCGCTGAACCTGTATTAGTCTACTGGTTAAAACTATCCTAAAATACTTGCTGGTATGAATGCCATTCCTTTCTCCTCCCATTACTCACCTGTTCCTGAAGCCATATTAGCCAACTGGTTAAACTTTATCATGAAATACTTGCTTGTAGGAATGCCATTCCTTTCTCCTCCCATTACTCATTTGTTGTTGAATCCACATTAGTCTACTGGTTTAACGTTACCCTGAAATACCTGCTTTAAGGAATGCTATTCCTTTCTCCTCCCTGTTACTCACTTGTGGCCAAATCTATACTGCAGTGCTGCGAGGTTGAGGGCAGCATATCTGCGACACACATCTTCCTCACGGTTCTTGTTTGCCTGGCCAGTTGTCTCCCCTGTGAGGTTGGCGTTGCGGTCGAAGTAGTGGTACAGGTTGTGTACCGCTGTGCAGTACTCCTTCACCCTCAGGCTGTTCAGGTAACTCAGGAAGTGCTGTCGTGAGAATATGTCACTTACAACAAATTTTACCATTTACCCCTGTCTTCACTAAAAGAAATATTTAGTGTAAAAGAGGAAGGTACCAACATATTTTATTGTCACACAACAGGAGTAATTATTTTATCTTTCAAAGATAAATGAAATATATCTGATGAAATATCTATCTTAAAGCAGACCAAATACTCACAATGAAGCAGTATATTCTGTTGTTGCATTACTTTATTATACAACATATTTCATGTTTGTGATAAGTAGTAAACAAGCTTACAGCTTCTGCCAGGTCGGGTTTTGCTTTCAGCATGCTGGTGATCTTCTCCTGGAGCCGAGTTGGCGGAAGGGCCTTTCCCTCATTGTGCAGCAGCAGGAACGCCTAGGACCAAACATGGACTGATTGTAGGACCAAACATGGACTGATTGCAGGACCAAACATGGACTGATTGTAGGACCAAACATGGACTGATTGTAGGACTGATTGTAGGACTGATTGTAGGACCAAACATGGACTGATTGCAGGACCAAACATGGACTGATTGCAGGACCAGACATGGACTGATTGTAGGACCAAACATGGACTGATTGTAGGACCAAACATGGACTGATTGTAGGACCAAACATGGAATGATTGTAGGACCAGACATGGACTAATTGTAGGACCAGACATGGACTGATTGTAGGACCAACCATGAACTGATTGTAGGACCAGACATGGACTGATTGCAGGACCAGACATGGACTGATTGTAGGACCAGACATGGAATGATTGCAGGACCAGACATGGACTAATTGTAGGACCAGACATGGACTGATTGTAGGACCAACCATGAACTGATTGTAGGACCAGACATGGACTGATTGCAGGACCAGACATGGACTGATTGTAGGACCAACCATGAACTGATAGTAGGACCAGACATGGACTGATTGCAGGACCAGACATGGACTGATTGTAGGACCAACCATTGACTGATTGTAGGACTGATTGTAGGACCAGACATGGACTGATTGTAGGACCAACCATTGACTGATTGTAGGAACATGGACTGATTGTAGGACCAAACATGGACTGATCTTGGACCAAACATGGACTGATTGTAGGACCAAACATGGACTGATTGTAGGACCAAACATGGACTGATTGTAGGATCTGACATGGACTGATTGTAGGACCAAACATGGACTGATTGTAGGACCAGACATGGACTGATTGTAGGACCAAACATGGACTGATTGTAGGACCAAACATGGACTGATTGTAGGACCAGACATGGACTGATTGCAGGACCAGACATGGACTGATTGTAGGACCAACCATTGACTGATTGTAGGAACATGGACTGATTGTAGGACCAAACATGGACTGATTGTTAGGCCAAACATGGATTGATTGTAGGATCTGACATGGACTGATTGTAAGGCCAAACATGGATTGATTGTAAGGCCAAACATGGACTGATTGTAGGATCTGACATGGACTGATTGTAAGGCCAAACATGGACTGATTGTAGGATCTGACATGGACTGATTGTAAGGCCAAACATGGACTGATTGTAGGATCTGACATGGACTGATTGTAAGGCCAAACATGGATTGATTGTAAGGGCAAACATGGACTGATTGTAAGGCCAAATATGGATTGATTGTAAGGGCAAACATGCACTGAGTAATAATCTTTTGACAACCACAATGGTGATAGCAGACACACTGACATTAAGGGTTCGTTAACAACCAATTTAACATCACCTTTGTGGCCTATGATTATATATCTCAAACCAATTTGAAACAGCAACACACAAGGTTTGTAAGAAAAAAGAACTGACAGTTTGTTCGTTTGTTGTTTACCGCCCTATACTAAAATACAATTTCTGTAGAAAAGTTTGCACCAGACAACCCAGTGATTGACACCATGTTTATCTGTCTACAACTGAGATGACGACATCCATCAACCAAGTCAGCGAGCCACACCTTCAGATCCTGTTAATACAGGCCTACCAAAGAAAACTTTCCCACTGTGCAGAAAAACGCAGAAAAGCCCACATTAATCGTGGAAATAGCAACATAAACATAATACCTCGCTACTGAAACAGTAAAAACGGCAACTTTAAATCGCTAACACTGCATCATAAAACGAGTAGCCCGCAACTTTGATTTTGCGCATGCGCACATGGAAGAGGAAGTCTCGACTGCATGTTGACATTTTCCAGCTTGGACAAAAGTTACATTCCTGTTGTATTATTTGGCATTTATCATCATGATACTTGTGTGCACACTTGTTTAGTTTACTTTCCATTCGTATGAAACGAATGACAGTGTCTATTTCGACATATTTAATACTTTTTCTACGCGAGGTGATTCACGGTTGCTGGGAAATTGGAAAAAAACGCAGGTAGTAATGTGCATGCGCAGTAGAGGTCAAAGTTCGCTGATACAAAACTGTTGCAGTTTCATAGTTTTTCGTTGCAATTTTTACTGTTTCAGTACCGAGGTAATGTGTTTATGTTGCTATTTCCACGATTAATGTGGGCTTTTCTGCGTTTTTCTGCACAGTGGGAAAGTTTTCTTTGGTTGGCCTGTAATAGCCACTTATAATGCAAATAGCATGGGTTGCTGAAGACCAAATCTGAATCAAGATCTTCACAAATTAACACAACTCTGATCTTTTAAGCATATAACCACAACTTACCTGCTGTGCTATGAAATACTCGGCCTGCTTCTGTGAATAGAATCCCCCGGACAAACCACCGCCGCTGACGAGGAAAATAAGACACAAATCTTTATAATACTCCATCACTTGAGGTTTGTTCCTCATCAAAACATCTCCTATGTACATGATCAAATATGTCATATAGCCCAAGGCAAGAAGCCTCCAAATAAAGATCATATTTTTCCGTTGACTTCAACATGTTCCAATATTGTATTGGGTTGGTAACGAGATAACAAACATGTAGTTTGATAAGTAAATGGAAATTGTAACATATGTTATACTTGGGGTTACACTTTCTTTGTAAAGTACAAATTCTAGTACTTTTGGGGGTTGAGTCCCATTCGGGATTCGAACCCACACCCTCAGATTCAGGCACCTAATCGCCAGCACACAAAGTCAGCCGCCTAACCCGCTCAGCCACTACGACTTCCATAAAAAAAGGAAGTCGGACAACTGGTAGTCTACACTGCAGACTTTGCGTACCCCACTGAAAAGTGTGAGTGAGTTCAGGTTCACGCCGCTTTTAACCATATTCCAGCAATATCACGGCGGGGGACGCCAGAAATGGGCTTCACACTTTGTACCCATGTGCTGAAAAGTGTGAATTGGCACGGCTCCCACGGCATTGTGTAATCATAAATGGAAATTCTAAGATTTACAATAGGGTAATATCTAGACATTTTTCAGTTTATGGATTGAACCTCTGTTACCTTGTGATGAGTGAGTGAGTGAGTGAGTTTAGTTGTACGCCGCACTCAGCAATATTCCAGCTATATGGCGGCGGTCTGTAAATAATCGAGTCTGGACCCGACAATCCAGTGATCAACAGCATGAGCATCGATCTGCGCAATTGGGAACCGATGACATGTGTCAACCAAGTCAGCAAGCCTGACCACCCGATCCCGTTAGTCGCCTCGTACGGCAAGCATGGGTTACTGAAGACCAATTCTAACCCGGGACCTTCACGGGTCACCTTGTGATGTGCATACTGATATCTACTTAGTTCCGTCTGAAGTGGTTTAATGTCCTATAGACTGTACAGTGGTGAGTCTTAAGGTACAGTTTGATGTCTACTCAGGTATATGGTTCCTTCCTTGAATAACAGCAATGGACACACTCAGTGAGAATGAGTGAGTAAGTTTAGTTTCCCAGCACTTTCAGCAATATTCCAGCAACATCATGTGGGGGACACCAGAAATGGGTTTCACAATTGTACAGATGTGGGGAATCGAACCCAAGTCTACGTCGAGACGAGTGAATGCTTTAACAAGAGGCTACCCAGACACCCTACTATAACAACGAGATGCTTTGAAGGGAGCACTGGCAGTGGTGGACTTCAGAGAGCAATAGACCCTCTCATGGTGATAACTTTATGTATAGTTACAGCACTAATCACAGTAGAGGACCTACTCATTGAGGTTCATGGCCTCGAAGGACTTGGCCAGTCCACTGCGTGTAAGAGGAGGCCCAGCACCGGACAGACTCATCACCGAGTCCGTGAGAGACTTGGCAAGGTCAGGGTCATCTCCGTATCTGGCGGCCATGATGTCGTAGTAAGCCTTGATCTTCCTGTGGAATGATGTCACCTGACTGAAGGACAGCTTGTTGAAGGCCAGAACCATCCTCCGGATGAAGAGACCTGTGGGGGAAGAAGCATAAAGATTCAAGTCCTGGGGTAAAAATGCTTTCTGAGAAGATTTTGGGGTGAGAATGAGTACAAGAAGGAACCATTACTGTTGGACTGTCTCACTGTAGGAAGGCAATGATAAGTTGTACTGGTGTCTGAAGCTCATGTTCAAGCATGCAAGTCAGGTCTTCTGTCAGTCAGGTCTTCTGTAAGTCAGGTCTTCTGTCAGGTCTTCTGTCAGTCAGGTCTTCTGTTAGAGGAGAAGGCTGGTAGGGCTGGGACGATTCACCCATGCACCGATACATCACGATACATTTAAGTTTGATGAAACTATCGTATCGTCGACTGGTGTATCGATACAAAACAATACATGACTATTTTCAAAACAGTATTATCTTAATCATGTTAAAGTACCGTATATTACCGTAGATAAGCCGACCCCATAGATAAGTCGACACCTAAACTTGACCCTTAAAGTCAGTGTCAAAATGGTATGCTTCGTACATAAGCCGATCCCCCGCAATGGGGTCCTAATCGCGGCAAACACAGACCACAGACAACTGGCAGTTACCGATAATTATAACTTTGGTCCACATTATTCAAAGAATTCACAATCATATGGCATCTACTCACGCATCAAAATGAAGTGTAGTTGACAGAAAATGGATAATATATTTTGTTTCGCTAAATATCATACTTATTGTAGCTGGACGATCACATGTCAACAAACTGGCATGCTTATTTTACCCCATTCTATGTGCATACAACTTGCTACCACTTTATTTTAGGCTCCAACCGTGATAGCCAATTTCACATCATATTATCAACAATCATGAACTGATTACCGCCTCGTTTTCCATGGACTGCTAGTTTACAGTAACATCGATAAAATTGTGTGAATTTTAATGGCTTGCTTATTTTATTCCATTCCATTGCTTCATGAGGGTCCACAAAACCTTAGTGTTGATTATATTTTACATTTATAGAGCAAAAACTGTAATTAAATTCACACAATGCTAGGATATATTTCTTTGGGTTAAATAATAGTATTCTGTATTATATTTTACTGATGACTGCGTCAGAATTCATCCCGTTATATTATTGTGCATGTTTGAACTTGATCGCCAGGAAACGTGTGCACAGCTGATTGCTATTTCTGGCTCAAATACACACGGTAATCTTAATTCCTGCAAATAATACAATGCCCAGCAAACTTAAAAAGAACTTAAAAGGTAAATAATCTTGTCTAGTGATGTTTTATTGCAAATCTGACATCTTTACTGACAAAGTCGTCTTCTGTTGTTTTTCATGCAAAGTGATACGATGTTGTTTTCTTACCCCTGGCAAAAAGTTTGACGATAGCGTAACCCATGGATAAGACGACCCCCTTCTACAGACTGCTTTTTTGGTCCTCAAAATTTGGCTTATAGACGGTCATATTCGGTACTTATTTAGGGAAAAATACGCAAGTGTGATAGAGTTACTTGTTTGTTTATTACAATAGTGTTACTGTCATACACAAATACCTTGAAATAAATCATTCTGAATCTTAATACTCTGTCATTCTTTCAAGGTGTATGTATCATGATACATATCGTATCGCAGGTAAAATATTGCGATACGTATCGTATCGTGACATAGCGTATCATCCCAGCCCTAAAGGCTGGTGCCCTCCATTGTCTCTGAGATGTTCCTCACCCCACACCATGACCTTATGCTCCATCTCCAACCCATTCATCAACCAGCATTTATTGACACAAGGATGACTTCAAGCATGAAGAATATTCAACATACAATCTGTCACTTTTATTCAACATGAAGAATATTCAACATACAATCTGTCACTTTTATTCAACAAAATAAGGAACTGGTCCTGTTTTAATATTGGAACCCTGTGTGGAATTAAGCAGATCGACGTGTTAAACAAAGCTGGTTTTGGTAACACTTTGTGGGATGGAATCTGAATTCAGAAATGAAACTTTAATGTTTGCAGAACAATATACCAAAACATCAGCTAGTGTATACCTTTTTTTTCACAAAAGAAGAAAGCACAAAAATAAACACTAAACAGAGATAATCTCACATTTGTCAATGAAAATCTAATAATTATTTTCCCATGGCTCAACAGATTCCTATTCTGCAGCTCAAGTCTTATAAGAACCAAAGCATTTGTACAATATTCATGAAAACTGTAACAGTGAGTAGTCACAGTATGGTGAGATCAAAGAAAGTGATACTGGTCACGAGACACAAATGAGATCTGTTGTTTCACAGTCCAGTAACTGACTTACTGAGTTTAGGTACAGCTGTCAGCAATATTAGGGTGAGGGGACACTAGAAATGGGCTTCACACATTGTGCCCTTGTGGGGAGTCAACTCAGGTCTTTACAGCGCTTTAACCACTAAAGAGGTCATCAGTCCAGTAACATGTAATTGTCTTACAAGGAGAGTGAGGTCAGAGTAGGGTGAGGTGACAGTAGGGTGAGATCACAGTAGGGTGAGGTGAGGACAGTAGAGTGAGGTCACAGTAAGGTGAGGTTACAGTAGGGTGAGGTGAGGTTACAGTAGAGTACAGAGGGTGAGGTCAGAGTAGGGGTGAGGGTGACAATAAGGTGAGGGTTACAGTAGGGTGAGGTCACAGTAGGGTGAGGTCACAGTAGGGTGAGTAGGGTGAGGCCACAATAAGGTGAGTAGGTTACAGTAGGGTGAGGTCATAGTAGGGTGAGGTCACAGTAGGGTGAGGTCACAGTAGGGTGAGGGTGAGTGAGGGTTACAGTAGGTCACACATAGAGACAGAGGACACAGTAGGGTGAGGTCACAGTAGGGTGAGGATACAGTAGAGTGAGGTCACAGTAGGGGTGAGGTTACAGTAGGGAGTGAGGTCAGAGTAGAGTGAGGTCAGAGTAGGGTGAGGTTACAGTAGGGTGAGGTTACAGTAAAGTGAGGTCAGAGAGGGGTGAGGCCACAATAAGGTGAGGTTACAGTAGGGTGAGGTCACAGTAGGGTGAGGTCAGAGTAGGGTGAGGTCACAGTAAGGTGAGGGTTACAGTGAGGGATACAGTAGAGGAGGTCATAGTAGGGTACAGTGAGTGAGGTCACAGTAGGGTGAGGATACAGTAGGGTGAGGTCACAGTGGGGTGAGGTCACAGTAGGGTGAGGTCACAGTAGAGTGAGGATACAATAGGATGAGATCACAGTAGGGTGAGGTTACAGTAGGGTGAGGATACAGTAGGGTGAGGTCACTGTAGAGTGAGGATACACAGTAGGGTGAGATCACAGTAGGGTGAGGGGATTACAGTAGGGTACAGTAGAGTGAGGATACAGTAGGGTGAGGTTACAGTAGGGTGAGGTCACAGTAGGGTGAGGTCACAGTAGGGTGAGGTCACAGTAGGGTGAGGTCACAGTAGGGTGAGATCACAGTAGGGTGAGGTCACAGTAGGGTGAGGTTACAGTAGGGTGAGGTCACAGTAGGGTGAAGTCACAAGTCAGCAATTCTGCACTTACCCATGACACTGCTCTTGCTGATCCTGGCCTCGCCAGGATTCTCCGGACATACCAGGCCATTGGCAGCGTCGAAGAAGTCCATAAGTGGTTTGACGCCATCTGTGTAGAACTGCTTCAGTCTGAAACAAACAAAGGCTCCATTAGTTGTCATAGAGCATAAAAAATGTGGCTTTAACTGCAAAATACATGCATGGATTTGTTTCTGTTTTATCTTCTGCAGCTGGCTAAAATGTTCCAGGTGTGGCCTGAAATCTACACAAGATATTACAGTGACTAACTGGGCAAATATCCATGCCATCAGGGTGACACACAATCAGCCAATATGGGAGAAGTGAGTGAGTGAGTGAGTGAGTATGGTTTTACGCCTTTTTAACAATATTCCAGCAATTTCACGGCAAGGAACACCAGAAGCGGGCTTCACACATTGTACGCGTGTGCTGAACCAAACCCGGGTTTTCAGCATGACGAACGAACGTTTTAACCACTAGGCTACTCCACTGCCCCTACCGGTATGGAAGGAAGCATAGCACGCTCATCACATGTAGTATCACAGAATCCCCACATTGAGAAAAAACAGACAGAGGTTTGTAAAGGTGAAAGGTGCTTAACTAGAATATCAAACGGTCAACTGTGTTTAATGTTGCAAAGCATTTCCGAGTCTCATGCTGGAATTCGAACCACAAACATTCTGATCCAACACCTCCTCTGCATGACCAAAGAGTTTAACCTATCAACAAGCTGACAAGGTAAAGATGTCATCTGTGGGATGAATCCTTGCTCTGCTACACACACTCCATCAACAGAGGCCATGTCATGGGGCGCAACAGCAGGCTACTGAGACTAATTCTGCTCAAATGAGTGAGTTAGTTTAGCTTTACGCCACTTTTAGCAATATTCCAACAATATCATGGCAGGGGACACCAGAAATGATTTTTTCTGCTCAAATTTATCATGAGCATGCCCAAACTCAATGTAGCTGCCAAAACATTTTCAAGTTCTGTGCAGGAAGTCTGACCAAAGAGGTTAATCTATGTAAATATCTGTCTGTCCGTCCGTGCATCTGTCTGTCTGTCTGTCTGTCTGTCTGGCAAAACTATACTTCATGACACAACATATTTGGCTACAACAAACTATACTTCTAAAACAGATATATATATATAAATATGTTTTAATTTTTCAAAATGACCCTTCTGTTCCAGATTCAGAGCATCACACATGAATCAGAATGTCACATACAGCTGTGAAACATTTTGGCAAATGGAACACAAGAACTAGAAACAGACAGGTCTGCTAGCTTAGTAAATACCCGACAGTCATTACCTTACTGTCAGAGGATGTCACTTGATAACAACATGTCTCATGATGTATATTTGATGATGTCCCACATCTCCAGCTACCTTCAATAACAGATACTTGAATACTGACATAATGGCCTTGACCTTCAGTCCCCAAATATTTCTAATCACAAGCCTAAATGGTGTTACAACTGTGAAGTACTTCAAGATTACTGTAAAACGGGGAATAAATTAATCAGTCATCAAACATGTGAATAACCATGCCAACACGACATGGAAACATATCATCAAATAACTGAAACAGATTTAGGTTGATCACAAATTTAATACCAAGTATACATGATGTTAGCACCATTTCAATATGAGGCACCATTTCACTATTATTTATTTTTATGTTTTTAATTATCTTTTTTTTAACCTACCTACCTACGTACCTACCTACCTACACGTGCCTACCTACCTACTTACTTACTTACTTTACTTATTTATTATTCATTTATTCATCATACTTACTTACTTACTTACTTTACTTATTTATTATTCATTTATTCATCCTTCTTACTTACCTTACATTTATTATTCATTTACTTACTTCTTACTTACTTTACTTATTTATTATTCATTTATTCATCACTTACTTACTTACTTACTTACTTACTTTATCTTATTTATTATTCATTTATTCATCATACATTTATTCTTACTTACTTACTTTACTTATTTATTATTCATTTATTCATCACTTACTTTACTTACTTACATTTTTACTTACTTATTTATTATTCATTTATTCATCATACTTACTTACTTACTTACTTTACTTATTTATTATTCATTTATTCATCATACTTACTTACTTACTTTACTTATTTATTATTCATTTATTCATCATACTTACTTACTTACTTATTTTAATTATTTATTATTCATTTATTCATCTTATTCATTACTTACTTACTTACTTTACTTATTTATTATTCATTTATTCATCATACTTACTTACTTACTTACTTTACTTATTTATTATTCATTTATTCATCATACTTACTTACTTACTTTACTTATTTATTATTCATTTATTCATCATACTTACTTACTTACTTACTTTACTTATTTATTATTCATTTATTCATCATGTCCTGTACAACGCATATACATCATTAGTTACATCATGCATACGTCATGTATTATCTGTACAAGAATAAAAAATATGGGAAAAAAAAGATTTCGATTGATCACAAATTAATACCATGTACACCTGATTAATACCATGTAATCCTGCCTGAATTGTCAAGGACACATACCAGGAACAAGTGTTATGACTTAATGCCATCATGTTGCATGTGTCTGTGATAACTACCAATGAACCCACTGTTCAAATTATCATCATATTCAATACATACAAGTCAGAAGAACATGGAATAGGAAAACAGGTTTGTTGAATCTTCAGAACATTCGCAGGCCTCAACCTCGTGAGTCTCAATCACCTTCACCTTCATGATGAGCCAATCAAAATCAACGTACCATTCAGCCTGAGCACTTTTATGCCAATCAAAATCTATTTATTTATATTCCCACAAATAACCTTAGGATTGGCAAATCAGACAAACATACCTTTTATGACCAAGCGAGAGTCTTTTCCAATGCCATTTTCTGTAAATGATCTATATGGGGCATACAATCATGAAGAGACAAGATCGGTTTCCTGTGTAATGCCTCAGTTTTCCAGCTATGTCACAGCAACACGTAAGAGAGGGCATGCCGATGTCATTCAACTCATACCTGAGCAATACTAAAAGCATCTAACAAGGCAGATAGAGTTTCCACTTCCTTGTTGAATCAATGCATAGTTTGCATATCAGAAACAGGTCTTAATGTCACATTGGTTAGGTGGGCAGGTCAATGTCACATTGTCACATTGGGTGGGTGTGTACGTGCGTGCGTGCATGCATGGCGTGAGTGAGTTTTTATATAACGTATTTACTGTTTTGATTACTACTATTTGCAGGTTGGTGAATGGTTACTGCCCAAGAGACCAACTGCCTTTGATGGAATTGGATCATGTTGCAAACTGACAGAAACAGAACAGTTACCGTTCTACTGACTCCAGTCACAGAGAGGAGGTACCGTCCTACTGACTCCAGCCATAGAGAAGAGGTACCGTCCTACTGACTCCAGACCTAGAGAAGAGGTACTGTCCTACTGACTCCAGCCATAAAGAAGAGGTACCGTCCTACTGACTCTACTGACTCCAGCCATAGAGAAGAGGTACCTCTCAACTGACTCCAGCCATAAAGAAGAAGTACCGTCCTACTGACTCCAGCCATAGAGAAGAGGTACCGTCCTACTGACTCCAGCCATAAAGAAGAAGTACCTATCCTACTGACTCCAGCCATAAAGAAGAGGTACCGTCCTACTGACTCCAGACCTAGAGAAGAGGTACCGTCCTACTGACTCCAGCCATAAAGAAGAGGTACCGTCCTACTGACTCCAGCCATTAAGAAGAGGTACGATCCTACTGACTCCAGCCATAGAGAAGAGCAAAGAAAAGAGTGAACATGAGCTATCAACCTTATAGCCATATGTGTTACACAACATGGTTCTGGAGGAAAGGATTTAGCAAAGAAACAGGAGATTATGAAATAGGATAAATTTCAAACTGACCACAATGGCTGACGGTTCTCAGGGAAGGGATGCCCAGGACCAGCCTGTGATGGACAGTGGTTCTGCAGAGCAAGCTAACAGGGCAAACTCTGTGTCAAATGATGGGAACAACTGCAGGCAAAACAAATCTACTGAACCTGAACAAGTGACTGTTGAACCTGTTCTAATACATAATTCCATTTCGAGAAGTATCAGTTATGACTACACTGATTCCACACTCTTCCCAACAAACACTTTGACTCCTAATCATGGTCAGCATGATGAAAATCACAGAAGGAATGAAGGGTTGCCAAAAATTCTGTCCTTAAGACGAGGGAACGTGGGCACCACAGTCTTGGGGCCTGATCTTCCATCCACAAGAGGAGGGAATGAGAGCACCACAGTCCTGGGCCCTGACCAAGGGTTCCCTGATCTTCCATCTACAAGACAAGGGAACACAGGCACTGTAGCAAAGGGCCCTGACCAAGTGTTTCCTGATCTTCCATCCACAAGACGAGGGAACACAGGCACTGTAGCACAGGGTCCTGGCCAAGGGTTTCCTGATCTTCCATCTACAAGGCGAGGAACGTGAGCACTGTAGCAAAGGGCCCTGACCAAGTGTTTCCTGATCTTCCATCCACAAGACGAGGGAACACAGGCACTGTAGCACAGGGCCCTGGCCAAGGGTTCCCTGATCTTCCATCTACAAGACGAGGGAACATGAGCACTGTAGCAAAGGGCCCTGACCAAGCGTTTCCTGATCTTCCATCCACAAGACGAGGGAACGTGAGCACTGTAGCACAGGGCCCTGGCCAAGGGTTCCCTGATCTTCCATCCACAAGACGAGGGAATGCAGCCACTGTAGCAAAGGGCCCTGACCAAGGGTTCCCTGATCTTCCATCCACAAGACGAGAGAATGCAGCCACTGGGAATGCAGACCAGGGTTCCCTGATCTTCCATCCGCAAGACGAGGGAATGCAGCCACTGTAGCAAAGGGCCCTGACCAAGGGTTCCCTGATCTTCCATCTACAAGACGAGGGAGCGTGAGCACTGTAGCAAAGGGCCCTGACCAAGTGTTTCCTGATCTTCCATCCACAAGACGAGGGAACGTGAGCACTGTAGCAAAGGGCCCTGACCAAGTGTTTCCTGATCTTCCATCTACAAGACGAGGGAACATGAGCACTGTAGCAAAGGGCCCTGACCAAGTGTTTCCTGATCTTCCATCTACAAGACGAGGGAACGTGAGCACTGTAGCAAAGGGTCCTGGCCAAGGGTTCCCTGATCTTCCATCTACAAGGCGAGGGAATGCAGCCACTGTAGCAAAGGGCCCTGGCCAAGGGTTCCCTGATCTTCCATCTACAAGGCGAGGGAACACAGGCACTGTAGCACAGGGCCCTGGCCAAGGGTTCCCTGATCTTCCATCTACAAGGCGAGGGAACACAGGCACAGTAGCACAGGGCCCTGGCCAAGGGTTCCCTGATCTTCCTTCTGCAAGACGAGGGAATGCAGGCACTGAAGCACAGGGCCCTGGCCAAGGGTTCCCTGATCTTCCATCCACAAGACGAGTGAACATGGGGAACACAGGCATTGTAACACAGGGCCCTGACCAAGGGTTTTCTGATCTTCCATCTGCAAGACGAGGGAACACAGGCACTGTAGCACAGGGCCCTGGCCAAGGGTTCCCTGATCTTCCATCTACAAGACGAGGGAACACAGGCACTGTAGCACAGGGCCCTGGCCAAGGGTTCTGTGATCTTCCATCCCCCACACAAAGTAACTATATCCCAATAGACATTTCAGATTTCTATTACAAAGAAATCTTTTGGATGATTTTGCATGATTCAGGTAGCAATCAAGAAAATGCAGAAGGAAGTCAGGGCAATCAAAGTCCTACACTTGATTACAATGTGGCAATATCCTACGATGACACTGTGTCAGTACTGAGCCAGATATATCAAGGGAAAAGGAAAATGTCAAACAAAAGAGACACCAGTAGGAGAATTCATGAACTGTTCAGAAAAATGCTTACAAAATACATCTCAACTAAAACACTTGTCCTAGAATGGATACTCAGGAAGATCAAAATGGATAAAAGCATGCTTGTTAAACTGACAGAAGCTCTTCAAGGTCTGCAAAAAGGTGATCTTAGGAGGATTCATCACCTGATCAAATTTGCAAGTTTGATGTTTGAGAACATCATAGAAGTTGTCCAACTCCTCCTACTAATGACAGAGTTGGCTGCTGACGCTAAAGCCACCCTCATCCAGCCACTAAAACTCCTCATGATCAGTGGCCACACCACTGACCCTGACGACAGCACAAGAGGAACTGATATCATTCCAAAGTCAGTTCCCACCGAACTACCTACATCACAGCCCCTTATACCAGAAAACCCATTGCAGCCTCTATACGAAAAATGTTCACTAGAGCCTGTCTTACCCAGAACTTCAACACTGCAGCCTCTCCTACCCGGAACCTCTACACTGCAGCCTCTTCCATCAGAAACTGATGATGAAGAGCTGGATGACCATCTATCCCAACAGCAATTCCCAGGTTCATTTCCAGTAGGTGAAAAAGAGATACAGCACCTGGAGGGATCTGTTGGCTGCACTGACCCCCGACTTCAATGTGCGCCAAGCTTTTACGTCATAGGAGCAGCACAGGGATCTGCATTTGAACCCCCTCAAACAGGTTCAATCGAATCTGGAGATGTAGATAATGTGGAAGCGTCTCCCCATGGAAAGCCAGCATCTGTAACTGACCACCCTCAGTCTGCATCACTTGATGGCTCCAGATACAGAAACAGACTAAAGTCCGATGCAGCAGCAAGAAGAGAAGTCAGTCGGTTAACGGTGGACCAAAGAACTCACAGGATTGTTGATGCAAGAATATCCCAACAGATTCAAATCTTGAAAACAGAACAGGTAAGAGTGAGTGAGTTTAGTTTTACGCTGCACTCAGCAATATTCCAGCTATATGGCGGCGGTCTGTAAATAATCGAGTCTGGACCAGACAATCCAGTGATCAACAGCATGAGCATCGATCTGCGCAACTGGGAACCGAATACATGTGTCAACCGAGTCAGCGAGCCTGACCACCCAATCCTGTTAGTCGCCTCTTACGACAAGCATGGGTTACTGAAGGCCAATATTCTAACCCGGACCTTCAAGGGTGAAATGAAAAGAGAGTGAATAATTGAATGTTGTGTTTAACAGCTTAGATAAGGATTTACGATATAGTAATTAGGTTAGGGAATGTTGAGTTTCACAGTGTGGAACATCCAACGATAAGGATTTACATACTTAGATGAGGGTTGATGTGTTTCACAGCTTGGAAACATCGATAAGGATTTATAGTAATTAGGTAAGGGAATGTAGTGTTTCACAATTTGCTAATTTTATGGGTAAGAAATAAGCTTATGAGTGATTAAAATGTGTTCACATCTGGTTATAGAAGCTCTGTATTTCAAAACCATTCAATAAACTGCTTTGGGTGATAACCTATTTGAATTTACTGAAAATGTTTTGCAATTTATGGAAGTACTTGTATCTTGTTTCTCCAGACATACACCTTGATACGGTATGAAGACTCCACTCTACAGGGTTTGATACAGGACAATGTGCATGGTGGTACAGAGGATATCAAAGAGAATGTGCATGGTGGTACAGAGGATATAAAAGAGAATGTGCATGGTGGTACAGAGGATATCAAAGAGAATGTGCATGGTGGTACAGAGGATATCAAAGAGAATGTGCATGGTGGTACAGAGGATATCAAAGAGAATGTGCATGGTGGTACAAAGGATATCAAAGAGAATGTGCATGGTGGTACAGAGGATATCAAAGAGAATGTGCATGGTGGTACAAAGGATATCAAAGAGAATCAAGAGAAACGATCGTCAGATTCACAATGACAAACAACAGCGATGATCTTCAGGATGTGAATAAAAATCAAAGTCAAGACCTTGAGGGTGTGAATTCTTTTACAGCCTAAACCTCTGCAGTCGGTTTCCCGAGCATTCTCTAAGAAATCCCAGAGATTTCTTAATGCCCTAGGCTTTCTTGTGGAATAGCCATTGAGTTTGAAATATTTTACTTGTACAAGTGTTGAAGATTGATATGACCTTGTGTTGCTATTACTGAATACGATCATAAAATATCACTGTATTGAAAACTTTGAAATACATTGTGTCGCTGCCTGTCTTCGAACCTGCAACTTGTTGCTTACTCGTTTTGTGGTTTTATCCACTAGGCTACGAATGACCTCTGTGAAAATAGTGATTGTTTGTCAATACCATGTGTTCTTCACAAGACGGGTAGAGCGGGCAGCGCACATGCCTTACAAGGGTAGCGTGTGCATGGGTAGTCCCGTAAGCCCGACCTTTTAGTCGAGGTTAAAATCCTTTGATGTTGTGACAACAGTGTTGTTTTAAGGGATTAAGACACTGGCATTCTACAAAATGTGAAATGTGTTCACTCAGGAAATGAAATATGGCATGACAGATGGATAGATAGATAGATATTCTCTATTTCCTCCAAGTGAATGAAGATTACTATGTGCAGTGATACTATATTTTACGGATTATTTTAATGATTAAGGTGGATTAGTGATATAGTCCCAAATGTTCACATACAGTGGAAGCTGTCAAAACCGGCAGTTGTCAAATCCGGCAGTTGCCCAATCCAATTATCATAATTTAAATGCAACCCGCAGCTGTCAATTCACGGATATCGGCATGAAAATCTCATATGGGTTTATCATAATTTAAATGCTTTGCAATTCAGCCTGATGGTATTGCAATTAATCTTGCGATGATTCTACATGGATATCAGCATCAGAAATGACTGGTGAGTTGAATATGGGTGTAAACTTGTTAATCAGTCATCTAATCTGTGCTGTCTGGGGATTATTCAGCCTGAGTGCCGGTATTGTCACCAATTAATCAAGTGTTTTAGTTGAAGCGATTTGGTTCCTTACAAAGACATTTTAATCTTAGTTCAGCATTGGACATATGCAAGAATTGTATCATCATGTAACTTAACAAAAGTTTGACATATGTTATTGAATTCAAGCGGTTATTCATATTAATCATACATGACATAAACACATGCTTTACAATATCATTGGCGACAGTTTTACAATAACATTCTCTTGAAACAATTTCAGCTGATCCATAGAAAAAATGTCTTGTAATATCAGTTAACTGGTCATTCTTCTCTGCGGCTAGTAACTAGAGATAGTGTTCATTACTGGATCTTATATTGATATATCTTCACAGACTAAATCTTGAATTAAGAGTAACATAAAATAGATTGTCTCGATGAGATTTAATAGCCTCATTTATGGCATTGGACCAGCATTTCTTACTGATAAATCCCACTATTCAGTTTGTTACATAAACTTGCATGCTACAAGAATGTTGGAAATGACAGTTGTGTTCCTCATTTCCACAACTTCAGTTATGGCAAATGCACAAGACTGCAAGCATCCCAACTTGTTCGAGATCACCAAGTTCTTGGCAGATGAACAAGGACTGAACAAGGCTGTCAAATAATGACCTGACATTGATCCAGTACTGCCCCATTGAATGCAAAAATAAGAGTGACATTTTACAGCGTGATCTTTGTTCAGTTATTTTCCGGTGAACCTTTTAGCATTAACTGTGGTGTTGTAAAAACATTGAGTGCCCATTGTCTGAAACTAGTCGCCCTAAATGACATACCCCTCCAAACCGACTAGTTTGTTTTTACACCCGTCTAAAGGTCGGACTTACGGGACTTAACCGTATGCATGGTGCCTACTAGGCAAGGTATTGGCTGCCATTCGCCTAACAGTTGATTTCAACAGTATAAACAATTGAAGCCTTGTTTTTGTTGTCAATGAAATGCTTTAATGTAAATTGTGCATGTCATCAGTATTGTAATTAGGAGGGGTGGTGGGGTAGCCTAGTGGTTACGGCGTTCGCTCGTCACGCCGAAGACACGGGTTCGATTCCCCACATGGGTACAATGTGTGAAGCTCATTTCTGGTGTTCCCCCGCCGTGATATTGCTGGAATATTGCTAAAAGCGGCGTAAAACTAAACTCACTCACTCACTCACTCACTGTAATTAGGATCAAAACCGACTCCGAGGTTTTGATCCTTTGTTAAAAAGTGAAGTGATGACCTTCAGGGTATCAATTACAGTAAAATGTTATGACCTTGAGGGTGTGAATTACAATAAAAAGTGATGACCGTGACTTACTGTGCATCAAGTTTCATGAATGTACCCTAAATAACAGTAATGGCGGATTAACTCACTCAACCACAGCACAACAACAGTTTAACAATAAAACAATAATCATTTTCCACTCAACATGAGATCACAGTTCATCACAGAACAACGGACCTGCATGCCTCATTTAACATCCCTAACTGCCATTTAGACACTGAGTGGTTTCATATTGCTCAGGCTGCGCAGTCATGCAGGCATGCAGTGCAACAAGCAATGCAAATCGCATAAACAGCATAGGGGTCTGATAACATGCTATTATGTTGAATGAATATTAACACCTCTTACAATTTTCCTTTCATACGTTAAGTGTAATTCACGTAGGCATATAATTTTGACACCAATGACTCAGAGAAAAAAAAAATTCAGAGATGAAAAATATCAAGTTTAGATACGTAATGTTGGTCAATAAATGAACCTATTTTGCCAGTGATTAAAAACTGGAATTTACATTTGTATGCTCGGCAGCTGAAAGGTTTGACGCAGGGCACATGGCATACGCGCATAGTGTGTGCATGGCGTGTACTAGGCAAGGTATCGGCTGCCATTCTCCTTCCAGTTGAGATCAACAGTATAAACAATTGAAGCCTTGTTTTTGTTGTCAATTAAATGTTTTAATGTAAATTGTGTATGTCGTCAGTATTGTAAGTAGGATCAAAACCTTGGAGTGGATTATGATCCTTTAGTGATGACCTTCAGGGTATCAATTACGGTGAAATGTTGTAACCTTCAGGTAATGTGCGTCCGGTATACACAACTAGAAAGGATACAGAAAATATGTATTGCAACCTATTACCACCATAATATTCTCTGAACCAAATCCATGACCAAAAGGTCCTATTATGAATGTAATTATCATTACACCTTACAGTAAACTGCATAGTTCACTTAAAGTAAACTACAAAGTAAAATACACAGAACACTTACAGCACAGCACAGTATCGCCACTGAAACTATCGAAGACATGCATGACAAGGAAGTAGAAACTATACTAGGAGTCTATTGTAAAATTCGTCTCAGGTAGAGTTACATTCCCTTGATGACATAGATCACATGTACACAAGTATGAATGACAAAGAACACATTCTTTTTCCTACGCCGGGTAGTCTACAACACAGTGAGAAGGCCTGATCACCTTTTACCTAAAGATACCTGAAGAATATCAAATTTAATTAGCATTTTCTTTTCAGAGGACCAACTGAAGGTTTAACAAAGTGCCCAGACAGGTACGTTTTCAAATTTTGATGAACTTACCATGTGTTCTACATTTACTGAGATTATTTTTGTCGGCCATTTTATCTCAATCGCCTCTTTCAAGATTATTTACAGCAAGCACAAAAAGGACAATCTATGATATATTTACAGCCCCTTTTGGTCCATAATGTCTGCATAATATAAGGAAGTAGCAACACTTTTAGATATTGTAACGGCAGTTATCAGATCTGACATTCATAGGAATGAGAACTCAACATTCATTTAAACATGTACTTGTTTGGGGCTGGAGTTATATCAACACTATTGAACTGAACAAAAGCCTACAGGTGAACATATAAACAAAAAGGGTATCTTGTTTCCCCTCCTCATAATAAAAACAATGTTTGAACTCTTCCCACAAATTATTATCACAACAAAACATGGTACCAATGTAAAACATAACAAACTGAAGATGGGGGTGAACAAGCTCCTTAATTTTATTTCAATTGACACAAGAGTTTTAGTCTGAAGAAAATCTTTAGGTTAAAAAAAGGTTGGCTAATACCAACTGATTGATTGATACTTATATTTGAATCAATATTATTTGTTGGTTTTGGAAATTCTGCAGTCTTTTATATTTTAAGTGCACCTCTTCAAAAGATCCTGTCTACCCCTTTTCAGAAAAAAGATTCACATTTGACTCATAATCATAAAAAGATTACTTTTAGAAGAAAGAAGCGGCAAGCCAATAATGTTCCCCATATTGCCACCTGCTTGACGGCTCCATCACTTGCCTCGCAGCACATAGCACATCCACAACACAAATCATGGAATCTGTACTGGCTAGCCAACAGTTATCGCCATATTTGTGTGGTATTTACAAAATTACTCCGCCGTTTGTTAAATTAATGAAACAGAATTAATTATGATACTTAATTAGCAGGGCTCCAGATAGTTTTTCAACATCAGGAGTACGTACTCCTTATTTGTTCAATACAGGTGTACTTGAAATAGTTAGGAGTACATTTAGAGTACTGCATGGAATTTAATGGAGTATCAGCAATTCATATATGCACCAAAACATTGCTACTCTTGTGTAAACAGGTCAATAAACAATAAAACAATACTTTTTCAGATAATATGTCTGTTAATGATTCTAAGACCGTACACCATTGCTGTGGTGCATATCTGCTACGTTTTCAAAATTATTTCCTACCGTATCATGCACATTTTATATCCGTACATACGCCAATACGGCCCTTATCTGGAGCCCTGATTAGCTATTCACTGATGTGTCCAGCCCATTCACTGCCACTGAACATGTTTTTATATAACGCGGCGGAAGTGAATCATGGCAGTACAAATGGACGTTTTCTCACAACTACCTGTAACAGTTATCGCCATTCAGATTGTCTCATGCCATTCGTGAAATAATACATATTTATATCATACAGTAACCTCGAATAATTGATTGTATGACTATTTGAGTGTTTCTTTTACAGTAGATTGATAGGGAATGAAACAATTAACGACTTGTGAACTTGAACTTGCTATTATATAGGTCGTGGGGCATCCCCCCGACTAAGTTGATTTTTTTCATAGGGTTCATAACTTTATCTTTAATTTTTCTCTTATGTTACTTGCCGTGAATAATTTTCTTTTGCTGTCTAGTATTGTTGTCAAATACCGTTGGAAAAAATACTAGATTTGTAATTGACAGGAACTGCACACATGCGATACTGATGTATTGGCGATAACTGTTATGCGGCGATAACTGGTAGCTAGCCAGTACAGGTTATCATAGAAACATGGGCACTTGTTGACAAGTATGGGTTACTGGACACCAGTTATTAAAACCTGGATTTAACGAAGGGGCTTGACCAGGACAGGCTATCAGCATAGATCACAGAGATTTGATTATTTATAAATATCGGAGATGTTACCTCTAGATAACATGCCAAAGAAGTCTGAAAGAAATGAATACACGTCATATCACTGGTGACTGGTGACAGGTGTATGCATGGATTACAAACAAAACAGCATCCTGAACATATGTTTGTTGCCAGATTAATTTAAAACATTTTTTACCACAAAAGTTAATGTAAGCTATCATTGATAACACATGTTTCATATCGATAATCATTCATGATTTTGCTATCGAGGATATTTAGGATTGTGGATTGTTTTAGCCAGCCCTTGGCTTGACCTTTAATTCTTTGCTAATATGCAGATGCTGACTCAATGTCTGTTACCTTTCAGTCATCATGAGACGCAGAGATTTCACCAACTTTGTGAGCAGCCTTGCAATGCTGTACCTGCTATGGGTTCTCTACACCATTTGCAGACTCACCTCCTATCTGATTCACTGTGTCTTTCGCATCTACCATCACCTTTGCCACGGACAGGAGTCAGGTAAACCCTTGCACCAGTGAAGGACAATGTCATGGGATGACTTCCATTATTTTCCCTACTGTCGAGCCCTCTCTGCAGTGCTAAAGCCCTAAATGAAGCAAGTCTAGATTTCCTCAGGTTCTTTGAATCTCTGGTCTGCCTCGGGCTCCTTTTCAATTTAAATGGGTTTGTTCGTTAGTATCAAAATTATATATATTCAGAGACTAAGTGTTAGTCTTGGGTTATCAATACATGTCAACAACTTAATTCATGTGAGTCTGAAAAGGTTATCATTGTATGTCCACAACTCAAGACATGTGAATCTGTAGAGTTTATCACAAAACACCCAACGCTCATACCCAAGGTATACTCATGTCATGGGTTTCCGGATGATTATCACAAGAACTGTAAAACATGTCACAAACTTCTTAAAGTCACCACTATCTTACACAAGCCCTCGACCAAACATTTACAATGTCTAAGTGATGCACCCCTTCATTAGGGTAACAGTAAACACTGCCGGTGAAAATGTATACGCTGTCTACAAACATAGAATCAGTCAATATTGATAACATCCATCTATAGAGTTTTCCTCTGTTTCGCACATCATGTTTGTGACAGCAGTGACGTCATGATAATGACGTCACGTGCAAGCGCGACCAAAAAAAGTATGGCTGATTAAATAATGAAGGTCAGGTTCGTCTCTGTCATTCTTGGCATGCTTCCTACAAATATCGATCACGGTCGAAGCAGGAAATACATAACACATATGATGACATACAAGAAACCAAGGCCACGGCCAGACAACCTAATCCATGTGGGCACTTGTGGTCTAGTATTGTTGTCAAATACCGTTGGAAAAAATACTAGATTTGTAATTGACCGGAACTGCGCACATGCGATACTGATGTATTGGCGATAACTGTTACGCGGCGATAACTGGTAGCTAGCCAGTACAGGTTATCATAGAAACATGGGCACTTGTTGACAAGTAAACCTGGACACCAGTTATTAAAACCTGGATTTAATGAAGGGGCTTGACAAGGACTGGCTATCAGTATAGATCACAGAGATTGATTATTGATAAATATCGGAGATGTTACCTCTAGATAACATGCCAAAGAAGTCTGAAAGAAATGAATACACATCATATCACTGGTGACTGGTGACAGGTGTATGCATGGATTACAAACAAAACAGCGTCCTGAACATATGTTTGTTGCCAGATTAAATTAAAACATTTTTTTACCACAAAAGTTAATGTAAGCTATCATTGATAACACATTTTTCATATTGATAATCATTCATGATTTTTCTATCGAGGATATTTCTGATTATGGATTGTTTTAGCCAGCCCTTGGCTTGATCTTTAATTCTTTGCTAATATGCAGATGCTGACTACATTGTCTGTTACCTTTCAGTCATCATGAGATGCAGAGACTTTGTGAGCAGCCTTGCAATGCTGTACCTGCTATGGGGTCTCTACACCATCTGCAGCCTCACCGTCTATCTGATTCTCTGCATCTTCGTCATCTACCATCTCAACCGCCACGGACAGGAGTCAGGTAAACCCTTACATCAGTCAAAGACAATGACAGGAGTCAGGTAAACACTTACATCAGTCAAGGACAATGACAGGAGTCAGGTAAACCCTTACATCAGTCAAGGACAATGACAGGAGTCAGGTAAACACTTACATCAGTCAAGGACAATGACAGGAGTCAGGTAAACACTTACATCAGTCAAGGACAATGACAGGAGTCAGGTAAACACTTACATCAGTCAAGGACAATGAAGGACAGGTAAAATGACATCAGTCAGGACAAACAGGAGTCAGGTTACATCAGTCAAGGACAATGACAGGAGTCAGGTAAACACTTACATCAGTCAAGGACAATGACAGGAGTCAGGTAAAACACAGTTACATCAGTCAAGGACAATGACAGGAGTCAGGTAAACCCTTACATCAGTCAAGGACAATGACAGGAGTCAGGTAAACACTTACATCAGTCAAGGACAATGACAGGAGTCAGGTAAACACTTACATCAGTCAAGGACAATGACAGGAGTCAGGTAAACCCTTACATCAGTCAAGGACAATGACAGGAGTCAGGTAAACCCTTACATCAGTCAAGGACAATGACAGGAGTCAGGTAAACACATCAGTCAAGGACAATGACATCAGTAAAACCTTACATCACAATGACAGGAGTCAGGTAAACCCTTACATCAGTCAAGGACAATGACAGGAGTCAGGTAAACACAGGTAAACAACTTACAGTCAGTCATCAGTGAAGGACAATGACAGGAGTCAGGTAAATCTTTTGGTCTTTACTTGACATCAGTCAAGGATCTTTTGGTCTTGACAGTTGCGGTTGTCAGGTAACCCACTTACATCAGTGAAGGACAATGACAGCAGTCAAAAGAGTCAAAACAAGCACCACATCAGTCAGCATTTGTGTTAAAACATATTGACAGGATGTCTCATCAGGTAAACACTTACATCAGTCAAATTATCATTGTATGTCCACAACTCAAGACATGTGAATCTGTAGAGTTTATCACAAACACCCAACGCTCATACCCAAGGTATACTCATGTCATGGGTTTCCGGATGATTATCACAAGAACTGTAAAACATGTCACAAACTTCTTAAAGTCACCACTATCTTACACAAGCCCTCGACCAAACATTTACAATGTCTAAGTGATGCAACCCCTTCATTAGGGTAACAGTAAACACTGCCGGTGAAAATGTATGCCGTCTACAAACATAGAATCAGTCAATATTGTTACGTCCATCTATAGAGTTTTCCTCTGTTTCGCGCCATCATGTTTGTGACAGCAGTGACGTCATGATAATGACGTCACGCGTGCAAGTGCGACCAAAAAAAGTATGGCTGATTAAATAATGAAGGTCAGGTTCGTCTCTGTCATTCTTGGCATGCTTCCTACAAATATCGATTACAGGTCGAAGCAGGAAATACATAACACATATGATGACATACAAGAAACCAAGGCCACGGCCAGACAACCTAATCCATGTGGGCACTTGTTGACAAGTATGGGTTACTGAACACCAGTTATTAAAACCTGGATTTAATGAAGGGGCTTGACAAGGACTGGCTATCAGTATAGATCACAGAGATTGATTATTTATAAATATCGGAGATGTTACCTCTAGATAACATGCCAAAGAAGTCTGAAAGAAATGAATACACGTCATATCACTGGTGACTGGTGACAGGTGTATGCATGGATTACAAACAAAACAGCGTCCTGAACATATGTTTGTTGCCAGATTAGATTAAAACATTTTTTTACCACAAAAGTTAATGTAAGCTATCATTGATAACACATTTTTCATATCGATAATCATTCATGATTTTTCTATCGAGGATATTTCTAATTGTGGATCGTTTTAGCCAGCCCTTGGCTTGATCTTTAATTCTTTGCTAATATGCAGATGCTGACTACATTGTCTGTTACCTTTCAGTCATCATGAGATGCAGAGACTTTGTGAGCAGCCTTGCAATGCTGTACCTGCTATGGGGTCTCTACACCATCAGCAGCCTCACAAAGACGTCTATATGATTCTCTGCAGACAATGACAGGAGTCAGTAAATTTACACCAGTCTCAACAGGAGTCAGGTAAACCCTTACATCAGGACAGGAGTCAGGTAAACCCTTACATCAGTCAAGGACAATGACAGGAGTCAGGTAAACACTTACATCAGTCAAGGACAATGACAGGAGTCAGGTAAACACTTACATCAGTCAAGGACAATGACAGGAGTCAGGTAAACACTTACATCAGTCAAGGACAATGACAGGAGTCAGGTAAACAGGAGTCAGGTAAACACTTACATCAGTCAAGGACAATGACAGGAGTCAGGTAAAGTCAGGTAAACACTTACATCAGTCAAGGACAATGTCAGTCAAGGGGATGATTACACCAGTCTCAAGTCAGGTATGTTAGGACAAAAATGTTCTTGAAATGGATGGCTTTGTTGAAATTTTGCAACCCAGTTTGAATTAATTGTGAAGGAATCAGATGACAGCATCAAAAGAAACCAATCTAACAAGCACCACATCATCTGCAGCACAAATGATTTGTGTTAAAAGGTATATTCCATTTACGATTCTACTGATGTCTCATCATGACAGTAGGTTTGTCCGTTTAACTCTGCAGTCAGCAAAATTCCAGTGACATCATATCCATCATATATCATAGTGGCCAAAAACTCAGTGATTGATATAATGAACAATTTCCCATACCAGGTCACCAAACCTGGCCACCTAATAACGTTAGTACAGTTACTGCGGACCAATTATCCAAACCTGAATTCTGCATCAGTTCATCAGCTTATGACCTACTCCTCTATTCATGAACAGGTGCTGACTACATCTCTGAAAATTTCAACATGGATCGTCTGTATGAGGAAAGGCCTGATTTCTTCATTGAACTGATTGAGACTTTGATCCGACTGAACTGCAGACAACTAAACAAACGAATCATACAATCATTGCACAATGATGGAGCTATTCCAAATGGATGTGCCACTGCAGCAGTAAATACTGAGAGACCTGTATCTAATCTAACTAGGCTGCCTGAAGGTGGTTCTCAGCAACTGCCAAGAAGCCCTGGAAATACTGCCATAGATCTGGAAGCAAGCATGATCGACCAGGAGACAGGGAAGTCTCAACTGACCACCCACATACAGAATCTGAACACAGTGACCATGATCTAAGCTGTTCTGATATGGAGGAGGATAGTGAAGCTGGTGCTGGTGCTGGTGCTGCTACTGATGCTACTGCCTGTGCTTCTGCTACTGAAACTGTTCCAAAGACTGTGATCATTGTAGACAAAGCTTTTGCTGCTGAAACTGAAGGCTCTGTCGACACAAATACTGCTGATGAATCCAAGACTTTGGAAGACAATCTGGAAACCGTTCCCAGTACTGTGATCAGAGTAAACAAAGCTTTGGCTGCTGAAACCAAAGCAAATGATTTTGATTTGGAGGAGGACAGTGAAGCACACAGCCACAATGGACATACTACTTCTGCCACTGATGCTCAACCTAAAAAACACCATGGTTGCTGAAACTGAGATCTTGGTCGACACAAATACTGATGATGAATCCACTGTTTTGGGAGGCAATAGTGAAACCATTGCAAGCAGCAACATTGCAGCCACAAAACTTGAAGAGAATGACCGAACCATTGCACAGTCAACCAATGATACAGATAATGCTATGGAATGTTCTGTGGAAAATTCCATCCTTCCAGAAGATTCAGATAATCAAACTTTGGCTGACACTAATGAAAGCGTAAAAATGGATGACAAGCTTTCAATAAAAACCGAAGAGAAAGATGTGGAGGTGTCACTTAGTAGAAGCAACAGTCCATCTTGCCTGGGAGAAGAAGAGGAACTGACTGAGGATACAGGTATATGTGGAAAATCTGCATTAGAAAATAGAGGCATACTTCCAACTCAGCCTGCAGCTCCACACACAGTTAACACTGTATCCTCGAGAACAGAGGAGGCAACACCTGCTCTGAGCCCTCCGAGAGAAAACAATCAGGAGTCAGGGCCCGAACAAGTGGAATTTTACAAACCACAAGAATCTTGTGAGTCGATAAGACATGAAGGGAATCAAGAGCAAGGATCTTCTACATGCGTATTCTCCCCCACTGATGACCCTGGGAAATTGCATAAGAATGGACTTGACCTGTCACCCACATATCCCTTAGAGGACAGACATGACAACAACACTGTTCCTGTGAATCTCCAAAAGGATCAAACCTGTGCTGATCAAAACCCTCCATCAACCCCAACAGATCTTACAGATGAACATGAGAAATGTTCTGATCAAGACAAAGGTGACAAACAGATGAACCTAAACTGGCACTGAATCTCCAACATGATCACTCCAGTTATTTAGACGAGGCAAACTATACAAGCCAATCTGATCCCAAGGCTCAACCAAACAGACATCCTGATCAAGACAATGGCTGTGTGGATGGCCTGTCTCCATCAAGTCATGAGGTAAATATTGTCCATGTTACAAGAAATTTTCAGCTTGACAATTTTAACCCTGACATGCTGTATCCTGGAGAAGTTTGATCTATCTAAATTGCACAACATATCATCAATAGCATTAAATACATGGTGAATCCAGTGAAGCGAAACAGTCTTAAGTTATGGACAGTTCTTCATGGAATAATGATGCCTCTCCCTCATCCTAGTCTTGCTGAGTACACACATTCCTGCAAACATGCACATACACGTCACCATGTTAGTGAATCTAAGTCTGGACTAGTACACACATTCCTGCAAACATGCACATACACGTCACCATGTTAGTGAATCTAAGTCTGGACTAGTACACACATTCCTGCAAACATGCACACATATATCATCACCATGTTAGTGAATCTAAGTCTGGACTAGTACACGCAGCCCTGCACACATGCACATACACATCACCATGTTAGTGAATCTAAGTCTGGACTAGTACACACAGCCCTGCAAACATGCACATACACGTCACCATGTTAGTGAATCTAAGTCTGGACTAGTACACGCAGCCCTGCAAACATGCACATACACGTCACCATGTTAGTGAATTAGTGAATCTAAGTCTGGACTAGTACACACAGCCCTGCAAACATGCACATACACGTCACCATGTTAGTGAATCTAAGTCTGGACTAGTACACACATTCCTGCAAACATGCACATATACGTCACCATGTTAGTGAATCTAAGTCTGGACTAGTACACACATTCCTGCAAACATGCACATACACGTCACCATGTTAGTGAATCTAAGTCTGGACTAGTACACACATTCCTGCAAACATGCACATATATACGTCACCATGTTAGTGAATCTAAGTCTGGACTAGGTACACACATTCCTGCAAACATGCACATACACGTCACCATGTTAGTGAATCTAAGTCTGGACTAGTACACACAGCCCTGCACATGCACACATGTTAGTGAATCTAAGTCTGGACTAGTACACACAGCCCTGCACACATGCACATACACGTCACCATGTTAGTGAATCTAAGTCTGGACTAGTACACACATTAGTCACCATGTTAGTGAATCTAAGTCTGGACTAGTACACACAGCCCTGCACACATGCACATACACGTCACCAGTGAATTAAGTGAATCTAGTGAATCTAAGTCTGGACTAGTACACACAGCCCTGCACACATGCACATACACGTCACCATGTTAGTGAATCTAAGTCTGGACTAGTACACACAGCCCTGCACACATGCACATACACATCACCATGTTAGTGAATCTAAGTCTGGACTAGTACACACATTCCTGCACACATGCACACATACACATCACCATGTTAGTGAGATGATCTGGAATGTCATGTCAAACCCCATTCACTTTTCTTGCCAGGCTTCAGCTGACATGCAGGCAGCCAATCTTAAGGATCAGAAAAAACAGAGAGGGATGGTTGTTGCCAAGGAAGAAGGTGCAAACCCAGATGGAAGACCATCAGCGAAGGTCTGTCAACTTTCTCTCTTGTTCTCAAGAAATAGTTTAATTAAGCTAAAGGTGATCAGTAAAACTTTAACCTGACTGTTGACCCATATGAATATTCACCAGTGGGAACTTTCCATATGCTCCAGGGGTTTAGGGCATAAATCAATTTATTACCCACGTGGACAATGTATGGGTAGTTGCATACTAATCTTGTACGTCATAACGAGTGTCGTATCGCGTTGACCTGTATCGCAACGACTTGACCTGAGATTCTAACGATTTGATTGGATAACCAATGACCTCTCAATTAGGTCACATTCTGACGTAACTATTTGTTCATTCATAACAAACACGTAAATTCATTCACTCTACAACTTAAATGCATTGTGGGAATGTAAACATCGCGAATGTTGCCGTGTCGCTGTTTAATTGTGAGTCGAACTAAGACATTATATCCGTCGAAAAACATAAACGCAATGTTTCCACCAGTGATGTTAGCCGAATGAAGCAACTGCAAACCAAGAAACGGGGTGCTACGGAGTAGTTTACTGTAGGAGGCTGTACGAGGCGATGGCAACTGACATGCATCGAGACGTCGGTTACCAGGGCAGTGACGTCATTACAGTGTGACGTCATGCATATATTGTACTCTTCCGCAACCTCTTTATGAAACCGGTTTCGGTTTGAAACCAAAATATGAACAAAAATACGCTATTTTGTCAATTTAATGCATGTAAGACGTGGGTAATAAATAAAATACCACACTCGGTCTCATTACATAGGAATTATACGAAACTCGTGACCTTCCTATGGTATCTGACCGAGCGAAAGCGAGGTCAGATACCATAGGAAGGACACTCGTTTCACATAATTTGTATGTAATGAGACCTTGTGTAGTATTCTCTATATATTCTGTGCAAGTTAGCTTTATCTGTACCACACCAACAAACACATAGACACTATATTGAAATACATAGTAAGTAATATTTTTAGGTTAGGTCTTCATTAGGAGTCTTGGCAGTTTTGTTTAACACCACTCTCAGCAATATTCCAACTTTACCACTGCTGCCTGTAAATAAATGTAATATAATATGGACAAGAAAACCAGAGGCTGATATTATGAGCAAAATGCCTTGTAACGTCAGCAACCAAGTAACTAAGTCTCACTACCCAATACATTATGTAGCATCTTACGGCCAGTATAGGTTGCTGGAGATCAAGTCTCAACCAGAATACTTACAACAATATTACAACATAGCATTAATAATAAGATTTAAGTATCTGGGACCCCCATTTTGTAGTCCAGGACCCCTGAAAATTAAGAGTATGAGTCCCAGGGACCCTCAAATATAGGACTCATGGTAAATCCCTGATATCTTGGATTTTCCAGACACCAAGGACAGAAGAAGATTTGAAAGAGACTCAGTCAACCTCTGAGCAGCCGGAGGTTTCCATGTCTCAGTCTGCTAGATTTTTTTATCAGGTAAACATATTTTATAGGAACTGGTAAAATAGTTAACAGCATTATGTAGGGTGTATAATTCCTTAACTGGAACTGAAACCTATACCTTTATTTACCATCAACAGAAACACACAGATCAACACCCAAGCAACGTCAGACAAGACCTACTGTGTACATCCCATGTCTTACTACCTTCTATATGTCATGCTCCAATAACTGTTTGTTTGTTGCTGAATGTTGTCAGCAATATTCCAGCTACTCCATATGATGGTTATTTGTAGACGGGTTTATTGTTTCTTTGTAGTTGAGTAAGATGGCCAGGTTTAATGTTTTGTAATAGAGTAAGATGGCCAGGTTTAATGTTTTGTAGTTGAGTAAGATGGCCAGATTTAATGTTTCCTTGTAGTTGAGTAAGATGGCCGGGTTTAATGTTTTTGTAGTTGAGTAAGATGGTTTAATGTTTTGGGGTTTAGCAAGATGGCCAGGTTTAATGTTTTGTAGTTGAGTAAGATGGCCGGGTTTAATGTTTTGTAGTTGAGTAAGATGGCCGGGTTTAATGTTTTGTAGTTGAGTAAGATGGCCGGGTTTAATGTTTTTGTAGCTGAGTAAGATGGCCGGGTTTAATGTTTTGTAGTTGAGTAAGATGGCCGGGTTTAATGTTTTGTAGTTGAGTAAGATGGTCGGGTTTAATGTTTCTTTGTACAGTATTACAACTGTGTCACCTTGATGTGGGTGATGCAGGTCACAGGTGTTTACCAGTGAAACCCAAAAGTTTAGATATGGTGCTGACCAACCTACGTATCATTAGTTCCTGGCTCTGCCAAGGGACACAACTCTGCACAACTAACCACCTGTACATTATCAAGACTAGTCCTGACAATCTTGTGACTGACACAAGAACGTGAGTGAGTGAGTGAGTATGGTTTTATGCCACTTATAGCAATATTCCAGCAATATCAAGGCAGGGGACACCAGAAATGGGCTTAACACATTGTACACATGTGAGGAATCGAACCTGGGTCTTCGGCGTGATGAGTGAACGCTTTAACCACTAGGCTACCCCACCATAGGTTGTTTGGAACCTGATCTAACCTAGAGTGTCCACATAATAACAATGAATATCTCTCTTCCATTTTCTGATTTTGAATGAAAGCCACTGCTCCAACATTTTACACAAACACTTACTTTATTTTGATTATAGACTGGAAATCAGCCACTCGCCATTCAACGAAATCATCATGAGAAATGGCCGACAGAAAGTTCCTCTGACAGTGAGAATGAAAGCAAGGGAGACCACTCAGCGGTAACTACTGCATACCTATAGACTTCAGATGTAAATTATTGAAACAAGAACAACAATTTTACTGACTCAATGAGAAAAACTGGTGTAAACCGAAAATGACTCATGCTATACTTGTGTGTAAAGCTTATTCAACTTCATTAATCAATTCAATTTCAACTTGATGCAGATGTAATATAAATTAAGGCGGCTAAAAAGATCAATAGTTAATAATGTTGTAAATGAGCTATTGTCTTATCATTTTACAATTTAATCAGAATATCCAGAATGTTACGTCTATATTCATGGGATGCTATGAGCTATGTTCAGGACAGCGTTTTACTGGCAATTACAGTCCGTTTGAGTCAGAAACGGACCGATGAATTGCAAATTTTACCATTGTACAAACTTTTGACATAGTTCACTATTTCTTACGAGGGAGGAGTGCAGAGAAAGGGACAGCCAGGTGTTAGAGAAGCACGTGCACAAGTGCCCACCAAGTTATTAATTCATTAGCCTGTGCTGTGCCGTCTCCATCCTTTCTCGCACACCTGGCTGTCCCTTTCTCTGCACTCCTCCCTCATAACAAATAGTGAACTGTGTCAAAATTTTAATGATAGTTTCTTAAAGAACTTTTTTGGTGGAGTCCGGAAAATTTTCAAATATAAGAAAGCTGTTGGGTATTAGTAAATGATAAACATGTGTACTATTTATATTTAGGTGGCAATTTTGTACAATGATAAAATTTGCAATTCATCGTTCCGTTTCTGACTCAAACGGACTGTAAAGCTTAATATCTTACCACTCACCACTGTTGTGACATTTTTCTTTCATATATTTTAGTCATTGCTCACTGTTACTTTGATATTTATGAATATTCCACCTCTATAATCTCTATATGTATATGATAGCAAGCCCTAATAAAAAGACATTTGGTGTGAAGTAATTGTGTGTATAGCTCTGGCACTTCAGTCATCTTGAAACAAGGTCTTTTTATATATCAATGAAAGCATTGCAAACATAACCGTGAAATACTATTTTCTACCTGTTATTTAGAATAGGCCTTAAAAATATGGAATACATTTTGGTTGAGTTTCTAGGGGTTGCTAGCATAAAAACTTTTAAGTTCTTGTATGTTATATCTCTAAACAAGGTATTAATATATACAAGCCAACTCATTAAAACACTGAAATTTTCCATTTGCTAATTGCCAATTGTCTCATTTCAGAAAGTTCCATGAGAGTTGCCAAGATGTCAATGATCCTGTTATCATCTTGCTACTTATAAACACTGCATAATACAGCAAAATCTTTTAAGGCTTTAAACTTGCTTTATATATAATATGTTACAGTGAAACCCTGTTGATCTTCGCAGCAGAATTCTATGTAAACTGTCAGACTGAACAAATTTCAAGGTTAAAGAACCATAGATACAGAGTAATGTCCCTTTGTTTATTATCTACGGAGTAGTGTCCCTTTATTCAAATGTAGGCATCCCAAGGTGTGCCGGTCACTGGACGGAGCTTCCACATTAGGGGGGTCTAAACCAACAGGGTTTCACTGCATGTAGCTTTATGGCACAGCTTTTCATAAAAATATGTTATTCATTTGCTTTGGGAATTTCCTATTCTTTACAAATTCATCATTCTCAGTGCTTGTTTTTGTTTGGTATGTGTTCAGGAGTTGCTCCTTCTGTTTTGCATCTTTGTGTATAGTGAACTACTGTTATAACCAACAGAAAGATAGCACTAATTTCAGTTTGCTATTACCATGGTGATTTTTATGCATTTCAACCAGGATTGAAAAGGTTATATCAGTCAGTTTGTCATAAGCTTGTTCTTAATCAATGTAATTTTCTGTATTTGGTATTTTATTTATGATTAGCTTTGCATATGTTTACGCTTTATTGAAACCCTAGATTTGTACTTATTTTTAGATTATGCCAGCCAAACATCTTGTCTAAACTAACAAGATGATTGTGCCAGCACCAGTTGGGTGTGACGGCATTGTGTAATCACAGCCTTCGGCCATGGGAACCCTGCCAATTTATACTTATCATAGGGGTTCACAAAGTCAGTGGTCAAGACAGTGGCTAAGTGGGTTATTTTGTGTGCTACTGAAACATATTAGATGCAATAATTTATGTCAGGTCATTGGCTGGAAAATGTTAGATTATGTTTTAGTCTTCTTCATTTAATAAATTCACAACTGGTTTTGTGTTCTGCGTCCTTGATGTCTGTGTCTGTGTTGCCTCATCTGTGGACCTGTGGTGCCTGACTGCATGTGTCTGTGTACCAGTGGTGCCTGACTGCATGTGTCTGTGGACATGAGGTGCCTGCCTGCATGTATCTGTGGACATGTGGAGCCTGACTGCATGTGTGTGTGGACATGTGGTGCCTGACTGCATGTGTGTGTGGACATGTGGTGCCTGACTGCATGTATCTGTGGACATGTGGAGCCTGACTGCATGTGTGTGTGGACATGTGGTGCCTGACTGCATGTGTCTGTGGACATGTGGTGCCTGACTGCATGTGTCTGTGGACATGTGGAGCCTGACTGCATGTGTCTGTGGACATGTGGAGCCTGACTGCATGTGTGTGTGGACATGTGGAGCCTGACTGCACGTGTCTGTGGACATGTGGAGCCTGACTGCATGTATCTGTGGACATGTGGAGCCTGACTGCATGTGTCTGTGGACATGTGGAGCCTGACTGCATGTGTCTGTGGACATGTGGAGCCTGACTGCATGTGTCTGTGGACAAGTGGAGCCTGACTGCATGTGTCTGTGGACATGTGGAGTCTGACTGCATGTATCTGTGGACATGTGGTGCCTGACTGCATGTATCTGTGGACAAGTGGAGCCTGACTGCATGTGTCTGTGGACATGTGGAGCCTGACTGCATGTGTCTGTGGACATGTGGAGCCTGACTGCATGTATCTGTGGACATGTGGAGCCTGACTGCATGTGTCTGTGGACATGTGGAGCCTGACTGCATGTGTCTGTGTGGACATGTGGTGCCTGACTGCATGTGTCTGTGGACATGTGGTGCCTGACTGCATGTGTCTGTGACATGTGGAGCCTGACTGCATGTGTCTGTGGACATGTGGAGCCTGACTGCATGTGTCTGTGGACATGTGGTGCCTGACTGCATGTGTCTGTGGACATGTGGAGCCTGACTGCATGTGTCTGTGGACATGTGGAGCCTGACTGCATGTGTCTGTGGACATGTGGTGCCTGACTGCATGTGTCTGTGGACATGTGGTGCCTGACTGCATGTGTCTGTGACATGTGGAGCCTGACTGCATTTGTCTGTGGACATGTGGAGCCTGACTGCATGTGTCTGTGGACATGTGGAGCCTGACTGCATGTGTCTGTGGACATGTGGAGCCTGACTGCATGTGTCTGTGGACATGTGGTGCCTGACTGCATGTGTCTGTGGACATGTGGAACCTGACTGCATGTATCTGTGACATGTTGTGCCTGACTGCATGTGTCTGTGGACATGTGGTGCCTGACTGCATGTGTCTGTGGACATGTGGAGCCTGACTGCATGTGTCTGTGGACATATGGTGCCTGACTGCATGTGTCTGTGGACATGTGGAGCCTGACTGCATGTGTCTGTGGACATGTGGTGCCTGACTGCATGTATCTAGACATGTGGAGCCTGACTGCATGTATCTGTGACATGTGGTGCCTGACTGCATGTATCTGTGGACATGTGGAGCCTGACTGCATGTGTCTGTGGACATGTGGAGCCTGACTGCATGTGTCTGTGGACATGTGGAGCCTGACTGCATGTGTCTGTGGACATGTGGAACCTGACTGCATGTGTGTGTGGACATGTGGAACCTGACTGCATGTGTCTGTGGACATGTGGAACCTGACTGCATGTGTCTGTGTACCTGTGGTGCCTGACTGCATGTGTCTGTGGACATGTGGAGCCTGACTGCATGTGTCTGTGGACATGTGGAGCCCTGACTGCATGTGTTCCTGTGGACTGTGGAGCCTGACTGCATGTCTGTGGACATGTGGAGCCTGACTGCATGTGTGTGTGGACATGTGGAACCTGACTGCATGTGTCTGTGGACATGTGGAGCCTGACTGCATGTGTCTGTGGACATGTGGAGGCCCTGACTGCATGTGTCTGTGGACATGTGGAGCCTGACTGCATGTGTGTGTGGACATATGGAGCCTGACTGCATGTGTCTGTGGACATGTGGAGCCTGACTGCATGTGTCTGTGCGCTGACCAGTGGAGCCTGACTGCATGTGTCTGTGGACAAGTCGTGAAAACCTCACTGCATGCATCTGTGGACATGTGGAGCCTGACTTGGCTGGTGTCTGTGGACATGTGGAGCCCTGCGGCTGGTGTGTGTGGACAAGTGGAGCCTGACTGCTGAGGCTGGGTGTGTGTGGACAAGTGGAACCTGCGACTGCATGTGTGTGTGGACAAGTGGAACCTACTGGCTGGTGTGTGTGGACAAGTGGAGCCTGCGGCTGGTGTGTGTGGACAAGTGGGAGCCTTACCGGCTGACATGTGGTGTGTGTTCCTGTGGACAAAGTGGAGCCTGCGGCTGGTGTGTGTGGACAACGTGGAGCCTGCGGCTGGTGTGTGTGGACAAGTGGAGCCTGCGGCTGGTGTGTGCATGTATGGAAATGCAAGCCTTCACTGTGTGATTCAATGTACAGTCAATGTACAGTCAATGTACAGTCAATGTACTGCAATTCATAATACAATGTATTCAATGATATTATACAAAATCTTGTGTATTAACACAAACACACTTTTCAGGAATTGCAGAGCAAAGACTTCACTGAGGAAACAAGGTGGGTGGGTGTTATAGAAATGAGTGAGAGTGAGTGTTATAGAATAAATGAAAACAATCGAGAAACATGTAGAAATGGATTTGTTGGTGTGAGACGGTGAGTGAGTGAGTGAGTGAATGAGTGAGTGAGGTATTATACATATTTTAAACAATATTCAAGTTATGCATCTCAGTTTGAACTTGGACACCATGGGCTTATGATGTTGATAAAGCAAAACTATAATCAGGTCAAATCAGAATGATACTCAACAAACCCAGGGTTTTGCACAACAAATGGCAAAACCTAACACAACTGGTACCATTGCCCCCTGACTCTGAACAGTATTACACTTATATCGCAACAGAAATGAAAAGAGTCGATAAATGCAGGTCCTATGGACAATGTCCACTTTATTCCTTGACATTATGGGCACAGTTATTACAGAGGCAAGTCATATCCTGTCACAGGTAAGAGGGGGACAACTCAATAAAGCCAATATATAATGCTACAGGTTGGATGCAGCTTACCTCAGAATGTTTGGTAGTCAGATGCACCAAACAATATCCGAGCTTTACTAGCACATCATCATCTACTGAGAAGTGGTTTTATCAATGCAGAGATCACCTTCTACATGTTTAGACAGAATGTAATTGAGTAGAATAAGGATGTCCTCCATTCCAAGTCAATTGAATGAGTAAATGAGTTTAGTTTTATCGCGCCTTTTTAGCAATATTCCGACAATATCACGCTGGGGGCACCAGAAATTGGCTTCACATAGTACCCATGTGGGAAATTAAACCTCGGTCTTTGGCATGTCAAGAGAATGCACTTGCCACTAGGCTACCCTAGCACCCCAAGTCAGCTAATTAAGATGACATTTCAGCCACATCACAGAAGGGAAAGCCTACAGTGTTGTTCCTAATGATCCTGAGCAGATAGACTAAAATGTCCTGTCTGTTAATAATATGGGAGAGCAGGACAGACTGTAGAGTAAGTCACAGACTAAAGTGAGGATGCTACCTTGACTGTACCTTGGATTCTCAAACAATCTGTAGACAATCCAGGTGAAATTAGTCTGAACCGATTGGTGAAGTCGTGGTCTGACCAATTTTTTGACACTCCTTGGGTCCTCAACTGTAAAATGCAATTATACAGTGACCAGTGCAACTCAACCAAAAAGCACTGAACTACAATGAACAATGTAAATGTAACTTCTTTGAGAGCCATTTTAGAATTAGAATAAAGATGACCAAGTTCTATGGATAGTCAACTACTTTTATTGCAATGAGTGCGATGTTTCGGTGTAGGTACTAACACCGCTATCAAGCAAGTGATCACTTCATCCATAGAACTTGGTTTTCCTTAATGTAAATCTAATTAATCACAGGGCTGAAACTGACAGCCATCTGACAAGAGTTATCTCCCTTTAACTGACACTGAATGCAGCGAACATAAGGAAAAGTACAGAATCTGAGACAATATATAGGCATATGGCAGAATGATATCACATCTAAGCACTTATTTCCATGTCAATGGATCAATTAAACATGTACATTAGTGGACTAAACCTGCGCGTCAGCTAGTCAAACTTTGTTTAGGGAGCCCTTAAGTGACTGAACCATTACACCGACAGCAGCAGAAAGGACACCAATGATTGTGATTGACGGGAAGTGCTTGAATGGCGTGAGATACGGCGAGACAAGATTGGGCAACAGCCCTGGAATGGCGATTCAACATGATAACGCGCCAGGACGGCAGTATCTTTCCACCTTCTTATTTCCTTGAGTATATATGGATGTGGAATAATATAATTTATATGGCTCGTTTTATATAGAACAGTTGCCCTCCATTGAAACACTTGTCTTTCCATGAAATAACATATCATTCATGACAGCAAAAGTTTAACACTGATTTTGTTTGACATGTGTCCCAATAACTATTTCCTTGAGTATATATGGATGTGGAATAATATAATTTACATGTTTACCACCCATTCTGATTCTAAGATATAAAATAATTGATCTAAATTACATATTTATTAATTATAAGCATTGACAACATTGCCAGCATATCAGTACTACTAGTACCAAAACCAATTGTCTGCATATCATGCAAATACTTCTGATTAATAAAATCTTTTATGGTGCATAAGTCGTATTTTGCATAATTTCTGACAAAACCAGCTAGACTTTGTTCTTTTTCACTAGACTGTTCTTTAAGTAACAAAATACATTTAGGCCAGACCAATTTTATTTCTTGTTTACATCAACAGATTTTTGTCCTCAAGGAAAACCCTAATGGCAGGAGGAAAAAATAAATGAAAAAGATCACCAGTCAAGGCAAAAACCCACATGAGTTTCCATGTTAACTCTTTTGGTTTGTTTGAAAAACCTAGAGAGTGTGACAATTCATGTAAACCACTTGTTGGCTAAGCAGATTGGGGCATGCATGACCACATTCTGAGACATTCACCATGATTTGATGGACCAATAGTGACAGATATATAAACAAGCATTGCCACTAAGGTGACATAATCCCCTGCTTCAAATTATCAAATCAAACTTTAAAAATAATGAAAGTTTAAGATGCAGTTAAATGTCAACAAAAACATGACCAGTCAACCTGTCTTGTTATCTTTTCTCTTTAGTTGTTCAAACACACAAATATTTTTTAACATGCAGGTAAACATACTAAAATCTTCAAAGTGTCACCATGACCTTGAAAATTATGTGAAGGTCACCGTAATCGGCTGGGCCCTGCGCCTTTTCTAGATAAAGCTTGATGTTGAATATGAAGAAAATCTAGTGAACGGTTCCTGAGATATCTTGCTGACAAGAGTAAAACGTTAAAGTCCCCGTGTGACCTTGAAATGAAGGTTTATGAAAGGTTATAAATAGAACTGATGTGTATAACAAAAATAGCACCTGTCCGAGTGAACGACATCGGCCATTTTTGTTTCACAACATCCACCTGCTTCGTACTAAACGTCATTGCATGGTAAGATGATGTTTCTGTTTCCTTGTAGAAATAGCCTTAGATTTCTTTCACTACACAGGAACTTCTCATTGTATACAGAAATGGTTTCCTTTTCACAGAGCGACAGCAAAGATGACATCAGTGACTGCAACGGAAGTAAAGTCATGTGATCTTATACAAATGAATGCACTGGGCCTGCTTGTCTCTCTCTCTACCCATTTTGTGCTTGATATTTAAGTTACATCTAAAATTATGATTTTCAATAATTTCAAGGTGGATGTATAGACTGCAACAGTTCAGTGACCAGATCAGTATCTCATGCACAATCAGTACAAAGTGATACAAATTCACCATATATGACCTACTAACATTTTCCACTGATGTCCATAATTGTCCGGACATAAATTGTTAGGTATTATTTTCTGCTTTTGAGTTTAAAAAAACCATGTCATGGTGCTAGTTAATTTATTGCCTCAAATTTACTAAATGTTTGAACTTATCACTTTCTTGATGATTGGATGGTTAAACATAGGGCAATCTATGGTGCTGCAACCAAACTATTGATAATGCTGAGCTTCTGTATCCAGACTGATGGTAACAGCAGCCAGACCTTCCGTCATGCAAGATTCTTGTCTCATGAATCACTGTCTTATACATATCTATGATCACCTCGGAATGAGGAGTAATCTAGGGTCACTGAAAACATTTCAAAACCTTCCCTATCAGATTGATTGCATTGATTATATCTATTTTTAGGTGGCCATGAAAAAGGAGGAACATACTTAACCAACAACTGCAACCATAAGTTCAAACAAAAAATAGCTGCCAGAGCCCCATCATCTGGAGCTGTGCATGAAGAACCTCAGATGTCTGCTCTACAGTTTAACTCAAGACCAGAAACTGTTTCCAATCAAGATACACAAAATCACAGGAAACATGTTGATATTTTCAAACCAACCAGCTCAGGGTCATCAAATTCTGGCAGTATAGCACGCCAAAGAAACATATTTCAAAAAGAAAAGAGAAATTTGATCAAGAATGATGAGCCTGACGAGGCTTATGGTTTTGCTGAATTGCCCCTTGACTCAATATTTCGTACATTTTGTCCAACAACACAGACATGGATGTAGGTCAACAATGTCCAGAAATCAAGTCCAACACAAGGGCCACATCCTCTGATGTATCCTCGCATGGATCAATGCGTCACAACAACACAGACATGGATGTAGGTCAACAATGTCCAGAAATCAAGTCCAACACAAGGGCCACATCCTCTGATGTATCCTCGCATGGATCAATGAGTCACAACAGTACAGACATGGATGTAGGTCAACAATGTCCAGAAATCAAGTCCAACACAAGGGCCACATCCTCTGATGTATCCTCGCATGGATCAATGAGTCACAACAGTACAGACATGGATGTAGGTCAACAATGTCCAGAAATCAAGTCCAACACAAGGGCCACATCCTCTGATGTATCCTCGCATGGATCAATGAGTCACAACAGCATACAGCAAAACAGGAGGTCTGCTTCAGATGATATCCCCACTATTTGCGTGGTGAAAAATACAGATTTCTGACAAACTCACACAAGCACTGTCACCGCATGATCAAGTCACAGGCCAAGGTAGTTTCTCTCAACCACCACGTTATAAGTATGATGATCCTACTATCAACTTCAAAGATCTGACTGGTGATACAGGATTTAGTTTCCTTCCTGACAACTCCAAAGAGCAGCTTCTTCTCTCCCCACTTTAGGGCCAGCGATGCATGAGAATGTAATTGTGTATCGTGCCCAAACACTATCGACACAAGGCCAGCATGGATCTGTTTACCATCCCAAAACACTACCGACACAAGGCCAGCATGGAACTGTTTACATTCCCCAAAACAGTACCGACACAAGGCCAGGATGGAACTGTTTACCATCCCAAAACACTACCGACACAAGGCCAGCAAGGAACTGTTTACCATCCCAAAACACTACCGACACAAGGCCAGGATGGAACTGTTTACCATCCCAAAACACTACCGACACAAGGCCAGCAAGGAACTGTTTACCATTCCAAAACACTACTGACACAAGGCCAGGATGGAACTGTTTACCATCCCAAAACACTACCGACACAAGGCCAGCAAGGAACTGTTTACCATCCCAAAACACTACCGGACACAAGGCCAGCATGGAACTGTTTACCATCCCAAAACACTACCGACACAAGGCCAGGATGGAACTGTTTACCATCCCAAAACACTACCGACACAAGGCCAGCATGGAACTGTTTACCATCCCAAAACACTACCGACACAAGGCCAGCATGGAACTGTTTACCATCCCAAAACACTACCGACACAAGGCCAGCAAGGAACTGTTTACCATCCCAAAACACTACCGACACAAGGCCAGGATGGAACTGTTTACCATCCCAAAACACTACCGACACAAGGCCAGCAAGGAACTGTTTACCATCCCAAAACACTACTGACACAAGGCCAGGATGGAACTGTTTACCATCCCAAAACACTACCGACACAAGGCCAGCAAGGAACTGTTTACCATCCCAAAACACTACCGACACAAGGCCAGGATGGAACTGTTTACCATCCCAAAACACTACCGACACAAGGCCAGGATGGAACTGTTTACCATCCCAAAACACTACCGACACAAGGCCAGCATGGAACTGTTTACCATCCCAAAACACTACCGACACAAGGCCAGGATGGAACTGTTTACCATCCCAAAACACTACCGACACAAGGCCAGCAAGGAACTGTTTACCATCCCAAAACACTACCGACACAAGGCCAGCATGGAACTGTTTACCATCCCAAAACACTACCGACACAAGGCCAGCAAGGAACTGTTTACCATCCCAAAACACTACCGACACAAGGCCAGGATGGAACTGTTTACCATCCCAAAACACTACCGACACAAGGCCAGCATGGAACTGTTTACCATCCCAAAACACTACCGACACAAGGCCAGCATGGAACTGTTTACCATCCCAAAACACTACCGACACAAGGCCAGGATGGAACTGTTTACCATCCCAAAACACTACCGACACAAGGCCAGCAAGGAACTGTTTACCATCCCAAAACACTACCGACACAAGGCCAGCATGGAACTGTTTACCATCCCAAAACACTACCGACACAAGGCCAGCAAGGAACTGTTTACCATCCCAAAACACTACTACGGACACAAGGCCAGGATGGAACTGTTTACCATCCCAAAACACTACCGACACAAGGCCAGGATGGAACTGTTTACCATCCCAAAACACTACCGACACAAGGCCAGCATGGAACTGTTTACCATCCCAAAACACTACCGACACAAGGCCAGCAAGGAACTGTTTACCATCCCAAAACACTACCGACACAAGGCCAGCATGGAACTGTTTACCATCCCAAAACACTACCGACACAAGGCCAGGATGGAACTGTTTACCATCCCAAAACACTACCGACACAAGGCCAGCATGGAACTGTTTACCATCCCAAAACACTACCGACACAAGGCCAGGATGGAACTGTTTACCATCCCAAAACACTACCGACACAAGGCCAGCAAGGAACTGTTTACCATCCCAAAACACTACCGACACAAGGCCAGCATGGAACTGTTTACCATCCCAAAACACTACCGACACAAGGCCAGGATGGAACTGTTTACCATCCCAAAACACTACTGACACAAGGCCAGGATGGAACTACCATCCCAAAACACTACCGACACAAGGCCAGCAATGGAACTGTTTACCATCCCAAAACACTCGACCGAAGGCCAGCATGGAACTGTTTACCCAGCAAAGGCCAGCAAGGAACTGTTTACCATCCCAAAACACTATCTGACACAAGGCCAGCATGGATCTGTTTACCATCCCAAACACTACCGACACAAGGCCAGAAAGGAACTGTTTACCATCCCAAAACACTACCGACACAAGGCCAGCATGGATCTGTTTACCATCCCAACACACTACCGACACAAGGCCAGAATGGAACTGTTTACCATCCCAAAACACTACCGACACAAGGCCAGCATGGATCTGTTTACCATCCCCTGGCACTTAAGACACAAGGCCAGCATGGAACAGAAGATCAGCTGACTACATCACATGGAGCATCAAGCCCTTATGGACAGTCACCTGGTCCATCAAACAAAAGTGATGAAGACCAAGATTTGTGCATTCCATCAAAGATCATTGACAATGCAAACAGTACATGGAGGGTTCGCAATATCTTGAATGGACAAACAACGGCTGCCTCGGAAACATGTTGCATTGGCAACACACTACTCACGAGTCCAATGGTGAGTTATGTATGAGCCACTTGTTATTCGGAGGTCTGGGAAAGGGCAGTTAATAATAATAATATAATAATAATGGCACTTATATTGCGCTATATCCACGCCATGAAGGTATGCTCAAAGCGCATTGCCTCAAACGATGGAAACAGAGGCAGTTGAGTTCTCCACAGTGGTATGAGTTATGTATCTTTTAGGTATAGTGCTTGAAAAGGTAGGATTTAAGACTGGATTTAAAAGTTTCAAGAGATGGAATCAACTTCAGTGATTCGGGTAGAGAGTTCCACAGAGTAGCGGCTGAGACAGAAAAGGATCTGGAGCCGAAAGTTTTAAGTTTGGTGACAGGCACCCAAAGGAGCTGTTGTTGACTAGAGCGTAGAGTTCTTCAGTTGGGTTATGGAATTCTCATTCAGTCAGTACATACAACTGACTCACAACTCATTAGTTTCACAATATCAAGTATTTCCAGAGAAAATTTCTTTTTAAACCAAGAGGGGGAACAAATAATATGTTGCATAATCTTTCAAATCACATCCAGAATATCAGACAGTTCACTCTTTACACAACCCTGGTTGACATAGGGCAAGACATTGCTTTCAATCTGAGTCACATGCTATCAAAATTTAACCATCCAAAAATTAAATTAGATTGCTGTGGCTGAATGTCATATTGCTTACTCTTTCATCAAAGGAAAGAGATTCATCTGGAGTGAGTGAGTGAGTATGATTTTACGCCACTTTTAGCAATACACCAGAAATGGGCTTCACATATTGAACCAATGAGGAGAATCGAACCCGGGTCTATGATGTGACAAGCCAACACTTTAACCACTAGGCCACCTAAACGCCCCTAATTCATCTGGAGGAGAAAGCATATATTCCAAGATGATATGTTCCTCATAATGAAGCAGTTGACATCCATAACTTCTCATAATTGTGTGTGATAATTCTAACTGCCATTTAAAGACTTGCTTGTACACCAGTTTGTCAAATAGTGTTCGATCCCTTCAGATTCTGCTTGCCAAAGTAAATATTACTTCTTGCTTTTCCAGGATCAAGGACAGAAGATGGAACTTTTCAAGGACATTATTCCTGAAAAGACAGCAAGGAGGAAGAAGAGGAAGAAGAGGAAGAAGAGGAAGAATATAACAATTAGGAGACAACCAGAAACCTGGCAATCTGAAATTGAGAAAATGAGATGTGGTTTATCAGTGCTCCAGAAACCAAGAAAGAAAATTGTCAATTTTCTCAAGCATCAGGTTTCAAAAGGACAAAATAGTATAAACTGTAAATATTGTACTGCAAAAACTTAAAGATCATCTGATTCTTTCAAATTACTATACTACATGTATATCAGACTTTCATGTGTTTCATTGTGGCATAAATATCACGTACACATATGTGCTGTGTACTAAAGTTAATAAAGAAAGATTATTAACCGAGTCTGTTTCCGTATCATTAATATCATATATTAGGAATAAAAATAGTATTATGCAAGCCTTTGGCTCAAGGTTAATTTGTTTTGATAAGGGTGTAGGCGAAATGGGATATAGGCGAAATGGGAACAAGCCTATAGAACAGTTGCCCTACATTGAAACACTTGTCTTTCCATGAAATAACATATCATTCATGACAGCAAAAGTTTAACACTGATTTTGTTTGATATGTGTCACAAAAACTTTTCCTTTGATTATATATGGATGTGGAATAACGTAATCTACATGTTTACCACCCATTTCTGTGACATAACTAAGGCCAGACCAATTTTATTTCTTGTTTTACGGATCCGCCGGCTGTATTTTTTAAAGAAAAAGAAAACAAAAATTAATTTTCCCCGCTCAAAAATTAAAATCCTTTTCTTAATGTGATATTAATGAAATACTCTTCTTAAAATCAGTGTGAAACCTAAACTCACTCAACTTATTTTTGTTGATATAAACAAACTAAAAGAGTTAACAAAAATTGGAAACTCATGTGGGTTTTTGCTTTGACTGGTGATTTTTTTTCATTTATTTTTTCCCTCCTGCCTTTAGGTTTTCTGAGGACAAAACTCTGTAAAACATTGATCTGGCCTAAATGTATTTCGTTACGAAAGAACAGTTTAGTGAAAACTGTGATTTTGTTTTGTGCCAACAGGTCTTTCTTTATAGAAACTGTAAACATGAAACAGATCAGACATGAAATATCAATGCAGATATATTATCATTTAAAACCCTGAACGGGTTTTAAAACGGTGAAACCCTGTTGATCTTCGCAGCAGAATTCTATGTAAACTGTCAGACTGAACAAATTTCAAGGTTAAAGAACCATAGATACAGAGTAATGTCCCTTTGTTTATTATCTACGGAGTAGTGTCCCTTTATTCAAATGTTGGCATTCCAAGGTGTGCCGGTCACTGGACGGAGCTTCCACATTAGGGGGGTCTAAACCAACAGGGTTTCACTGCATGTAGCTTTATGGCACAGCTTTTCATAAAAATATGTTATTTATTTGCTTTGGGAATTTCCTATTCTTTACAAATTCATCATTCTCAGTGCTTGTTTTTGTTTGGTATGTGTTCAGGATTTGCTCCTTCTGTTATGCATCTTTGTGTATAGTGAACTACTGTTATAACCAACAGAAAGATAGCACTAATTTCAGTTTGCTATTACCATGGAGATTTTTATGCATTTCAACCAGGATTGAAAAGGTTATATCAGTCAGTTTGTCATAATTTTCTGTATTTGGTATTTTTTTATGATTAGCTTTGCATATGTTTACGCTTTATAGAAACCCTAGATTTGTACTTATTTTTAGTTTATGCCAGCAAAACATCTTGTCAAAACTAACAAGATGATATTATCAAAAAAAGAAATGCAAATTTTATTTGATTGAAAATATCCTTAACTTGTATTTAGAACATTTTGTATGAATTTGGATTGATAAATCTCAAAATAGTTTTTAAGTATAATACTAA